AGAGTGTTTGCCTGTAATTTATCATCACTATACATGCATTTACGAACTGCTTAATAGACAATTTTGCCCTTTTTTGGGTTGTTTTGATTCATTTTTACAGTTTTTTTGTGCACAAAGTGGATGTGCATGAGTAAAAAGGGACTCTTTAAAGGCCCACTCTGATGAAAGTCATGTTTTTCTTGTTTTTTATATGTTCATATGGCACTTCTCTAATGCTACAGGACATATCATGAGAAAACTAAATGCAAAATTGCTTTTCTGAGTATTTTTTCATTCAAATCACTGTGAATCTCTGGCAGAGCCAAACAGCAGGTTCAGAAACAGTGAGATTTCATATGTAACCAATCCAAGCTCCGCCCCCAGAGCCCGGCTATGCAGGCCACACTCTGAGAAATAGAGAGGACGATCGCGGAACAAGCGTGTGCGTTAGCGGATTGCAATGCTCCTAAAGACATTACTGTCTGAGAGCTGAATAGCTGAATGTTAGGCTGCAAGCTAGCATGAAGAGGAGTGTGCAGAGCGGCACTGTCTCCGCCTACAACTCAGAGGAGAAATGCTAATGATCTACTGGAGCTCAGCAGAGGAAAAGTCCTTGAAAATGACACAGGTAATGTGATTTTTGGTTAAAGCTTAATAATCACAATTTAAAGCTTATTGGTGCTGGAGTTTATGCAACCAGAAGTATCATGTTAAATAAACTGGTACACTTTACGTCTGCTGCACCACTATATCTAAGTTCAACCTCTTGGCCTGCTGGGACTTTTAAAACTTACCAAGACTTCTTACCAGCTGCCAGAACCCTTTCCTGTCCTCTCCGTAGTTTTCTTTGGCAGTTCTTAATAGCATCTAAAATACATTACCCACTACACAACCCACAATAACTTTGGCAAACGTTACGTAACACTCGCTCGTCCGTTTTTATTGGATAGGAAGCTGCTGTGACTGAAAATAACCTGAGCTGTACACTTATGTGTACAATACCGAGAAGTTCTATGCAAATAATATATAACAGTATGAACAAAATAAGAAACACTGCCGTGCAACCTCTCAGCAGCCTAACCCACCAAAACCAGTTTACTGCTGACAGTGAGAGTGAAGATGAGCCAAAACCAAGCACAAGCTGTAAGCCCATAACTCCAGAGCAGATAGGCAGGATTAAGTCAATGAAAATAAAGAGTTCAGTTTGAACCTGTTCCACATGAATAAAACAAAATCCACGGTAAGTCATAATTACAAGATAGACAGTGATGAGATACAAGTCATTATTAAGACATAAAAAGTCCATATTTGACTATTTTTGTATTTATAACTCACTATCGTTTAATTTAAACGTTTTATTTTACAATCATGACTCAGCATGTTGCTGTTTTATTTTAATAAAGTAAGTGTTTAAGGCTAAAATTATACATCTCCAGTAGAAGGTCATAAACTAAAAGCGGGCCGGCCTGAGCCATAAACTCTCAGGCTGAAAATGAAACCCACTCTGGTCTTGTGCAAAACCTCAGAGTGTGTGAAACATGGACAGAATAACAGCTGTGCCAGGTGAAGCCAAAACCCTGAGAGCCCCCCGTGGTGATTGGCTGCAGTGTAGGTGGGAAATAAGACCCGCCTCCTCTACAGTAACTGAAAAAAGAGCTATGCTTTCCATCATAGCAGGTTTTGTCACGCTGATTTATATTTCTACTTTTAAAAGGATGATTAATTGACAGCTCTGAAAACAAATGCACTCTCTAGCAAGGTTTTTAACAAGACAAGGAGAGCAAAAGAGGAGCTGTTAGACTGGTTTGTATTGGTACATTTAAAATGTGAATTGGTAGATGATCTGATGTCAAAACATCTACGCTTTAGAGTACTTTTTCTACCACGTGAGTTTTTGCAGCATATAGCAGGTGTTTTAAACCCACCTAAACGCTTAAAGAAGAGAGGTTAAAAAGGCAGAATGGGAGGGGGGAAATCACACAAGAGTCAGGGTGGAAAAAAAGACAAACAACAGGGAGGGACAGAAAGAGAAATAATAAAAAAGAGGCGGGGAGGCAAAGTGAGCAAATCCAATTTAGCCGTATGTGATCCTATCTCCACAGCAACTCTTTGAGTCTGCAGCGAGCAGTTTGTGGGCTTTGGCACTGACCGCCTTTTCTCCCCGTGCTCGCCCCATCCTAACTGCCATCCGTGAAAAGGCTAACAGACGTAAAAAAAATAAAAGGTGCTCAATGAGGGGAAGAGATAAAATGTGAAGGGGAGAGAAAGAGAGAGAGAGAGAAAGAGTGAGAAAAATTAAAAGAGTGAGCAGGGGGACAGGGAGGTGATGAAGTGAGCGGAGACTTGAGAGGGCAGTGGCGGGACATTCCTGAGCCAGCTGTGGGCTGGAGGGGGAATTCTCACTGAATGCCTGACAAATAAAACAAGACACGGGGCTATTTCAGTATTCTAGGCAAAAACCCACTGGCACACTGCATCGGAATGAGAGGTGAATGAGAGATTTTGGAAGGGAAAGGAGGCAGGCTAATGAGAGAACCAGCAGGCTTGCACCGTTCGCTCCGGCGGGCCGAAAACCGCAGCAGTCCAGTGGTTAACCTTCGCTGCCTCTCCCTTTAAGGTCTCCTCCAAAATGGAGGCCAAACCTGGCAACAACAGCAGCAGCAGTTCTTCATCCTTGCACACCCATTCTTCTTCTTCTACAGACAGGTGGTGGGCTGTTTAATAAAAACAGTATTTGATGGAGGGAGTCAGCCAGAAAGGGAGGAGGGGGGGTGCAGTCAAAGGCCAGCACAGACTGTAAACAGCAGAGCCGAGCAGCCATAATATGACTACTGCTCTGTGGGGAATTAAAGCCTGGACTCTCCTCATAACTCCTTGTTAATGACTGAAAACTGAAAAGCTGTGTTGCTACTATCCAAACACCCAAGTCCTCACTGATGACTCATTAAAATGAAGTGGTGCTCAGATATACAGCGGAGAGGTCCAAAAAAGCAGTTCAAGTAGTGAAGTTTAATGATTCTGGTTTAATCTTTTCTTTTTATTAAGACCACACAGGATCGGCCATGTTTTTCTTTTCCTATCAGAGACACAAAAAAGCCTCTAGCTGTAATGAAAACAGAACAATGTAATGTTTTAAATTGGCGATACAACACAGTGCATGTATTGCTGACAAAAAGTAGGAATCCATTTTTTACAGTGCACAAACGCACCGGGGGTAAGAGCGCCATGGTGAGGGATTAGAAAGCCATATTTGATCAGGATTAGACTCACTCTTAAACCAGCTTCAAGGGCGCCTTTTTCCACTGAAATACCATCGCAAAAAAACAGGTCGATCCTGTTTTGTAAAGAAAGAGAACTTCAATTTTACTTTGATTTTTTTTCTGGATATTTAAAGCAAATAACAAAGAAAGAAAAAGAGGGTAATCAGAGGGGACCACACAGTAAAACTGAAGAGTTCTTGGAAAGCCAGAAATGACTGATGTGCTCGTATAGCGCTGGTGGCCTGTTGCGTTGAGTTTTTTTTCCTCTTGGCTTTCTTGGCATCGTGACAAACTCTTGCTATTGTTCCATCCACAGGCAGAGACTTGCCTTTTCACCACAACTTCCAAGAAGTGTGTCAGTTGTGTGGAGGGAGGTGTCAAGCTGACAGCCAGTAATAAGACATGAAAGACAGATTCACAAAGTTGGAAAAATGCCACGGACGTGTGATGAGCTGACTGCACCTGTATGACACCGAGTTTTATGAAGAGTGTAACAAAAGAGACTAATCTGTGGTTTGATTTATGTTATTTTAGTCGTTTTTATGTGGAGGTGTATGTGCATGAAAACAGTTAACAAACCCAATCAGTGCAAACTTGATATTATAACTTAAAGGGATATTCCGGCGTAAAATTAATTTAGGGTCAAACACACAGTAACAGCCAGTTAGACACCTACCCTCTTCCAGCAGCCGCTTGTTTGTAGCAAGACCTCAGGCCAGTCCATTACAGAGTGCTGTGGGGTGACGCAGCTCAAGGAAGAACATATACAGTATGATCATTACTTTATCATTTCCTTGAAGTAATAATCACCATATTAATTATTTTGCACTGCAGACAAGGTCGTTCTTCTGCCTGTCGGTCTGATTGCATTTTCATTAAGAAATTATCATAAATGTTCTTCCTTGAGCTGCGTCACCCCGCTGTAGCCCTTAATGGATTGGCCTGAGGTCTCGCTACAAACAAGCGGCTGCTGGAAGAGAGTAGGTGAGTTGTGTTTTGTCTCTTTGCTAAAAAAAATCTGGCAAAGTTAAAAAAATATTTGGTGGCTAGTACTATGGCTGGGACCCTATATGTACTGTTAATGAGGTTAGGTGCTGTTCTGAGCATTATTTGTGGCTATAGAGTGGCTTTTTGGTTGAGGTTTGTTTATGGTTCCTCAGACCGCTGTGTATTGCTATCATGCTGGCATTACTAAAGTTGGTATAACTAGAGAAGCAAGCGGTCAGCAACATTCATCTCTCAAGGGGGTGTCTAACTCGGTGTTACGATGTGTTTGACCCTAAATTAATTTTACGCCGTAATATCCCTTTAAACTCTGCTCCCTGCACGTCTGACTCTTTTTTCCACTAGTTGTGCCAGACGGGATTCAGCAGTCTCTAATGTACTTTTTAGTGCCATGCAGCAGGAGACAGGGACTTTCCAGAGAGAGGCGCTTTGCTGTTGCCACCCAGGGACAGAATGGTAGCCATGTGTGTCAGTGGGCCGCCACATCACAGCCACCCTCCTATACCAAAACCCCTGTGATCTCTCAAAAAGCGTTCAAGCTTGCACCCCTGCACGCGCAGTTTCCTTCCTCCGTCCCCCCCTTCACCCCTTCTTTAACCACATAGATGAGAGGAAATCATTTCATAGGGGGAATCCCACATCCTGCAACTTTATCTCCTTGTCTGCTGAGGAACCTCAGACAGCATGATAACATCATTAGGAGGTCAAGGACAATCAGACTCCTGTGACACTGCTGCTACTTTGACTCAGGGTACATTCAGGTTCAGGATATGAAAGCTGATAAACAGTTCAGTGTAAAGCATTATGCATCCTTCCTTTACACCAGACTCAATGTCAAAAGCTCCTTCAAGTCAGTCATTTGGGATGACAGCTGCTGGTAAACCGCTGCAGCCGCATCCACTGTCCTTTCTTCCTTCTTCTAACTCTCATCTCTTTTCCAGTTTCCTCCACTCTAGAATTAGTTTGCACATGCTGCACCGCGCTAGCCCGGTCAAAAGCACAAGTGACGCATATCACAGACAGTTTCAAAGGTTTTCCCTCTGCATATGGTAGTGGTGCGGTGATCGCCACTAAACCTTTAGAGGACATTAATGTGGATCAAGAACGTGCCTCATGGAAACAGCCCCGAAGCAGCAGAAGAGTTCAGTCCCTTCTCTGTATCCCACATCACTGATGGGAATGATTAAGTTTATTGGAGTGTAATTCCACCCCCCCTCGGTCTGGCTCTTAAAATAGAGAAAAAGAGAGGCGGGCGGCCGGCCCAGGCGGATGTCTGAATACCTCTGATTGGAGCAAAGCAGTAATTTGTTATTAGGCCAACGTCAACCTATGACCACAGGAGCAGGCCTGCCATGTGAGGAGAGGGGGACAGCATCAGTCACTCAGAGGCACCTTCACTCTGCTTAAACTCTTGTTTTGAAAACCAGATACTTTTTAAATTATGAAAGCATATGTGTGCGTGTGCATGTCATTAATCTCAAAGACATTCCTCGAATGTAAAATGAAAGCGCAGTGAAACCAGCTCATAAGAAGATTGCAACAACCCAAGAACTATTGGCTTAAGAGTTGGTTCATGACTTGAAACTCTTTCCTTCTGCTGGTTTATATGAACCATGTGTTGAAGTGATCCACACCCTCAGATATAACGGTGCAAACTAGAGCCATGTAGGTTTCTCCTCATTGTAGAACCTTTTTTTTAAATTACTACAAGAACCGTTGAAGAAGGAACCCCTACTCTGCCGTCAGGGGGTTCTACCACGACCAGCAAATAGATTATTAATCCGGTCGAATCTTTCTTGAAGGGTTCAGCCAGGAGCCAACAATTCAAGACTCTACTAACAGCCCTTCTGCAATCCAAGAGAAACCACCATGAACTCCTTGAAGTTTAGCAGACACCCCTCTGATCCAAAAGCTCAGAACCTCTTTTGATGAAATCTTTGTATGATCCCAAACAGAACCTCTTTTTACGTTCAAAGGCCCCCTCCCCACATCCTTTTGCTTGGTTTTGAAGACACCCAATCCATGATATGACGGTTTAACCAGAACCCCTATGCGATGTTCTATGATTTGACATTACTAAAACCACTAATGCTAAGGTTCTAGATACCCTCATTTCACCCAAAGATTTTGTCTGAAACCACCTGTGTGGGTACCGAGTCATCAGAAAGTTGCACTCCTAACTTTGTTGAAGAGCGGCCTCTTTAATAAAAAGGTTCCAACTAAAAGTCCTCCTATGGTCCAGGGTTCCATCTGGATTCCCCCTCCTCCTTCAAGGTTCTACAGATAACCCTTGTTTGACTCAAAGGGTTCACAAGTACATCCAATACTTAGGCTCTACAGATAGCCCTCCTATGGGTCAAGGTTCCACCCAGAACCCCTTATTTGAGAGTCTACCAATATCCTCTCAGTGGTTTAAGTTTCTACCCTTTTGGTTCTAAAAGCTCATCTAAAAATTCTTATGAGAGGTTCTAATTCTGCATTCCAGTTGCACTCAGAATTAGGAATTTCCAAGCTCTGAGTCGGAAATTGATCTGGAACGCCCCCGGAGGTTGGGTGTCCGACTCGGAATGTTGGACAATCCTCACCAACCCTGACTTGACGACAACGTCATAATCCAAGATGGCAGTACAGCGCATCAAGAGTAAAGAGTAACATTAAAAGCTCTCATAATGTTTTATTTATTAGCACTTCTGTTTTGTTTTTGTGAAATTAAATAAGTTTTATATGTTGTAATGCCCAACGTCTAACTGTGAACACGGTGCTATGGTGTTTGTAGAGTAAAATACTGTGTTGTGCGTTGTTTACAACTAATATCGCTAACAACAACTGACAACGGCCAACGACAGCTGTCAATTGTAAACAACAGCTACTTGTTAACTTGAATGCTGTCAACTCGGGTGAAGCATCATTCCCAGCTCCAACATCTGAGGTAACTGGAACGCAGCATAACCCCCAAAGTTTGTATTGAAGGTTCCAGAGAGAACCTCCTTAGCAAAGTCCTGCAGATGACCCAAAGATTTTAAACAGAACCACCACTATAGGTTTTAAAGATATTTCAAGTCAAAGATTTTATCTGAACCAAACATGCAATGTTCTAAAAATACCCCATCTGTGGTCCAAAGATTCCAACTAGAACCCCTCAAGAGGTTTCACAAGCAACCCTTCACCTCAAAGTATGATCCCAAGCAGAACCCTTTTGAAACCCTTTATTTCTGAGAGTGTATCCAGCAGTGCAGAGCTGTACCTACTATGATATGTAGATATTTAGACACACGTCTGGCACCGGGTAGAAGCTCTGGTCGTTGCGTTCACTGGAGGCTGGCAGGAAATGAGGCGTGACCAGCTGATTGATTTCAAAGGAAGCAGAGGTTTCGCCTGAGTGTATGTGCAGTTTAACCACCTGAAAGTCACAGCTTCCAGCGCTGTAATTTCAACTGCTGCTAGGAGACAAAATGATTGCTTCAATAAAAGCAGAAATGGCAAAAAAGATGACTATAGGACTGGCACTCTGGTGTGTTTGAAAGCTGAGGCTGTTTTGTGGATAAAGAGACGGGCAGCTTTTGAACACAAGTCATTGATTTGTCTGGCTGAGGTTAGCCAGACAAGACTAAACAATGGCCACAACCACATTTTTTGATGTTCAAACTCTTGTTTCAAAGACAAACAAATAGGATTATTGGACTGAGAGAAGGAAAACAAAAACCTCATCAGACCAACAGATGTGGAGCTTTTAACAGAGGTCAGTTCTTGTGTCGAATGTTGGTTTTGATGCATCTTAAAATAGCAAAGAACCACAGATATACTGCGCCACAAAATCCATTTGTTTGTTTGAAGCGGCTTGTCTTTGTGGGTCATGAGGAGATTGATATCAGTCCTTACAACCACAGCCTTTCCCTCAAAAAGTCTCCTGGGCTTGACCTCTGCTGAATATGACAATCTAAAACCATGAAAACAAATGCTTTCTGTATCGTCTTCTGTAACTAAAATAAAGCACACGTTGAAAAAGCTCTTGCATCACATGACACAAGGCCCGAACTGTGAAGAAGCTGTCATACACAAGAGACAGAGACTTCATCAGCTGCCGTATCATCTGATTTGAGAGTCCTGTGATCAATCTTTGGGCTCTGGAGATAAGAAGTGTCGTTCTGCTCGCATGTCACAAGTTCAAGACCGACCATGGTTCATAAAAAGCCCGCAGAAACCAACTGAGGCTGCACTGTCATCAGATACACTCACTGCTGGAGCCTCATCACATGCATGAACCACCAACTATTGACCGCCTATGACCCATTTCACAGTGCTTAATGGTGACAATTTAATTTGCAGGGGGGGTTGAGTTCAAACTTTGTGTTTCTCAATGCGCTTTAAGTTGATAATGATCTGAGTCGACATACTAAGGTTAAGAGGATGCACACAGCCATGGAGAAATGACTAATGGGTGCTCATGTGTCACCTACATGGACTTGATGCTATCTGATATGATTCATATGTTTTTCTAACTGTAACGTGTCCAGGGGTCCGATGATGAAGTGGGAAACAGAATCAAGATACTTCGTAAAGGGTCCCATCAGTGGGTGTTTTACTGGCCTACAAGTGCAACAAGGAAACATGGAAAACAATAAAATGTGGATAAATGAACTATTAACATGGGAAACTTGATGATAAATGAACTCATAACTGCTTAAATTATTGTTTTCACTGGCTTTTCCCCCTGACTCAATACATCAAAGCATACAGTACATGTCCAGCTTTTGGTCCCATCCATTCTGCTAACAGCTTGTTAGGCATCCAAGTCTTCTTGAAACAAGAAAATAGCACACAGACTGAAACTTTCCAATGGTACTTGGACGCATCACAGTCAGAGCGTTTACGTCAGTGGCAATTGTGCTAAGACTGCAAGGGAAGCTCAACTTTCCCTAAAATGTAAAAGAAAAAAAATGTGAAATATGTACAGCTGTGTGTACATTTCACTGACTAAATATGCGCTAGAGAAAGGAGTCCCGACACGACTCCCTTCTCATTCACCCCCACAGCGCCACAGTGCTTTACACGGTCTGACTTCAATGGGGAAGCGTAAAGTGGGTTGTTCCACTGCGCAAAACTGGACGGTCATTGGATAAATGTTGGGCTTTGTCCCGCCCATCAGACGCTCAGTGTCTCTGGGGGTCTAATGGGGCAGTGGGCTGGCCTGGATGCTCGGCTTCTGCATGATTGGATAATCTGTCTAAGACAGAATCCCTTTTTGATTGACAGTGAAATAAGCAAACCAGTGATCTTAAAGTATAAAAATCCACTGGAACATTTTCCAAGTTTTTCATTCAGTTTGTTGTTCTGAACTGATCCGGAGACTTTACCGATCCCCAGCGACTTTGTTATTGTTAGAAACAACTATTGTTGCGTTTGGCAACTCTCTTTTGTCACGACAGGGTCACAGATCATTTCCTTGAAAAGGAACGGAGGGTAGAATTTACATATAAATAAACAAGCCCATTTATGATGTTTATTTATATGTAAATTCTACCCTCCGTTAATTTTCAAGAAAATGATCTGTGACCCTGTCAAGAAATGAGCTTCCCTTCCTTGAAAGACCAGCAGCCGCCACTGGTTTACATGCATGGATAAGTTGAGCTACAGTTATCGATCAGCAGACAATTTAACTCAATTACTGTTCTCGTCCTTGTTTACAAGCACTGAGCGAGAATCAAATTATCAACATAAGTATGTTTTCTCCTGCTACGGCACGTAATGAGAAGCCTATTTACAGCTTGTTACTGCTAGGTCATTGCTTGGTTGACCTATTACATACCAAAACAATCGACAAACATGCTAGCCAGTGGCTAACGGGATGATAGCTTAGGATGTTGTGCAGGTGGATAATAAGGTATGTGAAAAAGTGTCCTTCTGCAGCTCATTTTAAAGCATTGAACCTGGAGGTGTCATGTATAAGCTATCCACAGGAAGTACTACAACTAAACTCATGATAAATGACCACTATGTCACTCTAACTTATACAACCGTACAGATTTAGTAATGCACAGCTGTATATTTCTCTTGTCCAGCATAAGTCCTCTACAGCATGAACATGTCCACTTCACTTTATTGACATTATTTATGAATTCATTTAATGGAATAAATGTATTTGGATGAGGGTTTTACGTTAATTCTGGCTGCCATCAGAACTGTTGATTTTTATTCTCATATAACCTGGTTACAGGATTGACTGGCAACCTTGTCATCAACAGGGAAAAGAGAAACGAAACGTAAACACATGTTAAAGCCAAGACATGAATTTTATAAGTCAACACTGTCAAACACAATTTCACAGATGTGCGATGAACTCAATGTGACCATGTGTAGCTACTTCTGTTGGGCTGGTTTGATGATACTGCAGCATTGAGCTGCAATCACAGTGTTCCTGACCTCTGCGTGAAGCAGCCAGCTCCCCTGCCATATGCCAAACACTGCAAGCAGATCCAACTGGGCTCAGGGTTGACCCACAGGCCCAGAATAGGACCTACATTATATGACAGATGTTTTGTATTTGATACTATTTATTTTACAAACCACAGCTTTGGCCCCGTCTTAGTTGTACCTCCAAAGAACACCTCTCTTCCAGTCTCTGCTCCCACAAAATCCTTTCAAAGACCCTCTCTGAATCCCAAATCCCAGCTCCACACAGCAAGCTTAATACAACTTGTCTCAACTCATGGACTTGGCTCACCACTATTAACCCGTACCCATACCCTCAACGCTTCCCTCCCAGCCCTGGAGTCTCCAGAGCACCCACCACCCCGCTGTGCCGGCCCTCCCACTGGCTGAGCCCAAGAGAACAGCCGTTAATCTAAAGGGAGAACGCTGGAGAACGTCTCCTTTTAATTATCAGGAAAAACTCAGAGCCTGGTTGGATAATGGATTCCAAATGGTGGTGAGCTGGGGCAGGACTCGGTTCAGGGCTGAGGTGGTGGCCACAGAGAGGGAGCACGAAATCGGGAGGAGGGGGGAGCAACGAGATATGACTCCTTCTCAGGTTCTGACCTTTGGCTGCCCTCATGCTCGTGTGCTTCGCCACAGATTGAGACCAGATTGATGGTGTTAGTCCAGGAAATGATTGAGTGACAGAATAATCTCAAACACAGCCCAGTAAAGCTAACTGAAAATACTCGAGAGATATCTTTAATTTCAGCTGATATCGCTAATAGAGCGACACCTTTTCACCAAGAATGTCCAGAGCTGGAGCCAATGGACAACCCCGCCCTCCAGCCAATCAGCTGAATGAGTTAGAGGCACAATCTTTCTTGTGCTGTCCTCCTCCACATTCCCAAGACACATTGGGAGCTCAACAAAGACTGAGAAGATCTAGCATCCCCGAGGCTTAACACCAAATCAAAAATAATAGAATCACAGCAAAACAAAACACAAGCTAATCATGATGGCTCCAAACACATCACAAATAGACATGCATTCATACACTTGGACTACAGGACCACCCCTGAGAGCTGACCTAGCCCTGCCCCCTACTGCTCAGCGCTGGCGTGTGTCCAGAACAAACTGGGCCTCTCCGTAGGGAACTGTGGAGGCTTGAGGCCGGAGTGCTTAGCAGGCGCCGAGGGGGCGGCAGGCTGCCAGTGGTCAGTCCCTGTCGGAGCTTCTGGGAATGGTGTCACACTCACACTAACGCTCACCCCCGAAGTCCACACACAGGCCGGCTCCTGAGTTCAGGACCAGGCGCGGAGGTCGAGGAAGAGCAGCGCTCCTACGAGCGAGCAGCTGGACTCGCTGTCATGGATGAGCTCACTTTGGCAAGAGTCCAAACAAGAGGCGAGCCGGGCCCCTGAAGTCTGAGCAGTCTCCATGAAGTCACTCTGCAGCCATAGATCAACACAGAGCTGCAGCAGCGCACGGTCTCTGCTGACAGGCCAACAAACCAGGGAAGTTCCGGGACCGACTTTCTTTTCCGATTCTTACACTTGGATTTAAATAGCCTACTTTTGGCTGAGTATTGCTTTGATACTCGGGTGATTAAAGGGAAATACTCACTGGTGCTCAATGTTTCTCAGCTACCAAAACTGTCACTTCTTCTTCCCTTACTGAAAAATCAAAGGTTTTCTTTTTCGTTTTTGCTCTCGGGTCCTGAAAATGTCACACAGCAAGTGATGTCTGTGAAGTAGAGTCCGTCATCTCTTGATCAAAAAGTCAAGGCTTTGAACCCAGTTCCCGCTGTCCTTATGCCTGTGTGTCCTCAGGCAAGACACTCAACCCCAAACTATCGCTTTGAGCTACGCACAGCAGTTCATGAATGAACGGTTAACTCTAAATGTCCACGCTGAAGTTATCAGACAGTCTATTCAATGTTAAATCAGACACTGTCTTATTCAATGCTACAATAAATTAGCATGCAAAAGGTAAAGGCTGTCTGTACTAAAGCTGTGTGACATTACTTTATCCAGTTATTATCTAATCTATGAGTAGGGTGGAGCAAAACCATGCACACACTTCCTGTGGACCACATGGGTCAATGGAAACAGGCCCTTTTTGATGGTATTTTGCTGGCTTGACTTCCCACCTAAAATGTTGCACAAAATTACCTCCCATGACAGGTGGGGACAAAGTATTGACAGTATTGACTTCCTGTCCCTTCAGATTCTTGGGTTGGTTTGGTTGGTTTAGTGACTTTTACTCTTCCTCTCATCATCCCGCCTCTACAATGCCAGTCTACATCCATGTCACTGCTTGACAGTACCATATTTAGTCCTCACAGCATCATAGTACGGCTGAATTTGTAAACAGATCTATAATCATGTTTTCTAATAAAACCAAATAATAGAATAAAACTATTTTTTTTTTGTATTTCAGTTTTAAACACTGACCCATGGCCCATCTGTTTACATGGAGGAGGCGGGTTTTGTTACCTTTAGTGAGATCAGTGAAAGGGCGCTCCAAATGTTTTGGGTTGTTTGTTTCTGCCATATTAATCCACCATAAACCAGCTGATATTTGGGGTAGATTATTGTTTATTGTTTTCAGATCGTTTGATTGCTTTGAGCTCATTTTTTTAAAGGTGAATGAGGGGTGAGGATGGAAATAAAACTAAACATAATCGGTTGAAAGATGTGAAGAGGGCATTCAAGAACAAAAAAACACCAACATGTCCTTTGGGGCTAAATGTAGTTTTATCATTCTCATAACCAGCCTTCTGTGGAAAAAAATAGAAATCTTATCTGACCTCAAAAACTCCAAATGATCCCAAGTAAGCAGCCTTCAGCTCCTTTCATCAGACACAGTACAAAGGAAGATATTTCCCAGAAGGCCTCAGCGACTCTCAGCAGGCCTCTTGATATCATTTTAACCCCAACAGACCAGCTGGCTAACAACTTCTGCCGCTCTCTTACGCAATCCAAACACAAAAGCATGTGTCCCTCTGCGCTCACTTGTCAGACGCTGTAAACACTGTAAACACACAAAGTAGCAGCTCAGAGTAAGAGTGTAAAAACACTGCAGATGGTGTGTGTTGAATTTGGACGAGCTCGCCTGGTGCACTCTTATAGGAAAAGTGGCCAGCTGTCCCAGAGGAAATGAAGAGGAATAGCAGTTTTAAAGAGGTCAGCGAATGATTATGACCTTCCCATTCAATTAGCCAAATTATCAACATGCATCTGTGTGCGCTGTTGATATAAAAACACACTGCCCATTAACCTGTGGTCTCTGAAAAGGACACAGGCTTAGCAATTAACCCAAATTCCCCAAACCTTACCCAGCTGCCTCCATTTCCAAATGACTATAATTCTAAAGTACGTGGTCGTTTCCTGGGCAGAGAGCGCATGCCTGGTGTGCTGCTGATTATGGCTTTTTGGAAACATATAAAGACGGTGGTTTCCTGGAGGGAGACCGCATCAGCTGTCATATTCATAATTACAGCATCGCGGCTATTTCGATCAATCATATAATTATCGTATCTCTGCTATTTCTATCAGTCGTATAATTATCTCATTCAGTCATTTTTACCTCTTGTTTGTTTTGGCAATTTCCTGAAGATTAAGGCAATGCAGAACTTTGTCTACAGAGTGAGCTTTATCTGCTTACACTCAAGCTTTACATTGATAGACTTTTACGACTAACACCCCTCTAAATAAGGAGAAACAAGTCTGAGCATGTCTGTTGCTGTCTTTACATCAACATTACAGACAAGAAACTATAACAATGCAAAAGAAAAGCTAATTGTTCATGCAGAGGGAAGTAAGGAGTCCCTAACCTGAAGCTAAACTCCTTGAAACAGCTGCACCAAAGTGCCACCGCACCATAAATTTAGGGCAATTGTGGCCTGAGCTCTACTAATGAACCCGACTAACAAGCTGGAGGGGGGTTGAAGCCATAAACAAGAAGTCCCAGCAGGAGTTACACCTGGGGGTAATAAACTTTCTCAGCAGACAACAGCTCCATCTCAGGGCTGGACCACAGCAAAAACATTGAAAAGTTAATGTTTACAATACCACAAAGTAAAGCAAAATGACTTAATCTGTCACAAAGCCCCTCTTACAGTTACTTACTGCACACATGCCAAATTTCTGCAGCAGTTCCCTGCTTTTGGCTCATACCTCACTGCTGTCTGTGTGCGTAAAGAATGGCATGTACTCTGATATCTGATGTGAGTAAAACTTCTTTGCCTCCCACAGTGGAAACAATGTTTGTAGCTCCTATGAGCTCCTATACACTTTTTTGGCACCCCTAGTGGACAAAGCATGTCTTACCTGTCTGCTGATTTTGTCAATTGCTTTATTTTTAAGGCGAAAGGGAATATTCACGGGGGTTAAATGCTGTTTTTAAATAGGGGTAGCTAAAGAGACATGAGAAATGTGGAGAGAAGAGACTTGAAACAAAGGACTACAGCCTCTAAATTTGGGGTCATCAGAGCCCCACAAAATCCCACTCTAAAGGGAAAGGACTTCTTTTAGTGGGTTGTATGTACTTGTCAATAGTGTAGCTGTATTTCTAACAGGGGATCCTGGTCAGCTAAGCATCTTTATTCAGAAACAGAATCAAGAACTGGAGTGATGTTGAGGGTATCTGTTATGATATGATCTGTTGATTTAGTTTTTTTGTTATTTCAGTGTATTTTCTTTGTATTTTCCCTTTTGTTTCTGTTCCCCTGTAGTCCTGTCTTGTGAGTTTTCAGTTTGTGTCTGACCCCGTTTCCCTCCTGTTCTCAGTGTTTTATTCTGTAGATTGGTTCTCATTTGATTTTGTAGTAGCTGACTCCTTGTGTACCTAGTCTGGTTTTACTCCCCAAGTTTTCCCTCCTCCATTAATCACCCATAAGTTTCTGTGTCTCGTCTGCCTCACCTGTTGCTCATTTCCCTGCATGTATATAGTCCCTGTCTTCCTCTTTGTGCTTGTTGGTTCATTGTGTGTTTCTCAAGATGTGCGTACGCCAGTGTCCCCAGTGTCTTCTTGTGATTTTCCCCTCAGTGCCTTTTGCTGGATTTTGGATTTTTTATTGGACATTTTTGAGAGTAAGTTTTTGTTGCCTTTCATTTATTTATTTTAAATAAATCCTTTTTTGTTCTGCATTTGGGCCATTCTTTTCTTCATGACACTATCAGCTTCTGCAGACAGGGCCAAGACTTCTGTGTAATTTATCTCATTTTAAGAACCTCCAATACAAACACCAAAGAAAGTCTAAGCCAAACTCTGTTTTTTAAAGTTTTAAGTGCTTCACTATGCTGTCAAAAAGCTTATTTTTATTTGGACTATTGGTGGTGTATTGGATATATTTATCGTACTGCATGCTCGAGTTCATTACGGCTGATACTTTTGGGGGTTTGAGACCAAAGTACATTAAAATATCTGATATTTGTACTTGTTTGAGCAAGAGTTTAAATCCCATAAAAAAGTAAAATTTAAAAATTGACTTTTTTGCCTTTGGATGTCATAAAGTTACATCACCAGTCGTTTAATTCCAGTCATATGATGTGTGCTTAATAACCAGCTGAACAGAGGGCTTTAAAAGCAGTTTGTATTTCGGATCTGAACTCTGACAGCCTCTTCGTCTCTTCTAACACAGCAGTTGTTTTAAAAAGTTATGAATTAACAGAAGTTTATCCTGAGGCCTTGTACAGTAAAGCACTGGCCTGTGAGTCCACCCTTACAGTTGAGTCATTGAGTGTAGAAAGGGAAGTGATTTTCATTCTGCATGCTCCTGTAATGTAGATACCAATCAGCGAATCATGAGGGGAATTAGAAACACACTGTTGTTGTTGTTTTTTCCTCTTTAAGCAATAACAGCAACAAGTCTCCGCACAGAGCCTGGATTCATTCGTGGTCAAAATGCACAAGCGCTCACATGTCGTCCGACGGACCTGATGTCATGTTGCATTAAATAACGAAACTCATGAGCTCCAGAAGTTCTATATTGAAGTGTACGTCCTGACCATAGACTGTATACAGAAAGGACAGAGTCTGCCTCCTCGATGGGTGAAGCCACTCTGAGAACAGCACCCTCTGTTGATGGGCTGCAGTATAGGTCATAAATCCTGCCTCTGCCAGCAAAGCTTATGGGGCTGTGGTGCAGAGTGAGGCGGATGACCGGACCAAGATGGCGGCCGCATTTCCCGACAGCGCCCATTCGTGGTAGCGGCCGATGCGAGGTCTATCTTTTATTATGTCTATGGGGGGGATACGCTGTTTGAGCCGAGCGTCATCACAGTGACTCTCTGCGACTGCGCGGCCGAATGCGCACAACGCTAATGCACAGTGCTGGTTTCAGGAAGTGAAGAAAAATCCCGGTAATACCGAGAGCTTTTTGGCTTCAAATCCGTATACAGGCGGAAGGCGGAACCATGTTGTTCATAGTATATACAGTCTATGGTCCTGACTGGGAAAATAGGCAATACCCAAAGTTATTAATGTGTATTTTAAGTGTCTAATTTGGGTATCGGGGTATTATCAATGCAGTGCTTATGTTCTGCACAGACAGTTCCCCTCCCCTATCCTCCTCTCCATGATGGTTCACTTAAGCAAACTGCTGTGGGTACCACTTAATCTTATAATAACCAGAACAGTGCAAAGTGCAAAGAGGTCTTTCCCAATATCACACCAAACTTAGTCAATGAAGGCGCAGCCCCCACCTCCTCCTCTCCGATCCTCTAAAAGGCCACCATTGTATGTGAGGAATTGCCATGGCTACTGCTGACGAACTGTAAGCCTTTAAGAATTATTAGCATTCCTCTCTACCCCGAGCACTGTAGCAAAGCTGCTCGCTTCGCCATCAATCCGCCTCGGGGAGAAAACACACCATTTCTTTCATGAGAAACTACAGGAATTTCCATCTGGCTGGGAATTAATTAAAGTCGAATTATGGGCTGCAGCAATATTGGGCTACTCAGACAAATTCAACAACACCCATGGAGGGGAAGAGTGAATGTGGACTTGTTAATGAGCACGGTGAGAGGCCAGCAAAAGCCACTTGTCTGAGGCGCTACCTCAGCAGTAATGAAGCAAGATGGAGAAAAAGACAAAAAACAATGTGAGCATTGAAACTTACGTTTTCTTTAACACTGTCGACTCCTCTAGTAGCTGAAATTACTTGTTAATATCCTTAAAATGGTGTCCTTGAGTCAGCTAGCACATCTGCAACTTTAAATCTATTGATCGCCACAAACATTAAAATGTCTTTCTTCATCTTGGTGTCACTTTCTAGAGTTTACACATGTAAAAACAAATTTAATCGAGTTGAAATTGAAACCAGGACATCCCAGTTTATAGAGTTTGGGAAGAAAAGTCGATTGCATTTCGATTATAAAAAGAAAAACCAAGCAATGACGACCAGATGTTTTTGAGGATTCTGCAACCCTCACATGCCAAACACATGTGATGAACAAGGAAACTCCATTGTTGTGCCCAATTTTATGATGATCAGGAAACTTAGAAGCTACTTAAACTAATCATATGACTGAAAATAATGCAATATAGTGATTACAAGCCTACTGAGCTTATAAACAACCGCTATGTTCTTTAAGAAAGCAGCAATTGTATCTTTGTCTGTGAGAGAAGGAAACTGGCTTTCACAATGTGCCCACTATTAGGCTCAGAATGAGAAAGTCTAGTCCAATAGTGGCACAACAGGCTCCACTATCAGACCTGGTACTCCTCCAGTCCTTGGCACCTCCAACGATGCAGTAAAAGTAGGTCTGCATGGGACCCAAGAGGCTGCAGGACCCCGGTGGTTCCACGGTGTGTGCCAAAACAGCAACACGAAGAGTACGTCCCCGGAGTGTAAGCAAACAGTGGTTTCAGTTACGCCTTTCTAAGTAGCTCCAGGTACAGGTTACAAGTAAACAGCCCTGCAAAAACACATCCAGACTCTCACCTGAAAGGAACCAGACGGAAGGCTTCTCAACAAAGACTTTTAGAGAAAAGTTTAAGATGCGACTACTAAAGATAAAATAAAGAAATGTTTAATTGAGACTGTTAACAAAGAGGGTAACAGTGATCGGCTGCGTGCGTTGAGTTTGATAAGATACACATGCAAGGACTCTGCAGCAAGAATAACCACCAACAAAGGAAGTTTGTGATGTTTTTGACCATTTATTGCCTGTAAACTCCTCGGGTAGCGATAAATTGGTGCGAGGGCTTCTTAGAACAAATGTTCTTTTATGAATGTTTTATTAGCGAGAAAGTAGATCCAGCTTTAACCTTTGATATTCTTCAATCATGTGCACTGTCAAACTGAAACTCTGATCTGAAACTCATGATGCCGGGGACTTTTTTCCGTCTGATTAAATTTTGTTATTTCATTCCCAAATACAGAACCATTCATTTTTCTTCTCTGTAAACTTGGCAGCCGCTTAAATATGCTTTAAATTGTTCCACATCTTTTATACATTAGTGCTTTTATCAAAACCAACAGTCCAGTTAAGTTTGGACTGTCACGACGCAAGTGCTTTATGAAATACCTTGCATAAGCAGTTTGAATCAAGGCAACTTCATGTGAGCCGCACTCACAGTCCAGTCTTTCAGTTTTTTTCATTTTTTTTTTGCGTGTTACCCACTAATTTTATTTGCATTTCCTCCTTGATTTGAACTTCAGGCGATCAGGACATGGGGACAGCACCCTGTGGATCAAAGAGAGTTGTGATGTTAAGATCTCCAATAAGAGGCTAAATGGAGTTAACTTCGTTTGCAGGAATCTTCACTCTGATGGTTACCTTGGCGATCGGCTGTGGCTTGGGGACTCCCAGCAGATCACAAAGCTGGTTCCTGTAGGGCTTCACCTCAGCGAGGCTGCTCTCCCTGGAGGTGAAATGCAGCGAGGAAGTGTCACAAACACGACCAAACAAAGAGGATTTAACAGCTTAATCGAATGAGGCGACGAACCAGTTAGTGTCACTCAGCAGGGTGGTGACCTCGTCCAACACCTCTGGATCGATCACGTCATCATAGTACAGCAGCATCTCGTACATCTGGCTGGCTGTGGTCTTCCTGATCTGAGGTTAGAGGGAAAGTGAACGTTCAATTTGCTTTGCAGTTAAAGTTATAGCCATACTGATTCATATACTGGGAAAAGGTGGCTTTGCTGTCTTATAACCTAGGCCCCATACATGTTTTTACACCTGTGTGACAATCATTAAAAGGCTGTTTTTCTCTGTGTTTTGAGCTCCTGTCCACACATGAACAGAGTTTCAGGCCACTGAGGTTTTCCATGGTGGAAATTTTTAGAAACAAAAAAAATCTGTTTATATTTCACCTATGGTCAGAGGGGGTTAACCAAGGATGGTGTAACTCCTCACACATAACTGTCAAGGAGAAGTTGTGTTATCCAGATACTGAACTGTTGGCAGTTGCTTTTCATACATATTATGTTCCAAGTGAGTTCAGTCATATCATAACAATACATGTATACATCCTACCCAAGGCAACGGCTGAAGTTCTGTATGACGTTTTTTATGATACTGTTGCTAGGATACAGACTCAACATCCTGAGGCACTTGTAATAACATCAGGAGACCCTCTCTGCTCATCTGTGTGGATTTACACGGTTTGTTAACTGTCCTACCAAAGAAAACAAATCCTGGATCTGCTGTTTGCCAGCATTTCAGAAGCTTACAGAGCTACTACCTTTACCACCACAGCGCAGGTCAGATTATAACTAGGTTTATCTGAGACTCCAGGCAAATGAAATTCCCTCAGGGATAAATAAAGTTCTAGTATTATTACCAAAAGGACTCTACTAAACGTCAGTGTTTGGCAGCCTGTGAATAAGAACAGTCGGTGGTGAAGTAGCTTTGACAGAAGGTGAATCAGGGAAAAACACAAATTTCAAACTTACACAATCCCACAATTTCCTGTGCATTTATGCGGGGAGCGTGATCACTATGAAACAATTAAAAACAGCATCTGAATTGGCCCTTCGTTTTCTCTCTCAAACATTTATCCATGACCATGTAATGACCGACCATCACTGCTCCTTCAAGGAAATTATATCAGTTTTAAAGCAGGTGGTATTAAAAGTGTGGCAGTATCCAGAGTTTGAGTATGTAGAAATCTCACACCGATCCTATATCGTGGTTGGTCCAAAATGCTTGACAGATATTGCCATTCCTTGTCTGGCTTGGTAATACTCTAATGTAATTCAATATAACCAGCTAACTCTGCAGGCTTAAATGATATTTTACGGGCATTTAAATAATGCGAATGCCATGCGTGAAGAAGGATGCTGCATTTTTGTAGTGTTTAGTGTCAGCCCGTTCGATCCAATAAAGTTGGTCTAGCATTCCTCCGTTCCTTTCGGACCTACCACTGGAAACGAATGGCAGAGCAGCATCAGCAGCTGGAACAAAACCTTCTTCCTCACATCCCCCTGGAACTGGATCAGCCCGCAAAAGCTGCAAAACAGCAAACAGCACAGTCAGCACAGATGGTCTTTTCTGCCTCGGTGCGGTAGAAAATGTGCACTCAGTGAGGATGAAGACTTACACAGATATACAGGCCAGCAGCTTGGAAATATCTTTGGCCTTCTTGGACTCTTTGCAGAGAGTCAGAAGTTCCACACAGAACGGATGACTAAGGAAAGGGATTAGAGAAAGAAGTCCGTTTTTGCAGATACCGGCCTTCGATGATCTTTTTTTGTTTTAATAAAGCTGGAGAAATACTCACTTCTCTTGTGTGGTGAAGATTTCGAAGCAGCTGTTAGCGAGCATCTGATTGAGCATTTTGAGGAAAGGAATGGAAACTCTGAAGAAAAGGCACAAAAACGAGAAATCAGAAATAACTTACTGCATAAAAAAAGAGGGAGCGGAGCAACATTAGAGTAAAAGAAATGAATCAAGGAAAGATTTAAATAGTTTCCAAAAAGTACCTGTCATTGCGGAGGTTGTCCCTGAAGACGCTCAGCAGGGTGTCTCCAAACTGTGAAAGTGCTGCATTGTCTCTCTGAATCCCTCTAAGATAGTCAAACAACCACTGAGAGGAAAAATGCACCTGAAAGAGAGCAGAAGAGAGGGGGCAGCTAAAGTGGAGTGGACAGAAATAAACAGTCACACAATCACTGCGGTGAGGCTGGAGCTGAGACGTTTCCTGACACTTTTTATTGCAAAGTAAAAGTGAGAATGGAAATTGAGGTGCTCTGATTTACTGAACACTGCAGATAAAAAAAAATGTCTGGACTATCTCAACTATCGGCCGGTTTGATCAAATGTGTTCTGTGTGAACTTTCGGGGCCGTGGAAGGATCAATTGCAAAACTGATGATTTCATCTGACTACAGGAACAACCTTGGTGCTTGCATCATAGCAACCCAACGTCAACAAAGCAGCATGGAGACGCCGTGTTTGGTTTTCTGCTCCACACTGAGTTTAAATATCTGTTTCTTTTGAAAGGATATCCTATCGTATCACAAATGGCATTGATAAATATATTGAGAAATGTTTTTTAGACTATTCTTAACAAGGTGGCTAAAATGCATCAGCTTAGACTGATCATTATGGGATGTTCTGGAGAGGCTGGCATGGAAATGGAGGTAAAGGTAGACTGGGTTTATTACAGGGTTATATTTACTGGAAGACTACCTGTAGAAAGTTCACATGGGACAATGCAACACATGTGGTGGTTGTATTTGGTAAGATTGTTTAACATATTGAGCACGGACTAATTTTACCTGTCTTGGATTTATGTACTTGTTTTTACTTCTCCTTCTCCTTCATAAGACTGTATCTTTTTGCCTTTTTTTAATTATTTCTTTAATAAAATTTAAAGTCAATAAAAGTTGAATCATAAAAAAAAATAATATTTGTTTCTTTAAAGGGGTATTCCGGCATAAAATTAATTTAGGTCATCATTACTTTATCACTTCCTTGAAGTAATAATCACCATATTAATCATTTTGCACTGCAGACGTGGTAGTTCTTTAGCCTTAACGTCTCGGTCTGATTGCATTTCCATGAAGAAATTATCATAAATGTTCTTCCTTGAGCTGCGTCACCCCACTGTAGCTTGTGATGGGCTGGCCCGAGGTCTCACTACAAACAAGCAGCTGCTAGAAGAGAGTAAGTGAGTTGTATTTAGTCTCACGCAAAGTTAAAAAGATGTTTGGTGGCTAGTGCTGTGGCTGGGACCCTGTATGTACTGTTGATGAAGTTAGCTGCTGTTCTGAGCATTATTTGTGGCTTTTTGGTCGAAGTTTGTTTATGGCTCCTCAGACCGCTTTGTATTGCTATCTTGCGATTGTTACTAAAGTTGGTATAACTAGAGAAGCAAGAGGTCGGGAACATTCATCTCTCGACAGGGTGTCTAACTCAGTGTTTGACCCTAACTTAATTTTACGCCAGAACATCCCTTTAAGGTTGGATCTTGATTCTTTTAAATGTGCACAAACTAAAAGTCAATGCATGTGAATCACATTTTGTTAAAAAGAGTCTCGACTCTGACTGTTTTGCTGTTTGGCTCTTGTCTGTGGACATCCTGGCTGGCTTTCAGCGCAGCTCCTGGAAAGTTAGTGGATGCTTCATCTCTCTGGCCTGTGTGAATATGTGCCTGTGGTGTGAGAATGGTAATCTTGGCCCACGTATCGATGCAGTGCTGGCTCCATTTCTTGCATTCAACCCTGTACAAACATATCAGTCCGTCACGTCTCCGCGGCTGAAGGAGCGGGAGGTAAAAGCAAAACCGGAGCCAGATCGTCTCTGAGGGAATATGTTTACAGTCTCAACTGGCAGATGAGTCCAGCCTTACTGATTTTGCTGCTGTTACAGGCTTTAGACTTATTTTTCTTTTATTATATCCACAAACAGTGAATGTTAAGAATACCCTTGCCGTCATAAATCTCACTTATAAAGCATTGCTTTTATTAGGGCAGGTCAAACTGGAGCATGAAAAGGAGGAGGAGAGAGAACTTGATCAACCCCCATTTAGGGGCCCCACATGAACCCCCCGAGTGATGGTGTGCAAGAGGTCAGAGGGGGAGACAGGTTTCAAAGCTGTTATTTAGCAGTGGGTTAAAAAGCCGATGGGAAAACATGTTCAGGAACTCCTCAATCTGGATCAATAGTTCAAGATCAGATGGTTGCCACAGTGTGGAGTTAAAAAACAGCCTGATACCTGTCACAGAGGACTTTAAAATGAGAGTGAGGCAGTGTGGTTTCAAAGGCCGACGACTTTAGACACATGGCTCCCCCTGTTGGCCAAAAAGAATCTGACAACAATAACAAGCGAGAGCTGATTTTGTGATTACTGGCAGCAGGTTTAACCAACATCTATCCGTGAAGTTCCTCCACAGTCAGTCGTCTTCAGGAGATCTATTTTTACACGCTCGCAGTAAAAGGTTAAAACAACAGTTAAGAGTGACTACATGCTGAGATCAATCACGCTCTTTTCTTAACTTCATGCATATATCACTTCATCTTTTTACTATATACTTCCACTAAATCCCTTGTGGAGTGGAAAATATCTCTTACAAAAACCTCGTCTTTGGTAAATTGTGGGATTATTTAGTGCTTCCTTTCAGTTTAAAACCAGAACTTGTTTTATGCTTGTTGTTTCACTTCCCTCCAACCTCAGTCTTTGGGTAAACAAGACGTGTATAAATTTGCCTCTTCATAACATACAAAACAAAAGCACATTTATTTATCTAGATTGATTGATCAGAGATTTTCATGCCTTTTCTGTGCAACACTTTATGTTTTCCTTTTTTTCTTTTAAACCTGTCGACATCTGACAATGTTTAACTCCTCCCATTAAAACTGACCTACCGTGGACTCTGTGATCCCTCCTACAGACACGGTGAGGCCCAGCAGGGTGTGGTGCTGATACTGAGGCAGTCTCAGCAGCTGGGTGATGTACTTAAAAGCTTGGGATGGGGCATTCCAGTTCAGACTGGTTAAGGTCTCCCTGAAAGAAAGAAAAGAAAGTCACAAATATGAGAAAATATAATCCTAAAAACTTTCTTTTTAAATCTTTGAATCAAGTGTTGGTATAAATCCTCTTAGAGTTAGTTTAGGACAGGGGTTACTCACTCAGGGAAAATGCTCAGCAGCTCCTCCCTGTGGGGGATGTGGGGTACTGCAGGGTCTGTGCTGTGGAGGAGGCGAAGGAGGATGTTTCCAGCGTGGGCTCTGTAGCGGTCAATCTTTTCTGCTGCTTGCTGGGAAAGGCAGCACATGGTACACTTCACCCTGACATGGAGAATAAAAGGAGGAAAAAGAAAAGGGGTTTTGAGCACGCTCAGAAAGCCATGCTGTGTGTTACTTCACAAAGATCATTGTTGAGTTCTCATGACCAATATCCACTCATCTGTTAACTTTCTTCTATATCTGGGACTGCTCTGTTGCAGCGAGCTAAAAGCTAAGTCATCCTTCGACATCTCTCTCCCTGGAAACCATTTTCAGGTCCTCTTGGGATATCCCAAGAACTTCAAGATTCATAAACCCTCAAGGATGAGTTGGGTCCACATTCTGTTGAAGGCTCTTGTATCCTGCCATTTCAAAGTGGAATATTTACACCTCATCTCACCTCACCTCATGATGGTAGAAAAAAATGATGGGCAAAGTCAACCCACCTGAGATTTTGTGAGAGAGGTGCAGAAGGGGAAAGATGGTAGCAGTGCGGAGCATCGGAGCCCGCAGGGCAAGTAAATGCAACGCAAGAGAGGTTCAAAACTTGATGCACTTTGCTCATCGTTGAGCTTTCTTCAGATTTAAAAAACTTCTTTCATCCCCTGCTCCAAAATTAGCTTTTAATATTCTCCTTAGAATTAGGGGCTACGCAGTATGGTTGAAAAATAATAGATATATATCCTGATATTTTGAAATCTCTTCTAAATCAGTGTGCAAGGGTTCAATTCGACTTTTTTAAGCATTAAATGACACCAGTATGTTTATTAAAGTAGTCCTTGTTTTCCGTTTTTTGCGTGCATACAAAAAAAAAGGAAAATCCCAACAAAATTGAACAAAGCAAACTTTTATTCTGAACTTGGCAGCTACACACATCAGAATATTTGACACTTGCATGGTGGGCCTCTTTACTGTGGCCTCATCCTTAAAGACCAAAAACCTTAAGTTAAAGTTAATTTTTTCAGGGTTCTTACGCAGTTAGAAATTCCCTACTTTTCCATGCCCTACTTTTTAGAATTATTTTTGGAAATACCTCCTTTTCTCTTTTAGAAAACCATGTCTTTTTCCTGTGGCATTAGTCTAGAAACCTAAATATTTTTCCATACTTTATTTTTCATTTATTTTACTTTTTAAGACCTGGAAATTGATCAAATTAATTCCATACTTCTCCATACTTGCGTAGGAACCCTGTTTTTTCTGCTCGATCATGTCCATAAAGACATATTTTTTTAGAAACGAGTGATTTACAGTCTCCTATTTATCAAGTGGAACAAGCTACAACATAATGAGCCAATATCTTGCACCCCTAAGCTGAATGTGACGATCCAGACTCTGCTGCCTTGGAACAGTTGCATAATGTCTGAGCGCTGGTGACAGTGAGGTCTGCCTGTGTCGTCCTGTCGACAGTGTTATTTATAATCTAGATGCATCTGAAAAAAATCTTGTATTTATAACAAATTAACAGTTATTATTAGATACGTGCTCCTACGCTCTGTGACAACCTCTCCTTTTAAAACAAACTGATTATTTCCAAATGCCGTCAGTCAAATTCATATTGAAGGGGACAAGTCCTGACAGTGTCCCCACCTAAATCCCCAGCCATCATTCAAAGTTTATATGTAAAAACAGCTAAAGGCTAACCCCCGCTGTGCACAAGAAACTCACCATGTCCATCACCTCATTACTTTGTCATCATTCACAGCTCGTGCCAACGGCTGAGGATTGATGCACAGATCTAACAGTGAAATCAAAGCTTTGCTGTCTTCACACAGTTGTTTCCACTGAATTTCACAGTTTTTAGGGTGGGTCATTAAACGTAACCTACATTTTTTTTTCACCCGGCCTTTTTTTTTTCTTGCAAAACTTTGTTCTGAGTTGGATTTATTTAAGCCGGGGTATTTTAGCCACACCTTGGGACACAAAAGTCAGCAAAGGCAATTAAAAAGCAACAAGTTTGGCATCTTCTGTGGTCACCTGCTCCAGCCGTGAGACACAGGGTGGAGTTTGTCTGTCTGTTCTGTTAGACGAAGTAAGGAGTGGTCTCGGTTTTGCTACTTACAGGTCGGGCGAAAGGATCTCCGGAGCGCTGCGAGCCACCAGTAGAGTCAGATCCATCAGACTGGTCATTGCTGCCTCTCGCACCCTTCAAACACACGACAGAATTAATCATGCTAAATTATCAGGATCTCATCAATCATCGCCGCAGCAACACTTGATAGTTTAATCTCTTTAGACTCATGACCTGGGTACAAGAAGAAACATGATCTAACACAGAGACACATGCGGCGACATTAAGATCGCACTGAAGTGTCGCCAGATTTGGCAGTTTAATAGTCAAATGACTGTCGATGCTGCGGGGGACAATTTGTTTTCGTGAAATGTTAATCAGATAATTCATCCTTAAGTCAAATCTGGAAACAGGTGCGCGGGCCTCGAGTTGAACTGTGGATTACCTGCCTTTTGGCAAACATTAAAGAGGGCCATAATAGGTAAAAAAATAAATAAAAAAAGGAGTAAACTTGTGTGATCAAAATACTAAAAAGAACCGAATGAGGAATGAGTATGTACAAACAAACAGAGAAACAGATTGAAGAGACAGAGGGAGGGGAAGGTAAAGAAGCAGCACATTCTGTGTCGTGAGGCCAAGTGACAAGCCAGGTGACATTCCAGGCGGTAAGCATGGCCCGGGGCTACCAGCGACACGAGCAAACAGGGACAGAAAAACACCAGGGGCCTCGGGCGACGGAGCGTTCCTCCTCCCCGGGGCAAAATAAAAGTGTGTGTCTGTTTGCTGTGAGTGTTTATGTGCGTGTGTGTGTTCTGTGGGAGTTCACGCACCAGGCGCCTACGTCCCCTCTGCTGTCCGTCGTGTAGTCGTTCATGCAGGTGAGCAGAGTGCCGTAGACCTCCGGGACGTTTTCAGAGCAGAGGGATGAATCTGGGGAGCCCTGAGCGCAAACACCCACCTTCTCAGACACTCTGAAGGGGGACAAGAAGACAGAAAGAAGGAGGTTATCAGCAAATGCGCAGGATCTGATAAAGTGGGGGAATCAATTAGATAGAGGAAGCTCAAAAGAAGCTGCACAGAAAACTGCTGGACATTCAGGTCCTGCAGGTATCGTCAGCCAACTGTTTATTTTAGCATTACTGCCTACGCAACAATGGAGACAGGAAAGACACCGAACAAAGAGGAAACCACAGAGCAAAAGTTTTAACTCTAAAAACAAAATAAACAGATGTGTTGTTTGTGGATACCCACTGAGCTATGGCTTTGACTGCATCTCTCCTCGCCTCGGTAAAATTTCCCTCTTTCAGGGTGACAGTGCACATCTGCTGAAGACCTTCAAGGATCTATCACAGAAACACAGAAAATTTCAAAGAGAGAGATTATAGGGGTGTAAACCGTCTGGAAAATGTGCACAGCCTCCCTGACACACCTGCTTCAGTTTGCTATGGATCATAAATCTCGGCAGGCAGCCGAGAGCGAGGGCAGATCCGCAGCGAGTGAGCATCTGAGGATTCTGTAGGCCTTCGGTGTACTGAGACACCAGGACATCTGCACAGGTCGACGAGACAAACACACCCAAAAGTCAAAATGTGAAGCCTTTACTTTAAATTCAGACATATAATGATAAAATTACACACACCCTGCATTTGTGCATCAGCCCGGCCTGGTTCAGCCTGGTAGTACTCCTCACATAAGGCAGACAAAGCTAATACAGCGGCATCCTGCAGACAAAGGAATAAAGATTAGGACATGAAGACAAAGTTTATATAGTATTAACAGAAACAAGGCTATAGAGTAATAGTGACTGGACTTACCATAATGGCATCCTTTGCACCACTGGAGATAAAATGGAGGGTCTTTATGGTGTCATCGATGAGAGACTGCCAGCCAGCTGAAACACAGAGTCACAGTTTTAGAGTTGTGGTTTGGTTATTAAATAAAACAAAAACATTAAATAGATGAGTGAAACACTTTAACTTACCGACAACAGGCTCGTCTTTAAAAGGCATTTTGGACAAGGACAGCTTTTCTATCAGAGTGAACACTGTGGAGGAAAATTAAACCGATGAAATGTGCAGAATCATGACAAAACTTTTAACTATTTAATCCACGGTGAGGAAATCTACCCTCTCATTTGCTTTTGAACTTACTCGCTGGCCTCATCAGCTCTCCACCAAAACCCCTAAAGAAAACAGCACAGTTTGGATCAGAGGCCAGAACGGTATTTAACCTTCAAACCAGACTAGTACTGAAGTTTCTGCCTACCTGTACTGTTTCCTGTCCTGCAGCTGAAAGAATTTGAAGAGTTGAATGTTAACAACAGTGTGACAGCGACATTTTCTGGTTGACTTCCTTTGAATCACCTACCATCTGATGAATGTTTTTTAACGCGTCCACACATTCTGAGGAAATCATGTCCACCACGTTCCTGTGAGAGAAAAACAGATGAGACATGAGAATAGTTTCTGTTCAAAGTAATAGAGAAGAAAGCAGAATCACTATATACTGAGAACTATTTTCCCAATATGGGCTGACATAAAAATGCTTATGTGATGAGTTAGAGACTAAAAGGTTCAAATTGCAGCTGCTAATTGCACCAAGAATTGAAGATGTTTGATACCTGCTCCGTCTCAAGATCTAATTTATGAGATTAATTTATAACTTATATCCATATTTATGATGAGCTGGATGAATCCTGTGAGGTTCATGTCACACTTTATATCCAGCTGACATCCTGTTGCAAGCTTGCAAAAATTCAACTAGTTCAGATTTAATCACTGCAAAATGGCACAGCCTGAGTGTGCAGTGGCTGAGCTAAACACAGACTGATTATTGTAAAAAATAAAAGACTTCATTGCAGATGCATCACACTTCTAGGTCATTCACTTAATCACTAAAAAGTCTGAGCATGACATTGCTTGCAAATCCTTCAGTAATAGCGTGAAGCAGGTAATGAAATTTTCACTCTAACTGCTTGTGGCTGTAAGCACTCGAGTGGTGAATTGGGTGTATATTTTTTGAGGCTTGTTTGTAAAGAAAGGAGCAAATTTACTCCAAACGAATGCATAGTGGCTCATCTAAATGTGTGCAAACAACACTAGTGCAGAGATGCTATTTGCTTAGCAGTATTTAACTTTTTGTGCATGCTTTTTTTTTTTCAATCTTTGTCAAGTTTGTCAGACACAAGAAATGGTGCAAAACGTCTCGTGGAACAGACCAAGAGTCCAAACCCACGAAAGAGGATCAGGGCCACATGAAGAGAAAAACAATCATTACAGAGAGGAAATTAAAGTCGAAATTTCAAGATGAAAAACATCAAAATTATGTAGATAAAGTTGGAATTTCGAGAATAAAAATTGAAATTTTAAGATTACAAAATGTCGAAATGTCGTGAAAAAAAATTCGAGATTAAATAAATTAAAATTTTGACATTAAAGTTGAAATTTCGAGATTACAAAATGTCGTGACTAAAGTAAAAATTTCAAAATTTAGGTCGAAATAACAAGATTAAAAAAATCTAAATTATGTCGGTAAAGTCGAAATTTCGAGATTAGAAATTGAAAGTTCCAGATTAAAGTCAACGTTTCGAGAAAATTTCGTGAATAACGTAGAAATGTCTAAATCAAATAAAATGTAAATCTTGAGATTTAAGTCAAAATTATCTGATTACAAAATGTAGTGAAAAACATAGAATTTCAAGTTTAAAAAAAATTGAATTTTAGATTAAAGTCGACATGAATAAAGTCAAAATTTCGACTTTAATCTCGAAATTTCATCTTTACTCTTGACATGGATATAAAAAATCTTCCTCCTGTGATTATTTTTTGTCTCTTTTTGTGGCCCTAATCCTCTTTCATACAAACCTCAGTCGTAAAATCAACCTGGGCATTATTTATTTTTTTTAATATTCATTGCTCTGTAAAGTATTCACCTTGGTGCCTATCAGGAAACACACATCCCACACAAACTTAAATATATATCAGCTAATGACAGTCCTGAGGCACAAGGACGTCAAAAATTCTGACTAACTACCTGTTAGTCTGAAGAGACAGTTTATACAGAGCGTGAATAATCTCGGCACATGCCAGGATGGCTCCATGTCTGCTGTGCAGGTCTATGCCCACAGCCATGGGTAACAGCTGTGGCAACACTAAAAACAACAAGGAAAACAAACACAGTGTATCAAGTCATGAGTGATAACTGCAGGTTTTCATCCTCAACTATCACTCATTTCCCATGAAGATTTCTACTTTCTCCACGGCCCCAGAAACCGGTAAGGTGACATTGTTTACCTGTTGATGCCATGTATTCAGGCGCTTGAGGCGTCAGGTTGTGGAGTGCTTTAGAGGAAAGTTCTCTTATCGCTCTGCAAGAGAGGAAAAATTAAAACAAAGAGGGCTGTGGTGGCGTTTAGGGGAATTCACAGTAGATGGAGTCGTGTGATACAAGTACTTACGTGTCCCAGTGATTAACCTTCATGGCAATCAGATGATCTATCATTGCCTTTGTGTATTCAGGAAAACTGGCTATGTAGACGCTTTGAGGGGAGAAAAAAAAAAAGAAAATTTCTTCTGAATAGATGTCAGTCAAGGCGATGAGTATGAAACCATCATAAATCTTTTTCAGCCATCTCATTTCACTTTCTAAATCTTAATTCTGTCTTTAGTGTTTGGTGCAGTTCCAGTCACACCCTGAGGCTAGCATCTTTCCTTATTTGACTACCTGAATGTTTGTTCTGCTGTTGGCGACACAATCCTGCCAGACAGTAGGTGTCACCTCCTGAAAACGGCTGGTGGTGGTGACTTTACTGTCCTAACAAGCTAACTGTGTGCACAAAGTTGGCGGGAGATCATCTCTTATTCTGAAAAACACACTTTACAAACTGGCAAAGTTTGTGTTACTTTGTTAGTTTGATTAACAGGGATCATACGGATAAACGCTGGGGTGTAAGAGCGATGCAGCACATGTAATGTATGCAGAAGCTCATTTGCAATTCCTGTTTAAACACCTGTTCAGGTCAAAACAGGTGAAAACACTCAGGCTGCACAAGTGAGTGCATCAAACTGATTCTAGCTGTTTGAGTCAGGGTTTATGAGCTTCTACATGCATGCATATCCAGGCTTCTGTTTGAATTAAAGGAACGGTTCAGAATTTTTCCTTTAATAGTTGAGTATTTGAGCTAAGATTGTATTTGAGCTAAGATTTTATGAATCAGCCCGACTGCAGCTCCACTAGTGTATAGATTAGGGAAAATATGGCCAAAGAGAGCACTAAAAAATTAAAATGTGGGGAATTAAACTGTGTCTTACCTAATAGTCAGATAGCACTTGTTCAGATTGCCCACTGCATAGTAGTCGGCTGCGGTTAAGATGTCAATACCATGAGGGAATGTCCCCTGTTGAGTGAGAAGCAAACGATTATCCGATGCATTTGCAGCAAATTCATTAATAAAGGCAGAGCTGGTTAATTTAATAAAATGGGAAATAAATCACTCGCCGTAAATCAAATGCATGATGTAAAGAGACAATGTTAGTAATAAATCTATGTTGTTGGTTTAAAGCCTTGCAAAGTGACTCTCCACTCAAAAAGCCTTTGCAAGTTTGAGCAAGGCCCCAGATATTTGGCATTAACTAAATTTCAAATCGCTGTGATTCTGTTAGTCATCAAACACAAGCAGTCAATACTGCGGTCACAAACCTGTCGTCCTACATTCTCCTGGAAGGCGGCCTGGGATAAAAAAGAGACATCAAAAATTAGCATCTATCATTTAAGAGCAGAGATCTTCATTTTAGAGATCGTAGAAAACTTACAGAGGCAGCTCTCCGGCAGTTAACGCTTCGGTCAAACACTGTCGCTATCAGCAAAGAGCTGTGGAGAGAAATATAAAGTCTGCTTTAGAATTGGAGAAAAAGCTGCATTTATGAACTCTCCCTCCAATATCTGTAAGAACAGAATTTGCTTCAGTATTATTTAAAAAAGTTCTCTGCAACAACCACCTTGCAAAGACATTCCTAGTATCCCGAAGAGACCAAATATGACGTATCAGCATTTTTATAATTCGTCATGAGTCATTGCTACGATCAATATCATGACGACAGCTTGGTTGCATCATCCTGACAGAAATGTTTTGTTTTTTTCATGGTGCGACGGTTCCTGGCAGCGACAACATGATTAACCATGACTCCCCTTCTGTACTGGAAGTCGTGTCTGATTCTTTGACCTCAGCATCTCTCCACCCTCAGCTTCAGGAGGGGGGGTTTGTGTGTGTGAATGTCAGGCGTTAAAGGAGGGGGGTCACCCTGCTTATGCATCACAGTAACAGCCCGGGATGAAGAACTTGCAGCCTTGTTTGCTCTCCTCTCGAGCTCCAAACATCAAAATCCAGGTCTTGGGGATTACAAGCTGCCCTGATTTGGTTGTACAAACTGCCCTTGCCCTTAAGGACTGAAAACAACAACAGGCCTGGCTACACCCTGTATAATGCCCGAAGGGAGTTTCTGAATTACATCTGTGGCAGCTACATCTAACAGGCATAAAGTGTAACTGTAACTTTTGTGAGTGTGTGAGTGCCCCCGAGTCACCAGTCCCACATTCAGAAAAGTGAGTTTTCTGTCAGTGTCATCAGGCTGTGATGAAAAAGAACAGGAACCAGCTTGTCTAAGCATTGCTGCCAAACGGCGACCGAAACCTACAGCAACAGGCGAAACCTGGCAATCCTGTAGGCTAGGGAAAGGGAGGGTGTTGTCGCGACTGCTGATGATAACGGTAGTCGCAAGGGAACAAACTGACACTGCAGAGCTGGTCTGCACAGTCAGAGGCCGCAGGTCCGAACACGCATACAGAGAGAGAAGAGATCAAGAAGGCAGAACACCGTTACCGCTGACAAAGACGAAGTGCACGTCAGTTTCTCTGCACTGGATGAATAATAAGGTGTTAAAATGTTGGTAATTACTTTTTAAGGCTGGCCTCTGCACTTGGAAAAAAGCCAGCACAGTTTTTTTACCTCAGCCTATGACTCAATAAAGACAATATAGGTGTTTTTTATCCAAAAACTAAAACAACTTTAATATAGGTCTAAATTAAACAGACTGAAAAAGGATGATAAACCCCCAAAAAAACAGAAAACAAAATAAGTAATTGATTCATTATCAGCCTTTTTCAGACATGCAACCATCTACATATTCATATAACACATGAATATGTCAGGAGAGTCAAACCTGTGTATGTCAGGGTATACTTGATATCTACATTAAAGCATACTATTTATTTTATTTCCTGTATTTATCACAAATTTAACAACAGCTTTATACATCTAAAGCTGTTTTTAAACAGTTCCTGTCATTTTTTGCCGTCGAAGAATTTTTATAGAGGCCCTGAAGGTCAACTGTGTCATGATTTAAAGTTTTTCACCTTCAAGCATTTCAGTCAACCCGAAAACATTTCACCAGACACCAGAGAATGTAAAAACATTTTAAAATATGCAAAGGCAAATAGTCAATAAAAATACAAAAGCAATTCACAGAGCACAAAAATTATTCATTAAATACAAAACCAAAAATATTTTCAGAAACATAAAAACCTTTTATATCAAGATAAAACACTTTACAACTAAAACTTCGCACAAAGAAAAAAAAAAAAACTCGTAAAAACCTAAAAAAAAAAATGTTTTTTTTTTTGCATTTTTAAAAATGTTTTTTTGTTTGAAAAAGCTTTTAAATTTTGTAAATGTTTTGTTTTTTTTTTAATTAAAGTTTTGCATTTTATGGGAAGTTTGTGAGTCTTGTCTTTTTTTTAAAATAAGTTTTGGTTTTTGTGAAAACTTTCAGAATTGTTTTTTCCTTTATGTGAAACTTCACGTTTTATAAGATGCTTTTATACTATCAAATATCTATGTTCTGATTTAAAAAAAAATTGAGATAAGTGTTATATTTAATGCCTCATACAAAATCTTTGTGGTGTTGATGTTGAGGACGTTGTAATTTCCTTCATATTAGTTAATTCTCAGAGTCAAACAGAAATCTCACACCTCAGCTACATTAATAAAAAGTGACTTTTTTAGGAGCATTTAAAACCCCTTCAGCTGTTTCTGTCCTGAAAGAGTCAACACATGTGGATTAAAAAGACTCTTACTAACACTTGTAATACGACTGACTGTGAAAAAAATCCCACATGCTGACTGCTGTAATAAAAATGTGCTTAAGGAATTAGCACAGGAAATCCGGGTATAAATGAAGTCTTAGAAATCATGTCGTATTCCACTGGAAGACACGCAAAAAAGTTTTACCCAAAGAAAAGTTTGACGTAAATGTCAACGAGACGCTGAGCTCAGGAGCCCTCAATGATTTATGGAAGAAAAAAACACCAACAGGGAACCAAACACAAAAAATGGTTGTCATTATAATTAATGATCAGCACTACTTTCTTCCTTTTGAAGTCAGACGAAACACGACAAAGCCTTTTCGCTGCCATTATCTACAGCTGACATGTGTCTCTTTAACTCGGATGTAAAACTACTTTGAACTGGAGGCACAAAAACAGCACACAAGTGTATCAGCTGGTTATGTAGGGACATGCAGGATTGATCTAATGCTGTAAATATGTCCTTAGAGGCGAATTATAAGAATCAAAGTCACAATTTAAAGAGATCATGTTGACGAATGAGTTACTACACACCAATAGAGTCATTTTATGTCAATTAATAAAGGAGGAAGAAACTTTCCAAATTATATTAACACACAGCAATCTGTACCAACCTTTCTTATGTCATTACGCCGTTAATTTTGACAGATAAAAACATGTGCTTGACATGACCTGTGAGAGTGAAAGTTTTATGGCAAGAAAGAAGGGAGGGGAGGGTTACCTGGAAATCTGATCGACATAAGGCTCCAGCTCTTTGGGTTCGTAGGCCCGGGCGAAGGACCAGCACACATAGCAAGCGGCATCGCGCACGTTGGAGCCGACGCTGCACGCTCCTCTTTTTTCCTCGTAGGTCAGGGATTTGATGATGAGGGGCACGACTGCGAGAAAAGAGTAGATTAAGATGAACGCAAATCAACACATGCACTTGTTACATGTACTTTTTTGGGATGTTAGAATCAAGGAGCCAGTATATGAATTTAATACTATAATCAGGGCTGCTCCAAACCAGGTTGAGCATTTAAGATTTAATTTATATATGCATTCATAAAGAGCAATCTAATGTTTAGCTGTAATCTGCCTTTATTTTGAAAGAACTGGTGCATATACAGCTGCACGGTTGATTATCTATTTCCAGTTTGAGGCTATGTTCACCAAACTAAATGCATAATCTTCCTGTTTTCTCAGAGAATCATCTAAATGTGCATGTCTTATTCAAAATTCTGAACATGGTTATAAATCAGGAGGTAAGTTTTAAAACATGTCCGACTGTATTCCTTGAGTGCTGTTTCATTCATATAACAGGTAAAGTAAGAGAATATAATGTTGATCTTGACGGCTAGACTTCACTTTGTCGTTAAAAGTCTGTCATTTCCACAAAGATATCCACAGAGGGGAGGAGATGAAGCGGGAGTGAAAGCCCCCACCCCACCTCATCATGTAAATCATCGCTCCAGGCCTGACTAATATCAGGTACATCAATGTTGCCTGAGGGCCCTGCTGTTTAAGGCTGAAGCCCCACCCACTAGAGAGACAACACCTCAGAGAAAGGAACTCACCACACAACTAACCAAATACAGCAGACTAATGCATCACCGCACTCACTAACTAACACACTCTCAACTTTTAGCACACGCTGGAGCAGACGTCCGGACCAGATACTGAGGCTGGCTGTGGACTGTAGCTCAGGTTCAGGAGAGGGAAACAGCTGCTGCGGCCAGAGCAGGTACATTTCTAATCCATTTTTTATTTACAAGGAAACAGCGTTATTTTGAACTTATTTATTTTACAGCACTTCCTTAAAGCCTTTCTGTGTGTTTGAAAAAAAGCCTGTATTGTGTGAAGTGTCGGCTAATTTGTTGGGTGTAGTTATTGAGATTTGTTCACTGTTCGCACCTGTTACCTGTGGATTTCAACCTCCCTCTGTTTACTCTGCCAGAGTGATGCACAAGTAACATTCAAAGTACTCAACCTTATTTACAAACCCTTTAAAAAACCTATCGGACAACTTTCTAACCTTTACACATCACAATACTAACTGTTATTAAAAGTGTGGAAAACTGATCTCATAGAAATCAATCAATTTCGATCAATAATGAATTTGTAAAATAGAAATATTTTCACCTGGTTAAACTCAAAGTGTTGAGAAAAAACATTTTTAAAGAGAATTTCAAGTGAATTTTTTGCTCTTAAGAAGGGAGTGGCTTTGCGTGCCACTACAGTTGCACAGAAACTTGAGGGACGACTTCTTGCGACAGCGCATGACAAGCAGGTTCCTCCATTCGGCGGCCCGGCAGCACTTAACTCACAGCTTAAGGTGATGTTTCATTTCAAAGGCCGACCTGAGGTATTTCAGACGCCACCTTCTTCACGGTTTCGCTGGAATCGGCCACTACGACTCTAAATTCGCAGGAACATCACAGGGAGAGTATTTAAGCATTATTTCCCATGCTTGTGTATATCTAGAGCAGGTGAGCTCATCTAATAATCAAATAACCAAATGATGATGACTGGTAGAAGCATGAGCACATCCCGCAGGTGTAGTCATGGGAAGCAGGTGGCTGCTGGTTCCCACGCCGACAGCGCAGAGTTTAGTAAGGTTTAGAGGGAGCATGTCTCTGCATGCCCTTAAGGCCTGTGTTAGTAAGAGCCTCGTCTGCGCAGCACCTGTCTCTACCTGGTACCTCAGCCGCTCTTTTTCCCCTAACAGGACTAATAAGTGATGAGATATCGGAGCACATGGACAGTTGAGCAATCAGGAGGCGTTTGTAGGCAGCTGCCAATCATCAAAAAAAAAAAAAACACACCGAGACACCAGCGCAGCTATGCAAACATGTGTGTTTTGCATACAGTAGACAGGTTTTCATATATAATGATCTTCCTGCTCGGTGTGCATTGGAGTTTGAAGTAACAGTTGGAGGAATACATTAGCCTGAGGGTGCGGCGTTTTGTGCAGCTTGAGATTTTTCTGCCTGCGCGGCCGAAAGAACACAGAGCGGAAAACCTCCCGATGCGAGCCGCTCTCCAACGGAACCAGTTCAACCACTCTGAGCTTAACAGCGAGACAGTGAGCCTAGTAAGACCTGGTGCAAACTGAAATGACTCAGCTGTGACTCTTACACCTGTCTCGTGTGCTTTAAAAGCATCTTCTTCAAGTGCTACTGTCTTCTTACGACGATGCATGTTTCTCTCTTTCAGGATATTCGCATTCAAGATGGAAACTGTCCAAGAACGCAAACCCAAAAGGCCACACTACATTCCTCGACCGCCAGGCAAGCCCTTCAAGTACCAGTGTTTCCAGTGTCCTTTCACCTGCAACGAAAAGTCCCACCTCTTCAACCACATGAAATACAACCTGTGCAAAAACTCCATCTCCCTGATGTCGCAGAAAAGTGGGACAACAGCGCGGCAGGTCAAGGCCGCAGCGAAGGGAGCCCCCGTGAAGTCGAAGGATTGTCCGAGCCCCCCGCCCGCAGCGCGGAGCAGCAGCCCGGAGAAACACAGAGCCAAAGAGAACAAAGACGAGAGAGGAGACGACACTGAAGAAGTAGACGTTGGGCGTGACAGTCCGCCGCTTGTTAAAGAGAGCCAGAGTGTGACAAAATCAAATACAGTAACAGAGAGAGAGAACAAGGAGAGCGGTGAGGACAAGTCTGTACCGCGCCCTTCTGCCTTCTCTCCTGTCACACCCAAAAACGACGCTACAGAAGCCTTCAAGCCATCCGTGCAGCAGGCAGCAGAGGAATCGCAAGCTCCAGTCGCCACTTTTAGCCACCCGGGCTTCCCGTGGGGCACGATTCCACCATCCATTCCTCTAAAACCGTTCCCCCCTCCAATTGTCCCAGAGTACCCTCCTTACCTCCTACCTGACCGCCCTCTGTACCCTCCATACTACCTCCCAGGAAACCCCAGTCCCACCGAGGCAAACTCTTCCTCTTTCCGGCCCCAATTCTTGGATCCTCAGAGGCCTGTTGTACCACAACCTATTGCTCCACCTCACCTCTTTCCTCCATACCCATACAGATACTGCCACCCTCTTACTCCAGGTCCCCCTTTGCATTACACCCTGTACCGACCCCATGAGCTCTCTATGCCAATTACAGGACCCAGATACCTTCCTCTGGACTTGTACGGCCCAACGCTGGGGCGGAAGGATTATGACTTTTACATGCATTCACATCCCGGTCACAACATCCTCAACACGTCTACGAAAGAGGAGGGCAACCACGGGCAGAGCGAGGAGAAGGAAACCAGGCTGAGTCCTAAAGAGGGCTGCTCGGCCTTGGGGTCCCCTGACAGACCAAATCATGCGCACATAATCCAGAGAGACACAGAGGCACCCCACTACACCAACATAGGTGTGCCACAGACGACCACTCAAGGGGGATATACAGCTAATCCTGCACAGCCCACCGAGTCTGATGAGAGACGGGAAGAGTCCGCGGAAAGTTTGCTGCAGTTGAGAAACCTGCATGTGGATGGAGGGTGAGTACCTCTTCAGAAACAGATTTTTTTTTTGTTTATTTTAGCTGCTGTTTATAAAAATATGGTTCTAATTTCTCTCTTTCTCAATTTCAGATCAGCTGAAAGCAGCAAGTTTTCTCCGACGTCTGTCTCTGAGCCGTGTCAAGAAACTGCGGAAAAGGAAACCGAAGCCGAGAGAGAAGATCTGACGCCCCTCAATCTTTCGATCAGAAGCCAGGAGAGGGAAAGCAGTCCCTCAGATCACAGATCAAGCTGCTTGGATTTAGAGAAATCAAAGACAGTGGATGTGCCTCTTAACCTCAGCCTGCGAGCCTCTTACAGCAGCCCCACTCACACTTCAGAGGATCTTCTGCAGGGGTCAGATGCCGAAGGAGAGCAGGAGGACGAACCGTGTGACCAGAGGCAAACTGCTGCACTCGCCCTCTGTCAGCTCGCCATCGCAAGCTCTGCCGCCTCTTCGTGTGACTTCAGCACCGCTGATGTGCACCCGGAGGCTAAAAAGCCAGACTCTCCAAAGAAGACCAAAAGAACAACCAAGGCGAAAGCAACAGGCGTGAAAAGAGCGAACAGCAACCTCGCTGACAGCAACTGCCATAAACCAAACAAGAGAGCGAAAGCAGCGGGGCGGGCTCTGAGGAGGCGGCCTCGCTGCTGCTAAAAAAAAAAAGGACTTTTTGATTAATTTGCAATAAGGACGGATCATCTGTGTCCCTCAATGCTGCAAGCCTCAACGGGATAAGATAAACTTATTAAAGATTTATGCTGTTTTTTTAATTAAGCACTGAAAATCAGAGTTATCTAATATCTACTGTATAGCACTGCCAAAACCCTGAATATAAAGTCATGTACAAAGACTCGCTGTCATTGGTTCGTGCATTTTATGAAACGTTCTCACTGGATCTGAAAAGGTGAAAGGCAACTTTTACTTGGGTTTTTAATTAAGGGTGTCCTGATATGATATTGATATCGGATATCGGTCCGATATCAGTGAAAAAATGAATATCGGATGATATTGTCCTGCAACTAAAACCTCCGATGTCAGCTCTCTGATACAAGCAGTCCATTCCAGACTCCACTCCAGCACCTCTATCTAGCAGCGCCTTGTTCCAGCATGCAGAGCCCACAAAATCACAACATGAGTGTGTACTAAGGTACTAACAAAGTAACATGGAGTAGGAGTGGTGTCGGCAGTGTGACGGTAATTTTTGTTTAAGTCCGAAAAAGACGTTGCAGCTGTGCAAAACTTGTCATGCACAAGTTTGTGCCGATATCTGATCAATATCGGTCAATACTGAAGGCTACAATATCTGTATTGTATCCGAAGTCAAAAAGTTGTATCGGGACACCCCTATTTTTAATATTTAAACATATTTGTAAGGTAAATATTTTATATGTAAAGACGTCTTTCTGTACTGTCAATATATATATGTTAAATAAACGTATTGTCAAGAACTTATTCATGTTCTGTTGTAACTATTTTTCACATTTGTTTTCCACGTACCATCCGTCAATCTGGAAGGCAGCAGCAGGCCTCTCCTTCCCAGTTCTGCCAGTGCCAAGCAGCCTCCGTGCCAAGCATTGTCAGTTTCCTGAAAGCTTGAAAACCAAACACACACACACAAGCACAGAAAATGTCAAAGATGATGCATTAGTGGATTATCATCCTGATTGAAAATACAACTAAATATCAAAGAAAGCATAAAGGACAGGACAGAGTGACAAGTTAAGTCAATTTGCCTCCAGAATGAAACTACCTGAGGCAGTCCAGCACTGAACCAACCACCTCATCTGCCAGTTCTTTGGGAAGCCTCCCGGTCACCCTGCCAATGCTGAAGAGATTCAAGAAACAGATTATTATTGTAACGCATAAACCCCTGCAGATAAGCAGTCCTTATTCATCACAGACAAGTAGCAACAAGGTTGTTTTTCAAAAGTTACACTTTCCAAGATGACATATGTATGAGCACGGTTACCCCTTTGCTGCAGACCAGCGCACTATCGTCTCCTTGTCTTTAAGTCCCACCAGAAGATGCTCTGTAAAATCACACACGGACAAACAATGAGTTCCCTGCAATCATCAAATCGAATGTGATTCATCTCTTTGCATGGAGGCTGAAACTGACCGATAACAGTCTCCACTTCTTCGGGGATGTCGTAGTCCTCCTCCTGTTCTCGTGTCTCCACATCTGGAGTGACGGCAGCTGTAGCTGCAGCAGACTGGGACATGGAGAGGTTTGCTGCAAGGGAGCGGCTGCCTCTCTGATACCTGAAAAACGTGTAAGAGATATCATATAAACAATTACTAAATAAATAGGGACATACTTACGAACTAAGAAAACTTAAGTCTTCTGTAAATAGTCCTTAAATGTCTTTGTTAGTGTCAGCTTCCAGAGCTTAAGCCTCTCCAAATAAAACAGTCAATTGACTATCAATTAAAAGCCAACTTCTGTACAACTTATCTGTTCTATTATTAGCTTTTTAGCAAAAATAAATGTTAACATCCTCATTTCTATAAGAGTTGGGATGCTCTGTAAAATGTTAATAAAGCAAATACAACAAATCAAATGTCAAAACTGAAAATTGTTCTTGATAAGTCAAAAATATCTGTTCATTTTAAATGTGACGCAAGAAACAAGTTTCTTTACAGTTGGGACAGGGACAGCAAAGCACTGAAAAAGTTGTGCAATGCCAAAAAAAAAAACACCCAGAGGAATGTCTCCGAAACAAATTACATTAATATGCAACAGGTTAGAAACACGAAGGCACTCCAGGGAGGCTGAATCTGACATGACTCTACAGGGGAAATCACTGTGGGCCAAAATCACATCTAAAAGCTACCGTCTCTGAACACAGTTTGACTCTGCATCCACAGATGTTTAAAGGCTGGTATCCCTGATGGTGTATGGATGCAGAAGTGCCCATGACATGGCTAAGTTACACATCTGGGAAGACCCCATTAATGCTGAAAGATACACACAGGTTTGGAGCGTCATATGCTGCCACTTAGACGATGCATTTTTCAGGAAAGACCTGGAAAAGCATATTACAGCAAGAAGATGCCAAACTAAATTTGCATGTGTAACAACAACACGGCAAAGTAGTCCAAGAGTTTGGGTACTTAACTGCGGTGCTGACTCGTCACTATTTTAACTTTTGGAGTATACTGACAAAAAATACAACTGGGAGGCAAAAACAAAAACAACACAACACAACACTTGTAAAACTCCAGGAACTGGTCCCCTTGCTTCCCGAGTGTTTACAGTGTTGTTAAAAAAAAGAGCTGATACAAAATGAAGGTGACAGCTCCGTCCAAACTGTTTCTCAATTGTGTGACTTGCATCAAATTCAAAATGAGCAAATATTTTCATAAAGCAATATAATCTTTCTGTTTTTAGATATGATTTGTTGTCTTTGCCTCTTTTCCAGTTGACAATGGGCTTCAAATCCTGCAGTTTTCGCCAAACAGAATTTTTGTTCCATCTCTTAAAAAAATGGGGTTGGACTTGTTCCATCCAGATTCTTAACCAAAAGGATTTACTAATTTCTTTTGGCATTTATGATATTTAATTATGAGCCCTTAGCTTTTGGATTGTTTGTTGTAAACAAGAAGCAATGTGGAGATGTCGGTTGGTGCCGTGGAAAACAGTGATGTGTTATTTTCTCATTTTTGACATTCAATAACCAAATGATTCACAAAGTATTAATTAAAAATTAAGTTATGATTATTGATAAATGGGTATCATTCCTGACCTCCAAGCAGCCAAACGTGGCTTTAGAAAGGTGAGTCCAAGCCTCTGGATCAGTTTGACCCCGAGCTTCCTCAGCATGGCCTGACTGCTATCAGGGAGATGTTTCTTCTCCAGGCACTGAAGGACTGTAGGAGCTAGGAAATTGAAAAACAACATTAATTCAATTTTTTATTTCATTTCTGGATCTAAATGATTTTTTTTTTACATTTTTACAGGAATGTGCAGAACACATTTGGAGGTATTTGGCAAAAAAGATCCTTTGGCGTCTTTCATCAAATAAAAAGCCGATTATTTTGTCAACTTGGACATGAATATTTCCAAATGGTTTGCTTATTTATCATATATATCAACTAATAAACACTCGTTTTATCCAGTTTGGCAGACTTGACAGAAAGTACCTTCTGTTACTTAAATATCATCTAGTCTTTGCATTCAAATATCTCCCCTCTGGCACAGAACAGTTAGATAAAGATTTGTGAACACAAATATTTCTGTTACCACAAGCGAAACAATTAAGCAAAGAGTACAACCTAGACTGTCACATGCGACAACAACTCCTGTTCACAACATGCAGCGTGTGCTTTGACTTTCATGTAGGGAGAAAGATGTTTAATCGTCACTTCGGTACAGAAAAGGAAACCTACCATACTGGAGGAGGTCATCTCGTTTCCCGTGTTTGAAAAGTTTAGCCTAAAGGACACAAATAAGAAAACAAATCGATCTAAAATTCTCCTCCAACAGTTTGTAAAGGTGTCATACATTTTGACAAAAATGACAATAAAAGACACATTTTAAAAAATACATGTCTGCAGAAGTTTTCTGTCCTCTGTCGTTCGATCTGGAATCTTTACAGAACTTGACCATTAATCGAAATAAATACGAGAAGTAAAACCCTGCAAGTGTGGCTCCTCTAGGTTTGTCAACTGAACAAACAGAGCCAGTTTTAAACGCCCTGAGCAACACATGGTCTGGAGCCAGGTTCACTTTAAAGAAATTAATCACAAAGGGACACTTTCTAAACATGCTATGCCAGTTTACATGCCATCGATATGAAGCTAATGAACTTGCCTGAGGGCTGATCTACATTAGTTCGGCTCCCAGGAAGTGGTTTGAAAATTTGGTTGGAAAACACGTGTGATGTTCGAGGTATCGGGTTGTAAAAAAGGGAATTCTTTAGAACCGTGAGCCCACAAAGTTGTTCCCATTCACGGAGGAACCGTTTGGCTTAAAGGGTTGGATTAAACTGACATAAGTCACTAGAGGCACCAGATCACACACAGCAGGTGCATTACACACCTGCCAAAACCACATCAGGCATTGTGTGAGACATACCAGTCATGTCAGCTCTTGTAAACTACTCTCTGCAGGTTTTAATGCAACACTGTAAACTAAACACACTAACATCAAATATATACAGCCTGGTATGACTGCTGCTTGAGAGAGAGAGGTGTTTACCAGAGACTGCAGAGCCCCGTCCAGCACCATGATGTCTTTCATTGACTGGTCACCCGTTTCAGATACAGTGGTGAGGCTCCAGTCCAGAAAGTCCCCGAGGCACTTTTGTTTCACATCAGGGCGTGTCATGAACCTGTGCAGTCATGTGCAGTAAAACAAGAAAGCGATGGAGCTTTAATGAGGATAAACAAACGCCGACACTTGTGAAGACATTCACTGAAGAACCGTGACATCTATTGGCCGAGAAAAGTATTACAGATAAAAACTACTATTATTACAATTCAAGCCCATCTTACTCAGCTTGTTTCAAGTAAATCTTCCTGGGTGTCTTTTTCTCTTTCCTAGTCAAAATGTGTCATTAAACTTTTGATGGGGCCACCCTAACCTGACAGGCCCAGACAGAAATTTCTTGTCAAGATATCCTAAGCAAATGAAAAGGACTTCACTGACAATAATTGGTAAAAACAATTCTACCGTAGCAACAAAGAAAACTTTCCTAAAAAGTTTCTGGAGACAAGCCGTAAAACTTTTCTTGAGAAACTTATCAAGCAAGAGCTTAACTACAATTCTGCTTTATGCCTTTCTAAGCTGCTCTTCACAGCTGGACTCCAACTATGATTGATATGTAATTCGAATTATGATATGATGATACTTATTATAATATACTTACAGTTCAGTTATTAACAAGGAAACACAACTGGATACGTGTGTTTTTGATGCTATTAACTATGCTGTACAGACTTCACCTGAAAAAATAGTGAAATCTGTTTAAACTGTGTCTTTTGCTGCATTACAGTGGTTTTTTACAGGTTATATAGTGTTCTATGATTTTATTCTATTATACTTTATTTCTTTCACATTCCTGTCATTGCTTTATATCTTAATTCTTTGTATATATTTGTTTTTTCTTTTGTTACAAAGAAATCTAATGGCTGTGCAATTTCAGTCAGCTGGTCCAGTTGTGTCATTACTGTTATTATATGCATGCGGATCAATTACTTACTTTGACACCAGGACAGATGCTGCATCTCTGGGACTATCATTGACAAGCAGGTAAGACTGGGAAAAAGAAGGTTATTGTTATTTAGTTGAATTAACTGATCGCAGAAAAATATCACAATCTTCAAATGTAGGATGAAACATAAACAATGTAATGATTAAAATCCATTCATATGTTATGTTGCTGAGGTTATATTCATGGGTCAAATCTCTAAAACAGTACCAAGACATTATATGCAGCAAGACCAAGATACACAGACCATCTACTCAAACACTGAAGGAATAAAGTATCATCTTCACTTACCTTTGCGATGGCGAGAATACGGTCCATGGTGGACTCTCTGACCCTGCCGCTAACTGACTCCAGATCACCATCCAGACGATAGAGGTCAAATGGAATGAGGCAGGTCATAGACAGCCACAACAGCAACATGTAGCGAGTTTCCCAAGTCTGGAATGAACAGATGGAAATAATACACAGTTATTAATTTAAGACAATATTTACGAATCTGATATTGTCTTAAATGTTTATATTTTCCTTTTACCTCTGTGTCTTTAGGATCCTGCCTGGACAGCAGGTCCAACACAGGCTGGACATCTGCCACTTCATGAGGAAACATTTGCATGAAGATTTTATAACCCCTGACCTGTTTAGGGAAAAAAAGCACAAACATCCTGATTGATTTGTCATATAACAGGAGTAGAGGCAGCTAATGTAGGCCATATAATCCTGACACACTGACCTTACAGATGATGTAGAGAAACTTGAAGCCCAAATGAACCAGCGAAGGGGGAGACGATTCATCTCTTACAAACTCCAGGATCATATTCAGCATCCACTCTAAGGTAGTTAAAATGAAAAGGTGTGTTAATCTTGATGAGTAAAAGAAATATAAATTACTTTGTGTCCTCTGATCACAGTGTACCATTTGCCAACCACCAATTACAGTTTTTCTCAGTTTGCTTTGCTTTAACATTTGCTCAACAGTTGGTGCATTTCTCAAAACTATTAGTACAAACTGCAAAACCTAGTGGATAACCTGCAAAAGCGTGTCACTTGCACAAAATGAATAGTTGATTCCTTAAAAACAAGTATTCATGTCAATGAAACCGTCTGTGTCATCAAAATTATAAGTCCTGACATCATTGTTTATGAACAATTTTTGTACGTAATGACTCCAGCAATGAAATGTGGACTATTAGTTTTATAGGGAATGACTATTCAGCATTCATAAGTATGTTTCATTTTGACTGACATGACAGAAGCAAATGATATGTTATACAACAGCAGAGAATTGTATGAAAGTTACTGATACACATTCTGATGTGAAAGAAATGCACCAAAGCGACTGAGAGAAACTGTAAACCCAAGAAGAAGAAGAAAGAGATCACAGTGTACCTAACTGTGGGTCCAGGAGGTTTGGCTGCTCCTGATATCTGTTCATGATCACTGGGGGAGGAAATGGATGTGATGAACATTTCAAAGCACTAATTAAGAAATTTTGAAGAATCAGGTGGTTTACTGATGACTGTCTCACCCAAGAACCTCTGAATGGCGGACTCGCTCTGCACACAGTCTCCATGGAGCTGCGGCAGGGTGGAGATGAGAGCTTTGGTCTCTCGGCTCTCACTGAAACCTCCTAATACACATGTTTTTATAATAGCGTCCGGTTCACCACCGGAGGACCCGTTATCTGTCTCAGATAAGGCCATGGTTTCAGCCGTGGGAGAGGAGTGTCTGAGATATGGATGCTAACCTGGGCGTGTGATGCGTTTGTTGTTATCTGGGTGGCTAACCGATGTTAGCATTCATTCTTCTCAAAGGGTGTAAAACAACAAATTATCCGCGGAGACAGCGAGTTCAAGAAACTTGCCGCTACAAAACATGTAGAGTTTGAATAACCCCAACGCGTGTGAACGACTTAACACACAATAAGGTTAATTTAGCTTCACAAACCCAGTCAGCTATTCCTAGTTTCTCTGTTACGCCGTTCCCGCATACGCACTCATATTCCGCCCAGCTACGGTATGCGAAAAGGTTCAAACATAACGCGAACGAGTGGTACGCGAAAACGTAAATACACAGGCTTTAATTTACAGACAGATAGTCACGTTATATTGGGGTACTAAAAGTTTAAATTTACAACATCACAGGTCTTTGTTTGAGATTGTTCTAAAATATCCAAATAAATTCTAAAATATCAATAAAAATTGAGCAACATGCCAAAAAGGCCCAAAGGTGCTTGAAAAGCCTAAGAGCCATGAAACTGCCATAGGGGAGAGTGGGGTAAGATGAGCCATTTTTCATATTGGTTCACTACATCAAGGCAATCATAGTTTTGTCACTAACTATTGTATCTGCATATATTACAATATGTTGTTCATCCCTGCAAACCAACAGACTGAGTGTAAACATAACTGTCTTGATAATATAGCATGCCAAAGAAAAGTGGTCTCCTATGGTCAACTTACCCTGTGTATGGGGTAAGTTGATCATAGGAGCGGGGTAAGTTGAGCTGTATCCCTACTACCCCTAGTAGCCCCATCAATGGCATATGCAAAGCTGTATCTTGGGCCTAATTCAGTGCTTTTCTTAATATTTGGATTAAAACAGCAGAACAAGAAAAACACTTGATCATTCCAGAGTTTATTGGTTCTATTGTAGTTGATAGTACATTTCAAGGAAAGTTGTCATTACAGTTGTATGGTGTGAACATAGTCCTGTTAGTGTATTAATAGAGCAAAGTCCTTTCATTTTTAACCTTTTTGAGCAAAGTAGATCTTTGAGCAAGCACATCAGGAGATATTTGTGATGCATGTTTTATATTTTATACACAATTAAATATACTTTCTAGATTAAAAAAAAACAAACAACAAATTTAGTCTTTTTAAAAAAATAGTCACACCAATTTTGGTCAATAAATCATCTGTCATTATGAACTAAGTGCCTTGCTTGAGTTTAAGACTGTCATCATAAGTGTATGTTGGTGCAGTTATTTTAACAGGTCCTTCATAACCTTTATCGAAGAGCCTCTGTAACCACCACCAAAGTGATTCCAATGGTTCAGGTAGTTGAAGAGCTGGTAGAGCTGGTTTCTCTTTTCAAAGCCTGGTGCTTTTGGGATCTTTGCATGGTAGGCAGAGTAGAAAGAGCTGTTGAAGCCCCCAAACATCCCTGTAATACCCAGCTCAAACTCAGAATGTCCATAGAAGGAAGATGGGTCAAAGATGACTGGACCGTCTGCACACTCCGCCACATTGCCACCCCATAAGTCACCGTGGAGAAGAGCAGGGGCTATTTCCAGATCTGTGAAAAACTGAGGGATCTTCCTCTGTAAGCACAGACAGAAAATGAAAGTTGCACCATTAGATTATTGATGGATTTGTATGGACATGCTTTATATTTTGTTTCTGATCAGATAAAAGGGAAGATTGACCTGTAGCCCAGCCCACAGTTCTCGAGCTTCTCTGTCTCCATAAGATTTCTCCACTAAGTTGAGCTGATGCTGCAGTCTGTTCCTGGAGAGAAATGTCACCCAGTCCTCCATCCACTCATTGTCCTATGCAAGTTATAGGTAAGAAAGATGAGAACAGAGAGATTTTTACATCTCATATAATTTGAAACATTCTACAAATGTAAAGATATTAGATAGAAAACAGTCCATGTGTGCTTATCATACAACTTATTTTTACCTGTGGTAAATATCCACAGCATGTTGTTCCATGGAAGCCAAATTTTTCAACAGCTGCCACCTCTGACTGCCCAGCTCCTTTTCCTGAGTGAGTATATAATCGATGCTAATCAATCAGAGATTTATTCTCATTCAACTTTTACTCTTTTACAAGCGGAAGAGAGATTTATTCATTTAGGCGTGCTTTGTGTGAGTTTGAAGGGATTTTCTGGCATAAAATTGATTTAGGGTCAAACACACTTTAACACCGAGTTAGATGCCACCTCAAGAGATGAATGTTGCTGACTGCTTGCTTCTCTAGTTAAACCAACTTTAGTAACGACCGCATGATAGCAATACACAGTGGTCTGAGAAGCCATAAACAAACTTCAACCAAAACGCCACTCTATAGCCACAATTAATGCTCAGAACAGCTCCCAACTTCATCAACAGTACATATAGGGTCCCAGCCATAGTACCAGCCACCAGAGATGGGAATTGTGGAGTCAGCAAATCATCACCATGCCATGTATTTGTTCTGCTCTGTCACTGAACCAGCTGCCTTCACTAATGAGCTCACCTTCCTGGCTGCTCATTGGAAGCAGCTGGTTCAGTGACAGAGCAGAACAAATACATGGCATGGAGATGACTTGCTGACTCCACAATTCCCATCTCTGCTAGCCACCAAACATCTTTTTAACTTTACCTAATTTCTTTAGCAAAGAGACTAAACACAACTCACCTACTCTCTTCTAGCAGCTGCTTGTTTGTATCGAGACCTCAGGCCAGTTCATTCTGGACTTCTGTGGGGTGACGCAGCTCAAGGAAGAACATTTATGATCATTTCTTTATCATTTCCCTGAAGTGATAATCACCATGTTAATCATTTTGAACTGCAGACGCGGTAGTTCAAAGTTAAAAATATGTTTGGTGGCTAGCACTATGGCTGGGACCCTGTATGTACTGTTGATGACGTTAGGTGCTGTTCTGAGCATTATTTGTGGCTATAGAGTGGCGTTTTGGTTGAGGTGTATTTATGGCTCCTCAGACCGCTGTGTATTGCTATCTTGTGGTCGTTACTAAAGTTGGTATAACTAGAGAAGCAAGCGGTCGGCAACATTCATCTCTCGAGGGGGTGTCTAACTTGGTGTTGCGGTGTGTTTGACCCTAAATCAATTTTACACCTGAATATCCCTTTAATTTAAATATTTAAGAAGCTTACCCACTGTCTGCTGCTCTTTGCTTAATTTCTCCAGCTGTCTCTTGTTGTGCATGTGCATGTCTGCCAGCTGCTCTCCAAGTTGCTTTGAAAACCTGTATATTGAGTTTTAAACAATACATGTCATAAAAAATGCAGAGTCACTGACCTCTGTTAAATCTCACAAACTGTATGACAGACATCTTACTTGTTAAGACTTCTCATGTCCAGATGTTCCATCACAAACACACATCCCTTTGTGTCAAGCTCAATCACCTTCACAGGTTTGGGGACTTTGACAGTTTCAGTCTTTAAAATGGCTTCCAAGCTGGCCATCTCCCCGTCAAACATCTGTTTTGCCTGAACAAAGCAAAATTGCACACATAGAAGTTAAATTAAAATTGATACAAGAAAAAATACAACTGTGAGCAACTGGGCGGTTGCAGGTGTGGTGATCTACAACTCTAGACTGTGTTTATATTTCGCAATGAGTACACAAAGTTAAAATAACACATGACCTTTTAGACCGTGTAACTTACTATTGGATCACATTTTAACTGGTATGTTTTTTTAAAAATTAACATGCATGGTAAGCTTGACGTAAAGGTACTGGTTAAAAACAAGGTTTGTGTTAAATACCTCACTTGTGATTTATCTTCACAAACACTCTCCTATACTATTATGACTTTATTAGTCCTCTAATCTAAAATGGTGGACTTTTATGCTAGGTTTTTGACCTCATGTTGTAGCTCATAGATACCATAATTGATGTATAAAACACATTTAAAATGATCTTTTTTGATCTGAACACAAGTCTAATAAAACTTAAATAAAAAATAACACATGACCTTTTAGACCGTGTATCTTACAACTGGATCACATGTATTTTAAAAAATTGACATGCATGATAAGCTTGACATAGAGGTTTGTGTTAAATACCTCACTCTTGTGATTTATCTTCACAAACACTCTCCCATTGTCAGTTTCATAACTCTGACCCTCGCTGATACATCCGCCTCCCGTGTGTCCCGTTGACTTCAACATAGTCGTCCCCAACTCCTTCTTTAACTTTGCTTCCATGGTGTTTCAGTCGTCCCAACCAATTCTTGCACAGTTGCGCAGCTCACACGAACAGCAACATGAGGATTGCTGCAGCTTAGTTTCAGATCCTGTTTTGCTTCCGTTGTGGACCACGGTAACCAATCAAAAACAAGACGTCCTATCAAGGCGAAGTGACGCATTTACGTCTGCGTCGCCATGGTGACAGTCGGACTCCATACTAGATGCTAATAGTTGCTGCGCTTTAGCCATGAGCAGCAATGACATTTGTCTTCTTCTTGGAGCTACTGGTGTCGGAAAAACGTTGTTGTTGAAACGGCTACAGAATATCCTTTGTACAAAGAAAGCTGGATTGAATTAGAACTTTAAAAAGTGAGCAATTGTGGCGAAATTAGTTTGGCTAGCATGCTAACTGCGTCGGACGAGCACATATAGCTGTAATAACTGTTAGCGATTGAGTTGCACTTCATTTTAATAGCCCCGTCAGTGGAGTTATTCTTGTTCTGTTTTCTACTCGTATCTCCTCCAGCTGTTACTCTCACAGTTATTTTACTTAACAGATTATGTTTAAACTCAAATTTGTATGGATTAGGTGAACTGGGGACTCCTCCCTCCACTCTGCCTACAGTAAGCAATGAAGATGTGGTTCAACTTTAGGCTCAGTCCTACCGAGAGAGTCGATCTCTATAATGCTTCTGGTTTCTTTTAAACTCCACAGGTCGGGACCAACCTGATCGACTTGACTCTGAAGAAAAAGAAGGTGACATTAAGAGAGCTCGGGGGCTGCATGGGTCCTATATGGCCACGCTACTACAAAGACTGCTCCTCTGTGATTGTATGTTATTTCTATACACATGTAATTGCAATAGCTGAAAGGGTATAAAAAACTTTTAATTGTCCTGTTAAATATATTTTATCTTCCACAGTTTATGGTGGACTCATCCAACATTACTCAGATATCTTCCTCCTGCATACAGCTGCTTTCAGTGCTCTCTGCTGACCCTCTGTGCAGAGCTCCTGTGCTTATTCTCTTCAATAAAAGGTGACTCTGAGCATATACAAATCCCATTTTAATTTTGTTCTCCTACATTTTGTCTTCATATGCAATTTTAACATTTCACAGATCTGTTATAAATCTGTCTCTTGTAAGATGCCGCTCTAAATGTCCTGTTTCTTTCTTTTCTTGTCCTTTCCTTTGCAGGGACATGCCTTGCACTATGAGCCTAACAGAATTAAAGTCCCTCTTCAGAATGGATGACATCATTGCATCTGCTTCTCAGCCAATCACAACACTAGAACTCAGTGTTTGCACCGGGCAGGGACTCCAGGAGGTGCTGACTTGGTTGGAGAACATTGCGGTGAAGTGAACAATCTCGTGTTTGAATCTTATTAAGTTGTGCTACCCTCACAGGACACTAGATGACAACCTCAAGTTCTTCAAGAGCTGTCTGTATCCACACAGTCTTCTCTGAGACTGAATGTTGTGTTGCATTCACTGAAAAAAGGCAAATCATGTAAAATGACGCACAGTAAATGCCAAATCTTTGGTACCCTGTTCAGAACAAGTGGTGACTGTTGCCAAGGGTGACTTGAGGAGGAGATACAAGTATCTACTGAGAGACCAGCTGGTGGAACAATTGATTGGCCACTGTGTGATGTGTTAATTCAGCTTGAGTTTGTGATCAACATTCTGTTATTCTGACCATTTTTACACAATTAACTCCTGACACAAACAGTGACCTGGATTTGTGGTTGTAATGTGATCATAATGTGAATTTGTGTCTCTTTTTTATATTGAATGAAAACTTTGATACTTTAAGTTATGTCTCAATGTATTGTATAATAAATCACGCACTTACTTTAGTTTTAATAACAACCAAAGTGGGAGGGTCACATTGTTTTTTCAGACTGACTAATGCAGTTTGTGAAGCAGTGTAGTAATGCGTCATTGCCATGAGGGGGCATCAGGAGCAAAACAAACACTGTGACTGTCATTGGGTGTGTGCCTCAGTTGTGATGACTTCATTTAAATGGTATTGATATGAGAGAAAATGAGAAAATACACAACAGTAAAACCAGTCGGAGCACAAGGCTTATTATACCCTTATATTTGATGAGAGTCAGTGGTTCACAAGCAATGAGTAAAACTCTTGATTCATACATTTCTAATGCCTTGATTATTGTAAATTCAGAAGCACAGTCCTCCAAAATTCTAATTTCATTCAGTTAACTCTGGAGTTTCACTTCGGTTTGGTAAAATCATTTGTGCAAGGATGACTTTTATCAGATCTGGTCCATCAGAAGCCCCACAGATTTCACTTTTCACAGCAACACTTGAAGAACTGGACAGGTTTCGAACTCTTATATCTTCTCAGAAGTCCATTTTTTTCTGGTGCTGGAGTATATGACAGTAGCAGTGGGCAGCTAAGCCAATCACAGAAACAGCTGAGTGAGCAGAAGACTTGGTGATGAGTTTAAAAGCGGTAATATATTTCCTGGCAATCAAGTGATAAAATGTTATCAAACTGTGCTTTTAGGTGAGTTTTTATCTGAAGTCAATTGACAATGTGCTATGGCCTTCAAGAGTGTTTTTTTGACACTGATTCTTTCTGATTCAAAAGTGTCATCCCTTTTTTAAATACTGCATTCATGACATAAGGAGCAGGGCAGATTGTTGCAGTGAGGGGCAGAACCAGCTTGTATCAATCTAAGGGTTATTGTATTATACCACAATATAAAAAAACTAAGAAAAGAGCTTTCACAAAGGTCCTCGAGTCTGCAGTTTGGCCCCTTAGTAAGAATTACATTTCAAGAGCATAACCTGAAGGCATTCCCCCTAATCTAAGTTTTTTTATTTCAGTTTCCTTGGTCCTCATAAGAAAGGGTTTTGACTGTTCTGTGCAGCCAGTGACCCCTCAGCGCTGGCAGAAGAGAAGGGCAACAAGGGCTCGGGGAGGGTCCCTGGCAGCTCCAGACCAGGCTGGGTGGGGTGAGTGAGTGATGAGGGGAGGCTAGCAGGCTGGTGGCTCATAGGCAGGGGCAAGGAGGCACTGTATGGGAGTGAAGTGTTGGGAGCTGCAGGAATGGAGCCCGCACCCAGCTGATTCAGACTTAGTTTGGGTTGCTCAGTTTGGAATGGATTGGTGGCTGAGGGAGCAGTCAGACCTGGGTGGAAAGAAAAACAATTCAGTTTGTCTCAACAAGTGATTTCAACAGTTTTCATCATTTTCTCTGACTAAATAAACAGAGTCAAATCATATTTGCTAATCACTTTTGCACTGCAGTTTTAAGTGGTGACTTTTCTGGAAACTGTCCAGTTCAGAGAATTTTTAATTAAGGGGCTTCAACATGCAAAAATCTCAACCTATTTCCTATGGATCTGCCCAACAATAAAACTAAAATTGCATCTTCAACTAATGAATACCTGATAGAAAGGGGTTCTTGTTCTTGGCTGGAGGATTCGTTGGGATCAAGATGTCCAGGTTCACCAAGGAAGCAGCTGTAGGGCCCAGGAAGCTCTCAGGTGTCCTACATGTGCGAGGGCTGGGGGCAGCCAGGCTTTCTCCGAGACGGGACAGGTCAAAGAGTTCAGGACTACCCTCCCCTCTCCCATTTACATTCACCTGACCCCCATCCATGGCCTCATCGAATAGATCTCCATCTAACAGAGAAAGGTGAGAATGAACACAAATCACAGCCTCTCAGTTGTAGGCCCCCTCTGATCTGTGATGGTGCAGTTTACATCCAGCTTTTTGTTTCCCACAGAATGATGGTTTAAAAAATACAATACCCTGGAAAATATAATACCTACATACTGTAAGTCAGCCGGTGTTTTATACCAGAGAGGTTGCACATAAATCAATACAGCAGGAACGCTGTACCAGACAGCATTACCGCCTCACTCTTCATGTCTCTCTGCAGACTGTGTGATTGTAGGTAGACAGTTCTTACAATAACAGGATGAATAAGTATGAAAGGAAAAGAGTAAGCGGAGATTTTTCCAGTAATTGACTGTTAATGTTTTTTTTTTTGTCAAACAGGAAAAATATTTAATCACTTCATTGTTGTGTCTGCATGGATGTTTTGGCAAAGCGAATGGAACTAGATGAGAAGAATGGCCGTTTGACATTTTGGCTGACTTCAGATTTTTTTTTTACTTGTGTGAAATTGTGCCCTGATTAGTGAATCCTCGAGCAATAACATTTCTTTAGAGATCACGGTGACTTAAACCTCGAGTGCAGGTAGAAATCTGTGTTATTTTTGAAGATATTCCCCTCCTGGTTTCTGAGACACTGCATTCATAACAATTGGACGGACGGATGCACAAGCTAAATACATAACGCCCCGGGGTCATGGTTGTTGACAGCATAGAAATATTTTGTTTACCTGAGGGGCTTCCTGTTCTGGGAGGGGGCTCTCTAGCAGCTCCTCTGAGTGCCGGTCTGTCTGATGGGGCTGAGAACGGATCAACTCCTGAGGCAGCTTTAAACACAGAATTTGATTTCATGAAGTAACATGTTTTAAATATGTATGAGGATTCTTCTGCTTCCATTTTGTGGATTTGTGGAGAGCATATGTGCGCCCCGAGACTGACCTGTGTTAGACGGAAAAGCCCACACTCGATCTGCAGCATTGGGGTTGGAGACGCTGTTCTGTGGGTCATCCCAGGGGTCAGCTGGGGGCTCCCATGGAGGGGGAGGACTGTTGGAGGGTGGCGGTGCCATCCAGGGAGGATCCACTCCGGAGGCGCTACCCTCTTTAAAAACACAGAGGACTTTAGTGGACTTTATGTTTATTTTGAGGAATAAAGGATGCCGTGGATGAATCACTCGTGTCCTTAAAGAACAGAAATCCGGTTTTGGTCACTGTAAGCTCACCCAGAGAATCCCAGGGGTCTGTCCCCCCCAGACGAGCAGCTGCCTGGTGTGAGCTGTTATTCCACCTGTGTTCAACTGGAGGCTGATCTGCGGGCACTGCGAAAACATCCACTAGGTCCATGAAGGCGGTCTGACAAAATAAACAAAAAAAAGTTTGAGTTTACGATATTGTGTCAGCCCTTACAGAAAGTTCTCTAGTTGTGATTTTTTTATACTTTAGTGCTTGAGTCGTTCTTTAAACAGGACAAACTAAATGTCGGCTATAAAGTGGAAATACATCTTATCACCCCCACTGAGATATTCCACACCCAGCTATTTCATACCCCGCCTTTAGTCTCCATCTCACGTTTGCTCTCCTCCAGTGCCTTCTGAAGCATCGACTCGTCTCCTTGGCGACTGAGCTGCTCCTGTCAACAGAAACAGACACATGGACGCCTGTAGGCATAACAGCTTTCAGCAAAAATCACATATTGTCCCGTCATACTATATTTATGACTCAGCTACCGCACACTAACACAAATGCCAGCTGGTGATTTTCCCAAGGAACATATGACCCTGAGATGGATGAGTTCAATGGGTACAAACCAGAGAGTTTCTCGGCCGAGGAGGGACGAGACAGGGGTAAAAAGGTTGCCAGATATGTCAAAACAAAGCGAACAACAGGGTGTAATTTAACATTTTATAGTCTGTAATTATAAACAGATTTCTACAATAGAGAATTAATGAACTCAAACACATAACAATATTTAAATTAAGCTGAAATGCCTTTGTGGCTTTCTTGCATTTTATCGCAGATTACAAGACCCCTGACTGATTTTTGTGATTATGCAGAGTTGGAGTTTTTTGTAACTAAGTACAAATGATTATAGACCGGTGATACAATAAGCCACAGCCTCCACCTCGCTCTGCTGCATTTCTCCAGTAAAACGCTCTGCTTGAATAAATATGAGTGAATATCTGAGTCAGCCAAAACCCAGAAAAAATGTTTCCTTGCCCCAAACATTCACAGCATTCATATTTTACGTGACTATTTTTGCTCTTTGTACCACAGTTTCTTGGCTAGCTTGCACTTTAGGCAAAGTTTGAGTAGACAAATTAGAGATGTGGATAAAGATGTGTACAGTTTGGGGTTATTGTGCTGAAAAAGTCTGGAGAAGTCCGGAAAAGTTTGACCCAGTTATTCTTCAGCTTATGAAAACACTGACCGGTCCTTTTCGGCTTTGATAAGCACCATCACGCCTCAGTTATGGGAACATTTTTTAGTCTAATATGTAAAGAGTATAAAACCAAGAGGGATTGATCGTACTGCACTGATAGTTGCCTTTGTATAACATATATCTGCTTTATTTATTTATTTTTTCGAACGTGTGCGTGCAACTGAAGGAAGTAAACTAAAAACAAACAAAACCAATGAGAATATTCAAAACAACAATAACAATAATCAAAGCAAAAAAATAAAAATACTACTAATAATAATGTGAACCCAACATGTCCGAAAAGGAGCAGGATGAAGCATTATGTTTTTTTTTTTAAAACTACCCCTTTATCCTCTACTCCATAAACAGTCAGTCTCCAATAATTTTACATGATAATGACAAAAAAACAACATAAACAGAGTAAATAAGTATATGTGACATGTCCATATTTACGAAAACACCCGATGGTGACACCCTGGTGAGAACCATGTTTTTGTACCGCTTCCTAAACTCGCTCATGCTTTGATTTACTTGAGCTCCACATCTAATCTGTTCCACAACCCTACTCCACAAAATGAAACACAAAAACTTTTTAATGTTGTGCATGCCTGCTGATGCTTTAAGTTAAAGTGTCCCTTTTGCATAAATTAAACACTTTTGTACCCAAATGGGATGGTTTGATTGTTTTTGTTGGCTCCAGTTCACGCCTGGCTTTGAAAAACTACTGCAAGGGGCATGTGTGAATAAGCAGCTTTGGATCATTTCAGCAGGCAGGCTGTTTGGGAATTCTCCAGAAAATTTCAGGATGCATCCATGAACTGTTACAAACATTATAAAACATGAAATTCGGGACATTCAGTCACACTGAAACGTTAGTGGCATATTCGAGCTGCACCGATTCGCTACTACTAGTTGGTGGGTACTTAACGCGCATTAGTGACAGAGTTCAGTTTGGAGAGGCAGAATAACAATTTTTTTACATACATATTTTATAATACGGGAGATTTACAGGACAATACTAATACAGGAAGACAGCGGGAAAGAGGAGTAAAATACGGTATAAAATATGGGATACTTGACAGCTATGGCTCACTCCAACTTCAAGGGATTTTATTAGGGGAGCTAGCAGGAAAAAGTTCAGACAAAGTCAGGTTGAGTTGGAAGCCTGTTGCCTGAGCGAGTCATGGGAGTAAATCAAGCTTTAAAAACCCATTTAGCTACAAATCCAAGCTACTTTTGCTGCAGTTCTCTCAGGCTAACATTTTGGTAAATTGACGCTGGTAGCCTGGGAGAACAGTACCTTCTGTAGCCGCAACCAAGAGACAAAGACAACACCGGCAACACTTGCAGGTGTGTTGAAAAATGAAGCTGCTATCCTCCTCTAGTTAAGGTTTAAAAATGTGTTCCCTTTAGTACAATCCAGCTGGCAGAGAGTCTATACTTGCCCTGAACCCCCGGTGACCACAAAGGCGCCTACCTGCTGGTGCTCCTCCTTGCTCAGACTCAGAGCTAGCTTCAGCTGGGTTTCCTCATCCATATCCATAGTCGGAGGCGCACGTTGGACTGGCTGTAAGGATGTTAACCAGGGAGGGAACAGCAATCAGTATTTGGTCAACAAAAGAGGAAAAAATCTGGGGCATCCTCACGGTATAATGCATGCGATACACAAGGTGTGCCGAGTTAGAGTGAAGGTGTTAAACTCGCTGCTGTTCCCTGACACCACACCAGAGAGGGTGAGTGTTTGTTGTGGGTGTATCAAACTAAAAGAGGAGAAATCTAATGGTTAGTGGAACAGAAACTTGAAGCCTCGTTTGATTAGTCACTGGAGAAAGTTACATGTCCTTTAGCTGTTGAGGAGTGAGGGAGGAAAGTGATTAGTACATGCAGTTGGTTTTCAGAGAGGCCCCACACTACGATGCGAAGTTGGTTTCAGTGTAAAGAACAACAGGACAGGTGCCGTAGGCCAAATGATGCAATAATGGTGTCCTCGCTGAACCCAGGATACTTGTACCTTCTGGGCCTCCTCCTTGCTGAGCGTCATAGCAATCTGGAGCTGGGTCTGTTCGTCGATATCCACTGCAGGAGGCGGCTAGGGTCAAGCAGGAAGGATTAGAAGTGAGTCTGATCAAAGGGAAAGTATCACTGCTTGCAAATTTTCAAAGAAATGTTCTGATTTGAGGTGATTTGGAGGAGAGTTTCACACAGATCAATGTACAGATTTCAATTTGATTAAAATCACAGCTGCTGCACATCTGAATTTATCACCATGGTCGTGGAGTAGCAGTCAAAGAGGGCAACAGCTGCCCTTGCTGTGGAGACGAGGGCGTGCTGTGGATACTTAGGAGTGGATCAATGCGCACTTCCTGTCTGGCTTCTCACTCTTTCACTCACAATCTCCTCACTCTTCAGTGAGAAAGCCCCCCTTTGACACTGATTGGTCAAAGTGCCATTAATGACCACATCGCGGACAGAGTTGATGATATCACTTTCACTTGAAGCTTCTGGGAAATAGTGGCCCAGCAGACACAGGCAGTAGATTTATTTTTTTTTACCACCTTTACTGACAGTGATCAAGCTTGGAAGCCGGAGCCATTAAATGTTTTATAACAAGAAAACATGTCAGCAGCAGGGGGGCTATGAAGCCTCTTTCTGTCAGGCGCGTGAGAGGTCTGGGAATGAGCGTGTGTGTTTGTGTGTGTGTTATCTTAGCTAGACGTACCTTTTCACTTTCTTCTCGGCTCATGGCCAGAGCCAAGGCCAGCTGCAGCTCTTCTTCTCCGCTGGTCGAGGGCCGAGCTTGCTCAAGGTCCGGGGCAAACCGAGGTGAAGAAGTGGAAGCTGCGGGGACGAGAGGAGGGAGCAGATGGGATGTGGTGTTAAACAGGGGTGTAGACAGACACACTGATTGATAGAAACGTGGTGAGATTTCAAACAAAGGTAGGAACACAACACTTTAAGATGATCTTTAAGGTCAGAAAAGAGCCGGCCATGTTTTGCATGTTAATTTTTTTTCCATGGCACGTTATGAAGGGCCTTTGCTGGCATTGCTCGCCATGGTCTGCCTGCACTGAGAACAATGGTGCGCCTGTGTGGAGAGTTAGGGTGGTGGAGGGGGAGAGGAATGGACGGGTTGGAGTGGGGCCCATCTTATTACCCTGAGTCGTCTTGGTGGGTTCCAGCACTGAGCTAACCGGGGTGCCAGGCTGTGGGTCATGCCCCTAAAGAGAGGCTGTTGGGTCACATGTTGGGCGACACCAGGTCTACGAAAGCGATCATTTTTACTATTCAGCTCCTAAATATTCCCTGCCTGTCTGAGCTGGAATGCTTGTTGGCAAGTAGCTGCTGCCAGGCTCCTGACTTAAATCAACATTTAGTCCAAAACTGGGTGCCAGCATCCTGGAGTCTCCTGGAGACCACTGTTTCATCTTTAAAACCAATGTAGCAGAACAGGAAACTGAGCTGTTTTTTACCCCAACAATAGGCAGATGAATATTTCTCATACTGACAAACTCAAACAAATATCAAGTATAATTTCGAATGCAGTCTGTGATTGAAATTTCCCACTATGACTGACACTGACAGAGTGTGAAACAGTCACACTCACCCACCATGAAAGCCAGCCTGTGTCTGATAAACTGAGGCTTCACACTTTACAATTTGTGGTGTTATCAGATGAACATGGTTTTCCTTTCATACATAAACTATACTGTTTTTGTTTCTTAGCTTAACCGCACGCCCAGGGCTTGTAGGGCTGAGGCTGTTTCTGCCACATGTTTCCTCTGGCCTTGAAAAATGTGTAAGGAATGTGTTTCAAGTGGAAAAAGTATTGAAGATAAAAGCCTTTTGATAAATTAAGGGTAATAAAACAGTCAGATGTCTGTCTTTATGCCATTAAAACGGGAGCCAGACATCAAAGTCTGACAAAATAGCTGGCGCACAGACCACAAAAGAAAAGAAACATGATTACGAGGTACACACCAGACAAACCACGTTTACAAATGCCACCTACAGCTACATGATGCTTTCCGCAATATCAACCAAGTTTGAATGAGTCAAAGACATCAGAGTTTTTAACCCCCTGAGTAGGAGCGTCGCACTTGTGAAACAGATGGTATCAGCACGAGTAAACGCGGTATCCTTTCACATTCGAGACAAGCACACAGAGGGCCTCCTCTCTTTTGTAAATCCAGTTTAGCTGACGTGACTGTAAACAGGAGAATGAGAGGAATGCAGATGTCAGAACAAAACTGAAACTCTGCCGTCCCCCCCCAAAAAAATATCCGATGATTGATATCTATTGAGAGCTGAATCCTGACCTACCACTGCGATAATTCAAAGGAAAAACCCAAAAATAAATCTAGGCTGAAAGATAATTTTTAACTCGCAGCACCTCCTTGAATCTCTGTCCTGTCATTGGATGATAGATCTTTGGTGAAGAAAAGCAGGAATGCTGTTACTCAGTTACATTCATCATCCACAAAATCAGATTTGAATCTATCTGACAAACACGTGGACTGTCATGTGCACATTCCTTACAATCTGCTAATCAAACGCTGAGAAAATATGCAGCAGACATATGGAAACTTGTTCACTGCATACATTAGGAATGAGTGGAGCTGCTGTACGGAAACTGTGGATGTTTCTGCTACTCACAGTGAAAGGAGGATGGCGAGCTTCTGCACCTGCCAAACTCATCCGCGTACATGCCCCCTGAGCTGGGCTGGCTGGTGCGACGCCCAGGGTAAGGGGGAGGCAGGGATCCAGAGCCTAAACTGGTGGGGACACCCGCCATGCGCGTCTTGGTCTTCAGGGCCTGGCTCCTCTCCTTCTTCAGCTTTTCCTCGTCTTTGAGCAGAGCGACCAGCTGCTTAGCCTTCTCTCTGACGTTGATGCCTTGGTCACGCCCGTCTCTATCTATGTACTGGAAGTCTCTGAGTGTCTGGATGGTGTATATGTTCTCCCGGCACTCCTTGGCGACCCGCTCAGAGCCTGTTTTGATCAGGTAATCCAGCAGGGTCATTGCCTTATAAACATGCCGCCAGTTTTTACCGTGGTCGTTCAGCCGCTTCCAGATCATACCCATAACCTCGGTGAAAGCCATAACGTTAAAGGTCAGATCTGCGATTTCAGACATAAGCGAGCTGGGAGGACCCCAGGGATCGTTGGAGGTGGCCTCTCGGACTTTGATCTCGGCCTCCGTATAGTTGTTGACCATGTTTTTCATCTGGCGGCGGAGCGATGAGGTCTGCATGATGGCAGTGGGGTTTCACAAGCAGCAAAAAGACATTCAAACAGCAGGCCAGCCCACTGTGTTAGCCCCCCAGCAAGGTGACACGTTAGAGATGAGTTCAGTGGGAAATGCAATCGAGTCGTCCCCCTGTTGGCAACTTCAGTGACGTCCACAAGTTCGTCCTTTCTGTAAAAACACACAAAATTAAATATATCAGATCATGTTCATGCTCTTACATTAAATATGAAACAGACATTCATATTGTCCCATGATTAGGAGTGCACAATTCTGTCCGATTACCAATCTTTAAAAGCTTGACCTGCCGATATCAGATATCCAATTTTATTTCAATGAAAATACTGAACAATACTTGTGAAACAAAACAAACTTTTGTGTTTAACTGCACATGAGGTCGTTCTCTCAAGTATAAATGAAAAGTTTAGAATATTGCTGTCCAAACAACTAAATCATATCAGTTCTTTTAGTCTTTTATTTTCCACATCTTAAAAATTAACAATACTAGCACAACAGGTCAGGCCTGTTTTGAGCCTCTTACCAAAATAAAGTGCACAGCAGTATTTTGCTTTTACAGATAAAGGAAATCACAAGGTTTGAGGAAGTTAGAAAAATAATAATCTACAGGAAAAACTGACGACACAACTTAAACCACCAATAAACTGTCCTGAGATTTAGGTTTCCTTGTAGTGGGTTCAACACGCTCGGTTGATCATGCTCCAGATGATTGTTGCGTGCTGCTGGCGCATGCGTACGTGCACATGTGACCTGGTGGGCAAAAAGCTACAACAGCTGACTTTCAGACTTTTGCTGAGGTAGATAAGATCGGTGGATAAAATTGGTTTCATGTGTAAGGATGAGCCGATTACCGATCCCGGACGATTTATCGGTGCATGTTTACCTACGATAACTACAAATCAACTCTCACAGATCTCCTGATGCTGTTTTTTGTTTGGAAGGAAAGAGGAACAACTCAGCACCTTTGAGAAAAAAGAAACACAACACCTGGGCTCGCTTTTCCTCAAAGATATCCGTGTTCCTAATGAGCCTGCAGCTTGGTGTCTCATTCCTAATTCATCTAATAAATTTCCTGGTTTATTACAAAAAGATGAGTCTCAGGCCGAGGGACTAGGTTTTTCCCTTGCAGTGATAACAGAAACTCTAGGAGGAGAGGAGGCTGCACCTCTCCTGTTTTTCTGACCTGATTACATCACTTCAGCAGCGAAAGTATTCCAGGACTAACAACCCCAAACCAGTCTCTCAGATACATTTATAGCCTGGTGTGTTTTTAGTTTACCTTCTGAAACACCATACAGGAGAATCGCACTTTGCTCTGGACAGTACAGTTGCACTTGTTATGCAGTCAGGGCAGTGAGTCAGTCAAACCGATAACTCTCCACTCCCAGATCTGTCTCATGTATTCAGAACTGGGATGCATGAACACGCACGATCAATCTCTTCACTTAAGAGTCAAGGGCTGTGTCATGAGTGAGCATTTGCAAAATTTTAAACAGGGGGGTGAGAGAAAGTGGTTGGTGTCTCTGTTTTGGCCAACGAAGGCAGGGTTTTAAGACCTACAGATGGCTGCCGATGCTGATAGCTTTACATACTGAAACACAGTGTGTGTTTTGCATTGATTTTACACTGATATAACTGCGACGCCCGCTTTCGTAAATAACCTCATTTGCATTTGCAGTTGACACTTCAAAATCATTCAGGGCGTTGATTTTCTGAATTAAATGCTAGATTTTAAGTTTTAAGAAACCTCTAGGCGACATTAATGGGTTCATCCAGGTTCTGTACATCCAGGAGTATTTCCCTTTGTGATAAAATATTTAGTTGTCCTTGACTCACACCTGAGTCTTCTATCTTTACAGGCGTCATCAGGCTCTCATGAGGATACCATACATAAAGGGTGACAGCATCAAACTGGACTGCTGTATCTGTCATACTATGAGTGAGCTTCATGCTGGAAATAGATTGTTAAGTGGCGACCAGAGACAAAATGTTTGTGGCCCAGCTGGCCGCAGGTTAAATCTCAAGTGGTGACCAATGCTGGCCCACTTCACCATCCAATCCCATTATCTCCTGCCTCCTGGTTCCTGGGGATTATTAGGCTGGTGAGGAATAACAAAGACAGTAGGTGAAAACTGTACTCTTCCGGTTATTTCCTTTCAGATTAAAGTTGTTAAAGTGGGGGAAAGGGTGTCAATGTAAAAGACGTCAGAGTCTGGTAATTATTCTGTCCCTGCAGGCAGATTTGTAAGCCAATCTTCATTCCAGTTGTGATCAAACTCATAATGACCTAAATTAATTTTAGAGAAGACGTAATTACTTTCACTTGAGTCTGAATGATTCTGTAATAAGGAGGCAACACCCCCTCCTTTCTACAACAGGCCTAAATGCCCCTTTTGTCCATTATACAACCTCACTCTCTTTCCTTAGACAAAAAAACAACAATGACCTTGACATAATGTCACTCTGCTCTTAAATTCACCAAAGTATTAACATGATCTGTCACTCAATTCCTTTCTTAAACTTTTTTTTTTGTCCCAGAAATCCAGCCGAGTGTAAACTGAGCCCACATTTCATTTCCCTACCCTGTTTTTTCTATAGGAAGCAAAGTCTAAACTGTTCCCAGATCAGGCCTTCTATAGGCTACAGGCTCTGTAAGGTATGTGTTGTGTCTGTCCTACAGATGTGTGAAGATTTATCAGCTGTGTGTGACAGCATACGTCCTGATTTAACTTCTTTTCTCTTGACATGTCCTCTCTCTCTCCCTCTGTCCCGAACTGGGACGGTCTGCTCGGTCCATTATCATTCACGTTGCGTCAAATGGGACGATCGAGAGAAGTACGGGACCGTGACTCAGCGTTGTTTCTCACTTTAAAAGTTGAACCCTCGACTAAAAGAAAAGCAGAGATAAATCCCCTCAAAATACGATTCGCAGACGCTACTTTCCCCCCGCTTACCTTCATGACATAGCGTGTCAGCGGGCTCCAAAGTTGGGGGAGCTTCGGGTGGAAGGAGAAACGCCTCCACCTCTCGACATATCCCGTCGCTTTCGGACAGAGAGAAACGAGCTGAGCACCAAAAAAAGATCTTTCAATCAGAGAGAAAAGGTTTTACGCCGAGCCGTGCGCGCTCAGAAGGGATCCAGAAGTGTGGCGCGGCGGTGTTGGACTGCTATCAAACTAAGTTGTGATCATAACACAAATCCGCTGGGCTTGCAGATGGAACAGGCCCCCCTACAAAACACTCGCACACACACATATACACAGACACACACACTCACAGTGAAAATGGATGTAGAGGGAGAGAAGAGGGAGGGAGGCCTGCTCGGTGCATGCAGAGTCAGACTTAACCCTTTCACTGCCAGATGGAATAAAACATCTGTGCTCACTGGGCCACAGCTATGGAAGTCAATCCGTGCCATCTGATTTTCAATTTGAATTTATAAAGTTGAGATGTTTTTGCATCAAAATCAGACTTCGAATTTCAAAACTATCGAATTTCAAACACGCTTTTTTTTCTGATGCCATTTTTTCATAATGATGAAATAAATTCAGATTAAAAAAAAGGTCTCTAATATGGAAGTAAATCTGTGCCATCTGATTTTGAATTTGAATTCATAAAATTGATTTTTTTTTCTTTGCATCAAAATCAGACTTTGAATTTCAAAACCATTGAATTTCAAGCATGCATTTTTATTTCTAACACTAATTTTTATCACAATGATGGAATAAATTCAGAGTAAAAAAAACAGTATCTCATATGGAAGTAAATCTGTGCCATTTGATTTTGAATTTGAATTTTTAAAGATGAATTTTGTTTTGCATCAAAATCAAACTTTGAATTTCAAAACCATCAAATATCAAGCATGCATTTTTATTTCTGACACTAATTTTTTTTTACAATTATGGAATAAATTCAGTTTAAAAAAAAACGGTCTCAAAATATTCGTTCAGTGAAAATTCAACTTTAAAAAACTGTGTAAAAAAATATTCAACATTAAAAAAATATATATTTGTCAAATAATTCAGTGTAAAAAAATTCAGTGTGAAAGAGACTGACTCAACATCCGGGTAACCAGGGAGAAGCAATCGATTGGATTCAATCTTCCACTGGGGTCTGTGCCACATGACCAATTTAGCATTAATTGATTGGCTGGATGATGGATGATTGAGCCAGGAATTGATTGCTTCTCCCTAGTTACCCAGATGTTGAGTCACTCTCTTTTACACTGAATTTTTTTAACACTGAATTATTTGACACTTAATTTTTTTATATTGAATTTTTTTACACAGTCGAATTTTCACTAATTGAATATTTTGAGAGACCTTTTTTTTTTTTTTTTACACAGAATTTTTTCCCATCATTTAAAAAAAAAATCAGTGTTGGAAATAAAACTGTATGCTTGAAATTCAATGATTTTGAAATTCAAAGTCTGATTTTGATGCAAAAAATTTCAGCTTTCGAAATTCAAATTGAAAATTAGATGGCACAGATTTACCTCCATACAGTATTATTAAACATGAATAAGAAGCATAAAAGGTTTTCAAGAAGACAAAATCACATAAAAGCAAGTCTATGAGGTTGGTTTCAAGACATGATTTAAAAGATGTGATTTTAATACCTAAATAAAGCAGAAACTAATCACACGTTCAGAGGGGTTGCAGTTCTTCACTGGGAGGTAAAAATAAGCAGGTGGTGGTATAACCTCATACCCCTAACCCTTTAATTCTCCTCTTACATCTGCTGCCAACATTTCCTATCACTGTAAATGTATAGTCGTCCCTCGAGGATTCAACAAAAAGCCACATTTCCTTTTCAGAAGCATCATCATCAATGCATCCGTGCTCTTTATTTATTTATCACTGCTAATGGGATGTTGTCTGAACTGCTTATGCATTATACAAGACCTAAATCTCTTCTGTATGTACACTGGCTTGATTTCAATCAGTATTCTTTGGCCAAACACAGGTTATCAATACAAGAGTACAGACGGCTCATATCACCGGGTTAAAGTGAATAATGATTACCTAAGGGAGAGAGGAGCAGCAGGACAGAGCAGTGGGTCTTGTGGTTGGTTCACTTAGCAGGATATACAGGAAATACCAGCTCCACCTTGAAACAACAAAGGCACAACCCTACAAGACGAGAGAAGGGCGAAGTGTATAGGAATCATCAAGAAGGGAAAATAAACCTGAACATTTCTCACTCTTATTCACTGTTCACCTACATTTGTAGTGGGAGTGTACTTTTACTTGTTGCTGCTCCCTGTGTCATTCTCATACGACTCTCTATGATCAGGTCAATCCAGCTCAACTTCATACACCTCCTCCTCCTCTTCCTCCTCCACCTCCTCCTTTATGTCTTGGCACCCTATGTCTTTATTTCTCCTGAAAACAGATGCCTGACCGTTCTTTGTTTCCCAACAAAGGCCCGATGAGGTCAGTGCGAGGAGGGAGGGGGACGCATGGGGGAGGAGGGAAGACTGATAAATAACACCACTTCACTACTACACACACAAGTGACATCACTCAGAGGAGGAAATGGGACTTGTAGTGTGTTTGGGAGCTTGTTTGTTTTGTTTGTGGGTTTGTGTGTACAAAAGAGAGAGAGAAAGACTGATGTTACATACTTAGAGTTAGTGTGTTTTGTGTCTATATTATGTAATAACACAAGTTTGGTTTAATCACACAAACTTTCCACACTTTATTTAGTTTTCATCTCTAGTTAAATAGATATGTGAACTTCATAAATAGATTAAAATCCTTCGCCTGCGCTTTAAACTGCTTTTCTTGCCGTTAAAAAAGTTCAATCAAAACAGGATCAAAAGCAAAACTTTTAAACTGCCTCACAAAATCATCATGATTCCTAAATTCAATAACCAGTTCAGCCTACTCCAGGATGATGATTGTAATAATACTGGTGTAAAACTAAATATTGCACTCTTGGCTGCCCTCTGGTGGTTACTTAACCACATAGGGAAGGTTTGAAACCCAGGACAGCCCCGGATTCAACCAATTTCTGTTGGTCTTATTTCATAGGATTGAACACCACCTGCTACAGACCTGCACTTAAGTATCTATTTTTACTCTCGTTATAAGTGTATTTGTTGTAAATCAGTGTTTTTAGCAAATAACCTCAACCTATTTATTGTCTAACAGCATTACTTTGCCCTATAGGAGGACCATCATGATCATGTTCAGCCTATTCAAACATTATTTTTTTATTTGTTTAAGCATCAATTATGCCAGAAAATGCTGCAAACGCCTGGTATTGTTCCGAAAAAACAACCAAATATGCTTATACATTTACCTTTTGTAACATTGGAATAAAAAGAAAAACCAAGAAAGTCGGCTTAAAGTCAGAGATCATTAACTAATTTTAACATTTCAGAATTAAACATGACACAATTTGAAAAAATTTCACCAAAAATTAAAGATAAAGTCTATTATCAAATTTGTTACAGCTATTTTGTTTTGTCAATCTGATATTAAAATAGTCAACCTGATCCTTTTGGGTTAAGAGAGCTGAGAAGTTCGCTCACATGAAACCCAGGACAGCCCCGGGTTCAACCAATTTCTGTTGGTCTTATTTCATAGGATTAAACACCACATGCTACAGACCTGCACAAGTATCTATTTTACTCTCATTATAAGTGTATTTGTTGTAAATCTGTGTTTTTAGTAAATAACCTCAACCTATTTATTATCTAACAGCATTTCTTTGCCCTATAGGAGGACCATCATGATCATTTTCATTAAAACAGCCTATTAAAACACTACCGTTTTCTTTGGTTAAGCATCAATTATGCCAGAATATGCTGCAAACGCCTGGTAGTATATTCCAAAAGAACAACTAAATACATTTAGCTTTTGTAACATTTGAGTAAAAAGAAAAACCAAGAAAGTCAGCTTAATGTCAGAGAACATAAACTAATTTTCACATTTCAGAATCAAACATGACACAATTTGAGAAATTTTAACTAAAAAACTAAAGATAAAGTCCATCATCAGATTTGTTACACCTGTTTTGTTTTGTCAACCTGATCATTTTGGGTTAAGAAAGCTGAGAACATCGCTCAAATGTCCTTTCTCTGAATCGATTGGATGAGGAGAGATCCAATTACACAAAAAAAGTCCTGGTGCCGTCTTTGAGGTTAATAAAGCATGTGTTTGTTAACCCCCCTGCCAGATGTATAATACCAAAACTAAGCCTGTTCTTTGTGTCATATTAAAAAGACCACTTGATAACTCATTTCTAATATTTTTGGCCCGCTCGTGTTCAATCTTATGTTTAAAATATTTTAGTATTAGGCAGATGCGATGGTGGCCCCTCTATAATCTGATCGCTGCTGTGAATCATCTCATATGATGTAACAATAAGGGACAGTCTGAACTGACGAGGTGTTCCTATAATTTCCATAAATAAAATCCCAGCGGTGTCCAATTAAGAGGAGAAGTGGTCTCTATTTTCGGTCATGCAAGTGGGGAGTAAATGGATGTATGACGGTGGGCGTCAGCCATTAGTCCAGGATGACAATTTGCAAAGGGTGAGGGTGGTTAAGATGGTAATGAAGCATGACGCAGTATGGTATGCTTTGTTTAGATGATCGAATATATTCAGGTAAATCCCCTTTGTTCCCAAAATCTCATTTATACGACTACCTAGATCACCCATAATAGAAGTATGTGGATTTTTAGAGAAGCTGTGCTGTGCAGGAGAAACCTTCAGTCCATTTGGGATCAGAGGAGGGTACGTTTGACCCCCCACTAAAGTGCCTCTTGGAAGACACTCGGTAGCTTAAGTCAGGAGGATAGAGAACAGAATATGATGCCCCCTAGAAGGGCTCTACCTTCCCTTTGGATGATCTAACATCTTAATAGATCCCTGTGTGTTCTTATAACAAGGGTTTATTACTCAAAACAATTCATATGTAACCAAAATGTAAAAATCTCCTGCTTTCCGAGGCTAACAGAGAGCAACAAATCACTGCCCTGCATGATATGAGGCCTGTTGTATCACAACACGTCTTACATAAGAGGCCTCTGACAGTCGGAACAAAAGTAATGGATCGTTTCCTTCACAGACGTGTTAATTTATTAGAAAACTTGGCAACACAATTTGCATCTCACTCACACCTATTTACAAAGTTCTTTTTACTGCTAGTCAGATCTGCAGCCTCACTACCAGCCTTGTGTTTCTTTGGCGTTGTGTATCAGATAGGTTGAAGAGTCTGTATTCACTCTTTAATTATTTATTGCACTCTACTAATTATCTTTAGTTGAGTTATTGAACTGATTACTTTTCAATCCCTGACATGTTTTTCTCTGTCCTACTTTGTGTTGCAAATGCTGCACTGCAGACTCACTTCTAGCCCACCACATGAGGGTGGGCATGTAGTAACAGTAGGTGGGCATCCAGTAGTGGGCCCTTGCAAACCTTAGCACTGTTGTAAGCTGTCAACACTATCATAAACCGGAAACCATATGAGCATCTGGGCAATTTATTCCCCTGTTAATGAATTGCAATCTACCCCTGAATAAATTAAGTTATCAGTTTTAAATTTGACTTCCATCCGTTTATTTCTTTTCAATTCCTGGACAAAAACTCCTCATTGTAGGTTTCTGGCAAAACAAGCTTTTCTTTTTCCAATAAACTTGTTGAGATGAGATTGCACTCTCTATTATAATCAGCCTTCCTTTTATCTATGACTGCACAATGAAACCTCATCTCGAGGTTTCCGCATGTGGGCTTTGAATTCAGAGATGTTTTGATTGAGCAGACTCCAAGTCCTCGACTTTTAACGTGGTCCTGGTCTAAACCTCCACTCTTATATAAAGCATTGATCCATATCCTTAAGGAGATTTCTTTACACCGTTGGAATTAAAACCCAATCCTGATCTCTGTAGCTAACGCTGACAATGCTGCAGAGGACTCATCATCATCATCATCATCCAGCTTTATGACTCCTGCAGCCTGAGGGTGAGCTGTTCCCCCAACATTTACAGCACATCGTGATGAGAGCAGAAAACAGTGGAGGTTGTGCGAATACAACAAAATCCCAAATGCATGGTTATGTCAGAACATGCAGATATCTTTACAGGTGTTTCCCGTTAGAACAAATACTGTTTGCCCCTTATTCGATACATACAAATCAGCTGGCAGCGACAATTGAGAAGAAAACTGTCACCATGAAAAGACGGAGAGGAACAACACAATGAATGAAAGCTCACACTCCAAACCTCTAGTGTCCATGACTACAGGGATTTCAGCAATTATGTTGACACTTCATCAATCCATTCATCTATTTATCACCATGCAGGAGACAGGAAACACCTGCTAATGAGGTGCTATAAATATCCATCATCTAGTCAGGCTTTAACACAAAAGATCATTCTTAATCAACACAGTTTATTAAGAGTAAAGTTCAAATCATGAGTGTTAGGTCGTCTTCATCTAAGTGCAGCAATGAAAACTCCTTTTGTACATTTCCAGACTCTCATTTCTTCAGAGGAAAATAACAAGAGTCCACAGTGGAGATTTTGTGAGCTTTTTTTGTCCCGAGGATGCTTTATGCTTCTATAAAAGGAGTGTGCTCTCGCCATGAGATGGTGACGCAGAGACTGCGCTCAGTCAGAGAGTATAAAGGACGAAGCTCGGCTCAGTCTCGGCGCACACATGGAGCAGCAACTGGGTTGGTAGGCAAGATACCTCGGTGCCCGGAGACGCTTGAAAAGAACAGGGAGATGAACACAACAGAGAAGTTTTACCTTCCCGTTGATGGCATTCTCGACATGTTCAACTCTTTCACCGGGCTTCACCACCAATCACGCATTACGCATCCAGTCCTCCAGAGCGCAGCACTCACCCCGGCGACCCAGCACCCCAAAGTCTCAAACATATCGAAGACAGGCATGGGCATCATCAAAACAGTCAAAGGCCACTGGAGGCAACAGGATCACAGAGTGGTTACAAGTAGATCCTCCAGTTCTGGCAATCGACAGGTTTCAACTGATCGAGTCTCCAAAAGATCCGTGGATCTGCTGGAGCTGGGTCTGACCAAACCGAGAAACTGTCACAGAGTGGTAGTGCTTGGTGCGCCCAAAGTGGGGAAAACCAACATCCTTCAGCGGTTCTTAGGAAAGGAATTTGTGGAGGACTATGAGCCCACAACCGAGGACTTTCACAGAAAACTGTTCCACATAGGCGGGGAGGCTTACCAGGTGGATCTGCTGGACGCAGCCGGTGAGAGGAACTTCCCTGCGAAACGGAGGCTATCCATACTGACAGGTGAGAACTTCATTTCTTGAAGTTAATGGGCACTATGTTTTTAGGACAGTACGGTCTGATATGAAATCGCCTCACTCAAACTGTGGATTTGACTGATTTGATGCTCTTTTTCTCCTCAGGTGACATCTTTCTACTCGTGTTCAGTTTGGATGACAGAGAGTCCTTCAGTGAAGTCTGTGAGCTGCTCGACGAGATCAAAGCTGCGAAGGCAAAACTGCTGAAACTGAAACATCCCGCCAGAGTCCCAGCTGTCATCTGCGGGAACAAATCGGACTTAGAAGCACCTGGGGCCGTCAGACGGTCCGAGGTGACAGAAACCCTCGGTGAGGACGTCTCTTTCTTCGAGACCTCAGCCAAAGACGGAGCCGGACTGGACGCGATGTTCAGGGCTCTGGCCACTTTAGGCGGGCTGCCTGACGAGACCAGTCCATCACGGCACCAGGTGATACCTCTCCTCACATACCAGTCTCTCTACCTGGAACAGAGGGGCAGGAGAGGGGACCGCAGGCGGGGACTCAGTGCGCCCTGCGCCGCCACGGACCCGCTGGCGCGCCGCCCGAGCTTCACCAGCGACCTACGGCTCGTGCTGAGAACCAGCACCAAACCCAAACCCGAGAGGTGTCAGATTCAATGAATCGTGAACCTTCTCGAAAACCCAATTGTAGTAGTATGCTGCAATGTCGTATTATGTAAGGAGTTATACTCTGTAGCACTCGGCTGGACCAGTGCATTCATATTTTATGAAGTGTAAACTATTCTGTAATAAAAATGTTATTTTTAAACTTATATATGTGTGTTTGTCTGATGGTTTATTGTTTCGGTCAATTTATCTAAACAGTTCACATTCAGGGAGACAGAGGCAGATATTTTTAGACTCTCCAGGACGTAAGAAATCAATAGTTCTCCATTTATGATGCAAACATGACCGTAAGTGTGCGTGGGAGGAGATGACTCAAACACCGACCTTAAACGTCTCCTGGTTGTCAGACAGGAGAGATTGTTCACATTTCCAATCCTCACACGACCCCCCCTCTCGAGTGTGTGAAACAGTGTGATTAATCAGAGCCACTACTCTACACACACTCGTGTATCACCATGGTGTCTGCAGGAAACAAAGAGTAAGAGCATCGCTTTTTAATGAGGGGGAGGTGAGAGGCACACTGAACTCTGTGAAATCAGCACCATGGAGAGAGCCCACACTCGGCTCTGACTTCAACTCGAGCTCCATTTATATCCTCTCATCAAAAGAAACACTTTCTTTCCTTCATCCCTGCGTGTCAGCCCACTCACTCTTAAGGTTGACCTGGAGGAGCTGTTCGGTGAGCTGGGTATTCACAGTGGCCTTGGGTTTGTGAAAAGAAATGTCTGATGAAGAGAAAGTCAGTTATTCAGAGTAAGAGGAAAAATACTGCTATAAAAGCCAGGCAGAGTTTCACAAGGTCTTCAACTACTTCTGTGAAAATGCCACTTAAATTCAAGAACAGATAGACAAAGACAAAAATAAGTGATGAACTCAGCTGCAGTGAGTTTTCTCCAACGACACACCGTGATCGCTGAAGGAAATGTGGAGGGAGTGCGAGAATCAAACAAGCGTCAAGAAAAGCAAAATCCCGTTTTGAACACAGAAGTACAGGACTGACTTAAAAGTAGCCCCCCGGGAATTGATAAGATTATATCGATGCCTTTCTCGATTCAATTCTTTAACGATTCCCTTATCAATGCCTTTCTTTAATTAAAAAAGAAAGTGGACTATAGGTTTTCAACGTTCACTCAAAATTTGATTAGGTCTCTGATAACAGAAAAAGATGTACGCCACCTTCAGCGAGAGTCTAAAAATAATCAAACAACAAACAACTTGTACAGCATTTACTTCGGTCGGTAAGAAGTCAAATTATGGTGACCATATTCTTTATCCCCTAAAAGAGGACAATACTGCGCAGGGCGGAGTCACACAATTTTTGAGTGTTTTCTATGCGCTTTTACCTCAGTTAGTCCACGGTACACAAACTCAAAACTTCCATACAAAACCCGTTGTCGTCTATCTTAGCAAAATAAAGCCACACTTCGGATCGTTTCTGCCTACTTTTCATACCATTAGCCATGTTTTTTCCCTCAAAGTCTCTGTTCTCGTTCATGTAGACTGGCTCTCACAACACTGTTTTTCAAGGCACCCGGAAGAAAGGAATCGTTAAGGGAATCGTTACGATAAAATGTAAATGATGTCAATGGATTGAACTATTTGGAACCAATTCTCAACAAGAACCAGTTCTCCATTCCCATCCCTACCAAAAATACACACAAAGAAGGAAAAAAGTGGCCAGAATCGGAATTAAATGATAACTGCTCATATATTTTACTTTCTACATCAAAGATAGTAAAAAATGGCAATTATTTGAAACACTTTCTTCAACATCTACCCAGCCTGAGACCCACCTGACCGTGCTTTAACAAATAAAATATCCAATAAAAGGCAAAAATACCTTTAAAATGTAAAGATAATGAGTCTAAATGTTCCATATATGAGGAAAAAATCATACTTTAACGGAAACAGGGAAAACATACCGTTTTATCATTATTTATTACATTTTATTTAAACTTTTGGAGGAAAAACACTTGACATTTCAAGGATTTACAGGTCTTAAATATTCTTTAAAATTGTATAAAAATAACTTGCATTTCCATTATTACTAATAAATACTCTCTCCTGTTATTCTTTATTGTATACAAGGTTTTTTAATGACCTTAAGGCTGTTCAGTATGTCTCTGTTTTTCTTCCTCTATAGACGAATTCAAGGAAACCATGACAATATACTCCCAAATATGCTGAATAAATAGAATCAATTCATGCAAGAAGGTTTCAAAACACCTCATAACAAATACAAAATAAAGTTCAATTTATCTCAAGGACGTACAGATGATCACAATAGCTGGCCAGGAAATTAACTTTCATTCAGACAGCACTCTATCTCCCTTCAGTGGTTAATGGTGTGAAAAGACCACGCACACGCAGCCTTTGTATGAGGGGATATTCACGTGTGGCGCCGTAATAAACGCTCTGCCTGCGCGGATCACACGTTAAAGGACACCTGTTAGTCAGCGTGATGACTGCCTCTAAAAATATGGAGTGATATGAAGCGCCATTCATTTTCTCAGCACGTGTTTCAACAAGAACAGCAAGAAATCATGTTTGTCGTCCACACTGACACACACGGGGAAAAACACTCAAAACTTTCCCTGTAGTGGGAATTTGGGTTAGATAGGCGAAGATGGTGAAGATGTAAAAGACAAAGCTGCCTACTTAGTAGTCAGGGTAGGTAGGCACTTATTGATCGGTTTGTGATGTAACACTGCGTAGTAAAAATATCTTCTTAAAGCTTCAGTGGGGGATTTTCAGGATTTTAGAGCCGCCTGAAGACAAAGTGATACCTCTTCTCTCTGTACTGATCTTATCCTGTAAATTCATGAATCCTCCTCCTTCTGCTGTCAGTCAAAGATGTCACTCACTGTTTATATCTGCTGTGACAATGATATAAGTGATTTGGATATTAAAAATTACTATATAGAGGTAGTTAGTCTTGATACTGATGGTTTTGTTTGCTTTTGTGGTTATAAAGAGGCATCACCGTTATTTTTAGAATCTTTCATAACCTGCTAAAAACTCCTTACAGTATGAGGCATGTGAGATAGACATAAGGACACTAGATACGTCTGTTTTCAAATGTTCCTTCAGCCTAACCTGCAAAGCTTTCCATGAAGTGGTCTCGCTCTTAGCATTACTGTCATCACATAATGGAGGTCTTCTCTGTTTTTCCATCGGCCGCGTAGTCCTTTTGTAGTCTTGGACTAATTTGTCTCTCCAGCTCCACCAGTAGAGCTGGCAGCATGCTGTCCAGTAAGGCCAGTCCTTCCCAGGAGCAGCGTAGACCTCTGATATGAATAGAGAGGCAAAAAACAAGCAGGTAAGTGCTTGTTATCACTTTTATTTTGATAATTAATCCACTTTTAATGTTTTTTCAGGTAAATCTTTGAGCATTTCCCTGGATTAGGATTGTAAATATCAGTTTTTTTACTTATGAAAATGTTTGGTTGAGTAAATTAGCTCGAAGTTCAATGAGCCCCATTCAACCTCCCACAAATTAACAACTTTTAATTCAGGTTCTTTAGAGAAGTATTATTCACCTTGTATCAAGAATGAGTTTTCCACTTTGTAGAAACTCCTGGACTTCGATGGATGTACCAAAGATTTCATACAGTCCCAGTTCAGGGCAAAACAACTCCCAGTGCTATAAAAGGGATGAAAACAACCAAAAAATCCATCACATTAAACTAAATCAGTGTACCAGTAAAACTACACTGAGTTAAACATGAGATTTTATTTAATTATAAGTATTTTATTGTGTGAGTTTCACCTTGTGATGAATTCCCTCCGTCATTCTCATTCCCATCACCAACACCTCCTCCAAACTGCAAGAAAAAAACGTCTTTTTATCATAATCAGTCATTTCAGAGCTTTGGCGTAATGACACTTTGATCCTAACAAGGACAGGAATGATAATAGCCGTTCACAAGGACAGACTGTTCGGCAGGACAAGCACATGTACAGCGACCACCAACACTATGTTTCTCACACTGTTACATTACACTCTGCTGATTGGCTGATGCATAATCGCTATATTTCACATGTGCTCATTAGAAAGACAATCACTACTGCCGAAGTGCAAAAGCTCACAGTTCGAGATGGCTGAGTTTAATCCGCCGCCGTGTCCCATGCCCCCTCTGCTGAACTTCACACATCCACACGTCAGGCTCCAGAGTCTGGGTCCGGGCCTCTCGAGTCACACCTCCCTCCTCAAGAAGAGCGAATCGCCCATGAGCCCCTGCCGCACACATCAAAGCGTTGAAACAAACTTTTTCATGAGTTAACTTTTCATTAAAAGCTGCTCTTACTCTAAATCTCTGAATAATGCATCACCTGGGCCGACCCCGATGTACTGTCTCCCCTTCCAGTAGCTCATATTGTGATGACTCACCGCGCTCTTTGTAAGAGAAAAAACAAGTGTTATTGTTCTGATGAGGCTGCTCCACTTTGAAGTGTTCATTAGGCCATATGGTGCAATTTAGAGCAGAAGTCTACCTTGTTTTTTTTTTTGCTTTGTTATTGGAGACAAATCATCCGAAAAAAACAAAACAGGAACACTTAATGTTAGTCAGGGGTATTACTCAGACTCATAAAAAGCAGGAAATATCTTCTGTCTGAAGAGCAAATGTGTCCCATTTACCTCTCCCTCTGTTACTTAAAAAAGCTTCCATTGTGGTAATTTTCTTTTTTTGGCCCAGATTAAAAGATTTCAACACCTCAGTGACTCTTAAAGACGTCATTTTGTATTCATAGTCTTCATGAAACCCACTTGCAATTTTAGTAACACTCCTAACAATTGACGTTTTTACTGTTTGAAACTCCTGTGAGGAACTTTTCATTTGAAACATAAACCTCCTAGTGTCTGATGTGTCACTTACATGTCTTGCAAAGTTAGACACCTCATATTGCTGGAAGCCGTGCTGTTGGAGGGTCCTCCTGGCGCACTGGTACATCTCTGCTGTCACGTCATCAGCCGGCACGGTCACCTCCCCTCGTTGCACCTGTTTGAACAGCTGGGTGCCTCTCTCCAAGGTCAGCTGGTACAGAGACACATGGTCGTCGCACACCTTCAGTAGCTCTGACAACTCACTCTCCCAGGATTCAACTGTCTGCTTTGGCCGTCCAAACATGACATCCACAGAAACCCTCCCGGGGCACAGCCTCCTGGCCTCTTCGATGGTTTGCAGAGCCTGATGCGCACTGTGGTCTCTCCCTAGAAGTTTCAGATCCTCATCCTGCAAAGACTGAAGGATTAAAATGTCAGACTCAGGATATGTGACATCTGTACTCAGTCTTCAACAGACTGTACATTTACCTGAACCCCGATGGAGAAACGGTTCACCCCTGCATGGTAAAAGTCTTCCAACTTTGACATCCCAACAGGAGTAGGGTTGACTTCAAGAGTCACTTCAGCTTTTTCTGAGAGTTTCACTTGTCTGGAAACAGTGTTCAGGACCGCAGCGATGGTAGAGGGTTGAGCCAGGCTTGGAGTCCCACCACCGAAAAAAACAGAAGTGATGCTGCACAGAAAAAACAAATAGGGGAGAGATGGGTTAAGATGAGCCATTTTTCATATTTTGAATCACTACATCAAGGGAATAGTTTTGTCCCTAAATTCACTTTTAAGAGTGAAAAGTGTTTTTTTTATAAATATCTAACCCATGAATTGATGCCCATCTCCTTAATATTTGGTCACATGATCAATTTCTTTTACCATTTCCAAGCAACAGGAGGTGGCTAAACTTACCCCACTCTCCCCATGTGTGAATAAAGGGCAGTACAGGATAATTTCATGTACAACTGCCAGTAAACCCCTCATACTTACCTGGACACCTGACTGAGCTGCAGCAGTGTTTCTGTCTCTCTCTGAAGACACTCAGTCATCAAATCATCTCTGTTTTCTCTGGGTATGTACTTGTTGAAGTTGCAGTAGGTACACCTTCTGAGACAGTAAGGCCACTGTGAAAAGAAGACAGAGGTGAGCCTGATATAATTTGGGCAAACTGTTTTTAGATCTGCATTTTCTCGGGGGGAAAGAGAGATTGGATTAAGATTCAAATCTTATTGAGTGCATGGATGTGATTTTGCAGATGTGTTCATCCCTGCATTGAAATACCCAAACGATCAAACTGAATAAAGCAGGCTCACGTGGACGTAGAGGGACGCCTGCCTGCTCAGATCTGCAGAGCCTGAGGATGGGTCAAACTCGATTAATTTTCCGCCGGTACCGTCAGAGAGGAAGCACAGGTCGCGAGAGAGGAGGGCACGTGCAGCTGGTCGAAACGCGTACCTAATCATTTTTCTGATTCGGTGAAACATTCAGGCCTAATTGTCCGAATCAAGAGTTGAGACTGTCCCACATTTGAGGGAGCACGAGACGTGTCTTTTTATAGCAACCCTCCGACGCTTCATTGGAGTAAGATCGAAGTTTCCATGACAACAAAGCAGCGTAAGGTAACGACAGTTCCAGACATTGAATTGATAAGTTCACGACAATTACCAAGAGGTTAGGATTAGTTTACCTAAAGCACGATGCAAATACTTTGATAACTCAGCTTTAAAATAATCAATAAACTGATTAAATTTCTGATACAAACATAGCCAGGTCGCAACCATTCGTCGTGTGTTTATGTCGTTTGGCTTTACTTCCTGGTTACTGTGACGTAGCTCCAAACCGGAAGTTAATGACAGTTCCCGATTTGACCACACGGGGGAGCAAGAGCCAAAGTGAAGGCTCCAAGTGAATTATACTCTGTTTCTCATAAAAACCGTAAGCTTACAGTTAATAATATTGTGAAAAATATTTAAATAAGTTTTTAAAAAATAAAATGCTACATCTCTGGACTCGTTACATGTAAACTTAAATATTTTACTTTAGTTTTCTTGTTTTTAGATAGATAGATAGATAGATAGATAGATAGATAGATAGATAGATAGATAGATAGATAGATAGATAGATAGATAGATAGATAGATAGATAGATAGAATACAAATACTGTAAAAATATTTACACTAAATAAGGAATAAATAAAAACAGTCTATGAAAATGATCATACGGCAGTAGTGCAGCGTTACAAAGGCATAGTAAACAGTGCAAATGGATGCAGTAGTGCAAAAAATGCAGATGCTGATTGATTTATTCAATTTTTGTCAGCCAACTATGGCATACAACTTAAAAAAAAACATTTGAATTTCTCAATTTGTGTTTGAGTGAATCTCTGTTTAGACAGAATGAACTCAGTGTATCTCTTAGTTTATCTTAAAACATGTGTCTACAATCACTGCAGACACTGCTGACTTGACGGTTGCAGACAAAAGCAATCACTACTACCAACACATCCACAGAGTAAGCAAGAAAAGGTCAAAAGTGAAAAGTCAAGTTCGTAGAGTTCGCCAAAACTCTGCAACTCATTCAAGCCAAACTCCAAGAATCTGCAGAACAGTGACCAGATGAACTATACAGCATCTTTTGAAACCACCTCTTGTAAAAGAAGCATCATAATAAATACAAACTGTCCTCTGAGGATACATTCACTTTAGAGTTCCCTTTTCACATGGCTGTGTCGTATGATCAGATCAGCTGTAAACACATACAAAAAGACAGCAATCTAAATTTGTGCTCTTCTCACACTACATCAAGCTAATCTAATGAGCTATTGATTTCCCTGATCCCATGAAAAATCAGTCTGGTTGGCTGACAGGGAGGTAACCCGAGGTCACATTTACAAGCAGACTTGATTTAAATCACAAATGCCAACAAAAAATTACTGTTTTTTTAAAAAAAAACTATTATTTTGAAATATGAGTTGCTCAGTGAGATGATATAAAAACCCTACAGGTAACTAATCATACTCAATAATGACTTTAAATCAGCTGATCAGGTATATGATTGGCAACAAATAGTGTGCTGTGATCATGATGATTATACAAAAAATGGTTTCTCATCTGCATCAAGGTTTAATAAGGGAATGGTACAGTAAACATCCACCATAAAATGTGGATATCCTCTCATCCTGTCTTTTTCAAACTATGGGTCTAATTTAATTCACCTTCACTGAATTTCCAAACGTGGTAATTTAAAGAGTAATTTGATGAAAACATCAATAAATGTGAATGTTTCTGCTGACTGGTAGCATCACACCCTCAGGGTATTTTCCACTTAATATTAAATCTGTTACCTAATAACCTAATCGAGAGAGAGAGAGAGAGAGAGAGATAGATAGAGAGAGAGAGAGAGAGAGAGAGAGAGAGAGAGAGAGAGAGAGAGAGATTTTAAAAAAGGATGGGATGTTGTCTTTATTGGATGATTGCTACAGTCAGTTCAGCTCCACCGGAAAGCAGCAGATACAGAATTTCTTCATAACCTGCAATAAACGACTGCCACAGAGTTGTAAATCTGGCAAATGGATAAGAGGAAGAAAGGTAAGCCTATTTAATTCTTATGTACTGGAAATATGACAGCAATAACTTTTACTCAAGCCACAAAGACAAGATGGAACTTTTTAACTTACATACCATCAGCTAGAAAAGATCCAGCAGAAGTACATCATTAGCCATGCAAGGAATTTATCACTCACAAAAGTAGATAGGCATTGTATCTGCTCCTTATCAGACTATAAACATAACACATGAGCTTGATAATATTTGGCTTGGGAGAGTTACATGATAACACAAAGGGAGCAAACAATCTTTTTAACTAATGATTAGCCAAATATATTTAATATCTGATGACATATGACATCGGGCACAGGCAAAGAGCATCAACATAGTAGAAGGAAGTATCCACAATAGTAGTAGGCTAGTTTATCAACATACAACTCAGTATGTGTCATTCTTAAGGTGTTAGCTGATATAGCTACCTGTGGGGGGGTCAATGTTTTTATGAATTGTAAACATAGAGATGATAGCATAGAGGCATATACAATTGGACTGAGCAGTCTGATAGGACAGAGAGCTTAACAGTTGGTGAACAATTGCTTTTATCATCTGCGGATCATCGCTAAACTGAGGTCCATGATTTCTAGACCTGAAATGGAGATGATAATTCATGCCTTTGTTACCTCTCACATTGACTACTGTAATGCTCTTTTTATGTGTTTTTAAGCTGCAAAGCGTGTAACTGGATCGAAGAAAAGGGACCATATCACCCCAATCTTATATTCCCTCCACTGGTTACCAGTTAATTTTAGGATTCATTTTAAGATTTTAGTTCTTGCTTTTAGAGCCCTCCATGATCAAGCTCCCTAGTACATCACTGAGCTACTGAGACCCTATTTCCCCTCACGTTCACTAAGGTCATCAGACCACAAACTCCTGATTGTCCTTCACACCTGTTTTAAAACACGAGGTGACTGCGCTCTCCAGGCCAGTGCCCCTCGCCTCTGGAATGCACTACCATTGACCTTACGCAGCATAGAGTCTACTAAATCTCTTTAGACAGGCTTTTATCTGTATCTGTGCCATTATATGTATGTGTTTCTCCGTATTCTATTGCATTTTATCATTATTGTAAAGGACTTTGTGATTTTATCTATGAAAAGTGCTCTATGAATAAAATTTATTTACTTACTTAAAGATGAACTAAAAAAATATGTTTAGACATGCCCACAGACCTTTGGTTTTAAGGCATCATATAGAGCCTGAAGAGTGTACACGAACAGGGTAGTGAGTTTGAAAATAGGGTCTATCTTTTCTTAAATACATTTTGTCGAGTGTTTCTCAAACTCAACTCTCTTTTTTAACAGGATCTTCCACAGAATTAAGGCTGCTGATTGTTGGTAGCAGTGGACCTTCGCAGTTTCAACTGACCAATTCCATACTGGGGAGGGAGGAGTTTTCAAAAGATACCACTTCCATCTCTAGAAGCAGGAAGAATGTCGGAGAGCTGGCTGGTCGTCGAGTGGCTATTATCAATGGACCAAATGTGTATGACAAGAGTATATGTGGAGTCAAGAGGAAGAGGGAGCTGAGAAGGTCCAAGTGTTTGTGTATCCCTGGTCCTCATGCATTTCTTGTAGCCTTTGACATGGAGAATATCTCTCTGAATGACATGAAAGCTCCAAAACTGCTGAGGAAGCGCTTTGGGAGACACTGTATGAGGCGCTGCATGGTACTCCTCGCCTATGACGGGAATCTGGAGGGAGCCGCCCTGGAGAAGAAGGTACAGAAGACTGAATGGTACCTGAGAGAGATGGTGGAGAAGTACAACGGGCGCTTTCATGTTTTCAGCAAGAACTGGAGGGATCGTAGTCAAGACAGAGAGCTGCTGCAGAAGATCGAACGCATGGTGGCATCTTTAGGAGGGGGATACTTCACCAGCAGCACCTTCCAGAAGGCGGAGGAGTTTGTGAAGAAGGAGGAAAAGAGGCTGAGGAAGCTGAGGTCAGGCGATATAGAGAAGGCATGGACTGTGATGGAGAAGCACATAGAGGAGGACAAGGATGTCCACACCAACAACGTGGGCACGGAGATCAGAGCCAAGGCAGAGATTGACAACGGGTGGCTCCGAACTTCCCTGGCCAGAGGATTGGGGATTGGATTCGCTGTTGGGGCTTTTATGGGCGCGCTGGTGGGGTCCATTGAGGGGCCTGGGGGGATGGTAATGTATGGGATCATAGGTGGTGCTGTCGGCGGATCGGCAGGAGGTACAGCTCATGTAGCCATAAAGCACATAGAGGACAGAGTGTCTCCTCCTGCCAGACTCAACTTTAACTCCATCTTCATCAACCGATTCTTTGCAGCTCCTCGCCCATGAACTTTGACTCATAAACAAAAGGTTTGACATCATGTGGTCTTTTAAAGCTTGTACCAAAATACACAAACCCCTTTGGAAGCTTCAGGGAACCACAAATGATCAAATAAGCAGCCAATCTCGTACCTGATATAAACAAAATTGTATCTGAAATAAACGTATTTGTGATTCATGGAAGCACATGTGAGTTTTTCATTATATAACCGCCAAACATTTTATGCCCCCCAGGTGTTCGCTGGTATCTGAAGGTTAGCTGAGGTGGAGCTCGGATAACTAAGGGTGGAGTCTCAGTTGAGTCCTTTTGTCAAAAGCACAACCCTTTTCTAAGTCAACACACACACACAGACACACACAAAGGCACACCTGAGTGCACCTGCTGAGTACACATTATCTGTGGTATCTATGAAGCTGTGAGTAGAGGCAGGGCAGACTGGCTTTGGTGATACCTGGACAGGATCGACTTTTTCAAAAGTCCTTTTGTTTTCAGCTGGGAGAGGTAAGAAGACGACATTTGACTTAGTCTGTTTTAAAGACGTTTCTTCTTTCTTTTTTTGACAACTTCTCACTTTCTTGGCATGTTGACAGAGAAAAAGTCAGACCTGTTAATCATTGATGAACATGTTGCATAAGCCAAGTGTTTCTTGTGTCAGGATGAGAGTAAAAAGAAATCAGAGCAAAACTAAGAAATCAGAGCAAAGCAGTTTCAAGAGTTTAAAAGTTACTGCCTTGTTGTGATGTAAGAAACTATTCCTTTGCTACCTGTCTGACTGCATACTTCACATTGTATCTTGGAGTTGTCTGCTTCCGTCCTCTGCACCTAATGGTTTCTCAATCACAAAGAAATTCTTTTGACTTTGAATGTGTGAGACAGTGACACTGAGAAAACACTGTGGGGGACATGGTAATCCAAGGGCAGAGCTTCACTATGAAGAGCTTTCAGCCACAGGATCAGATGGTATTTCTATAGATCATAAACAGAATCACAGGGCCGGTCCTTTCAGTGTGTCGTTGCATAATGTGACAGGAATGTCTTTCTGTGTGAGAACATGACGTCCCTGAGAGTCAGAGAGCAGCATCGCTCAGCTGAAGGAAGCCTATAATAGGTGGCAAATACAAGTACATGGTTCAGATCTAATATCATGGTAAGTGTAATGAAAAAGACTTATAGACTCACACGTTGCTGGAGAGTTTCCATCTACATTTGAAAAGCCATAAGGGTATTTAGGGTGAAATGTCTCACTTTCTCTTCTACGACATTTTGTGACCTGATCACTTATAATTTTAAAGTTCCTGTTGGGAGTTTTTTAACATTAATGAAATAGACTGTAATTTATAATGATGCCTTTTTGATATACACAAAAGCAAACGAGACCACCAGCAACATGACTAGTCATTTGTAAACTGTAATTTGTAAGGCTTAAAACTGGTATAAGAGAGGAGATATCAGCATAGCTCCTGGAAAAACAACCCTTTTTTTCTCTGTACTTTAACTTAAAATATATTAAATTTGACTGTTAAAAATCATCAGGATGCAACTTTTTTTTCCAAGAAGACACTGTTAAACCATAAAGATGACAATATAATTGAAGACTGCTGTTCACAAAATTGACACTAGCTAAAGTTCATCACAGGAGAAATGTAGCTACCATAATTTTTCATAGATCTGAAAGAAAAGACACGACTACTCTGAAACTCTCATATAAAGAATATACAGTATTTCTCTCACATACATATATTCTCTTAATGTTTGGATTTAAAAGGAGAATATCTGTGAAAGGAAAACATACTGTATGTATATGAAAAGGAAGGATATGGGAGTATATGTACAGCTGCTTAAAGGGAAAATAGATCTTGTTTCTAAACTTTGTTGTCAGGGCCCTTCTTTACTTCTTAGACATATCTGACAGTTTTAAGCAATTTCCCTCTGGGGGTTATTAAAGTATTTCTGGTTCTGATTCTGATTATAGAAATAGGGCCTTTTTCTCTCCTTATCTAAGCATCAGAATTTGGTTTTCCCTTCACTCGGTCAAACATTTTCCCTTCTTGCATATTGTTGTGACCCTTTGGAATGGGCTTGATTTCTTTAAAAAGTCACATATATTCATGTCATGTTTATGTAGGCAGTATTTTTTTTTTTATAAAACTAAGAAGTCACCTGTGATATTATGGCTTTCAGAAAAATGGCCTCCACCATCAGCCTCCTCCATGAGAAGCTCTTTTTGTGCTCTCTGTGCAAAGACATCTTCACCAACCCTGTAACCACACCATGCGGACACAGCTTCTGCCTCCCCTGTCTCAGCAATTTCTGGGCACGACACCAGAGCAGATACTGTCCTCACTGTAGGAGAGTGTTTGCTGAGAGGCCCGACCTCAGCATCAACCACATTCTGGCTGACATCTCTGAAAACTACAGGAAGAATCGACCAGAGAAACCCCTTGAGGAGGAAAAAGTGAGTCTTTTAACAGATATTATTGGAAATTTGATCAATCTTGGATATTTGTGAGCTCTTATGTCGCTGTTGCAGGTTGTAGATGTTGAGCAAATGATTCAAGAAAGGCAGCAGAAGATAGAACGGTTAAAATACTCCCTCCAGCTCCAAAAGGTTTGTTAAAACCTGTGATGCATTCAATCATTTGTGAAATAAATAAATGTAAAAACCTTAAATGTTAATAAACCCATGATGATGTCCCTCAGAACTCCTACCTAAGAGAAGTGCGAGAGAGTCAGAAGGTCTTCTCCGCTCTGGTGAATTTGATGGAAAAGAGCCACAAAGGGCTGGTTTCAGCAATAGAGGAGAAACAGAGAGAGGAGGAGAAGCGAGTAGAGACGCTGGTGGAGGAGCTGAAGGAGGAGATCAAGGTGCTGAAGAAGGAGACCCCTGAAGCTGAGCCTCAGATTCCTGCGAACGATGACCAAAGTGAAGATGTGAAGCAAGTTACTGTGGTAAACACCTTCACCTTCAGCAGACAGAGCAATGATGATTAAAGATGTCGAGGCCTTGACACGAGGCTGATGAAATCTTTGTCCATGTCGTGCAGAGCATTGTTTCTAACATGAGCCTGGCTGACATGAAGGACTGGTCCAAGGTTACCATAGAAACTGACCCTTGTGTTGGGGTAACTAGACGAGCTCTGTCAGACGTGATGGAAATGGTGAAGGTAGAAGTCAACAGGCTCTCCAAATCTGGTGAGAAATCCAAAGTAGATCTTTTGTCTTAAACAGAAATCTGACTATCGGTGACAACGACATTTACATTTTCCTTTTATTCTTCTTTGACAGAGCTGAAGAGAATAGAAAAATACACAGGTAAGCAAATTATTTAAGGGAGATTCTTTGTATTCTCTTTTTATATGAGTTGTTTTTTTATACTTATAGATGAATTTAGACCAACAACTGTCCCATAAACACTTTTTCAACTACAATACTCGAGGGAGGACGAAACTGCCCACATGTATGCTAAAAAGTGCACAATTCAGTCAAAGCATTTTAGGAAAAGATGAACGTCATATTGTGACTGTTGATAGATAAACCAAAAGTTATTAGTTGAGTCATTGTTGGCTTTTAAAATACCACATCAGGAACTAATGGGTGATGCCTCATAGACATAATCTATGTTTATGTTTAATACCATTTATGGTCGTTGCAGATGGGAACATTTGGTTGGATAGGGGTTTATTTTTCCTATGCCGGACTTATTCTCAGTCATATGTTTCACTTTTTTAGAATTTTAACAGAGTTTAAAAAGTTAAACATCTCACATTATATAGCTTTACTTTGCAAATATATTTGATGCCATCCCAGATTTTACATGGCAGAGAGGACACTACTATGGAGGGTCTTAACAGGGTCAAAAAACTGACAGATAAGATCTGACTTCCTCCCTGTAAAGTGATTTTCTAGCAGGCCTTAGTCTCAAAGGTATCCAAGCTCTTTGACCCATTTTTGAGTTTTTCTCTCTCCTTTTCTTAGCGGATGTCAGTCTGAGTGCAAAGACAGCCCACCCCTCCCTCTCTGTCTCAGATGACAGAAAACAGGTGAGACAAACAGACAAACTTCAGGAAGTACCCGATCACCCCAAGCGCTTCGACCGTGTCGCAAACGTACTGGCTAAGGAGAGCTTCGGCAGTGGGAGGTGCTACTGGGAGGTGGAGGTCGGGGAGAAGATCGAGTGGACCCTGGGTGTGGTCAGACAGTCAATAAACAGGAAAGGCAAGTTCACCGTCTGCCCTGCTAATGGTTTCTGGACTCTGAGCCTGAAGCCTGGAGGCCAGTACATGGCTAACACCTCTCCTGTGACCTCGCTGGCTCTGGAGCAGAGACCCAAAATGGTGGGCGTGTTTCTGGACTACACAGAGGGCCGTGTGTCCCTCTTCTGTGCTGAATCTGGAGTCCACATTCACACCTTTATGGACTCATTTACTGACAGACTTCATCCTTTCTTTTGTCCCGGACGCCTACATGGAGGCAAAAACGCTGCACCTCTAAAAATCTGCTCAAGTTTCTGCAGCATCTAAAAATCATACCTGATCATAATTTATAAATCTGCAGATGAATAAAGCTGTTGCACTTATTTGATTGTTTTATCTGTATCAATCTAATGTGAGAAATATATTTATATATTTATTAATCCATGCAGAAAAAACACAATAGACTTCATTTTTCCAGTCAGAACACTGAACAAGAGACTGCAGAAGTACTGACTCCCTACACTCGAAAACTTCAATGAAAGCCATAAACAGATTGAAAAGGCAAGACAAGGGTAGAAGAAAAGGGAAAGCTCTCATAGATGAACAAGTGAGTCAAAGTTTAAAAAAAAAAAAAGAGAAAATGGCTGCCAGGGTTGGATGGATGTGAGGGGCTGCAGGGCCGGGACAGAGGTTGACGAGAAGCAGCGAAGGAGGGCACGGCAAGACAGCGGGGCATTGTGCTCGTACACCAGGCACTGGGAGACACACTCAAACACATTCACTCATTCACACACTGACGCTGCCGTGCACACAAGCGCATGCTTCTGCCCACTGCCACACAGACTTGCGCTGGCATCTTGGAGGGCAGCCCCATCTCCAGTGCAGTCCTGGGTGTCGAAGCTGCTCGACCCTCTCTCAGCTTCAGATCAACTGACCTCTGAGATAGATCCTCCTCTACTGTGGACTGCAGTGATTCTCAGGGCCATCATTCACAAAAACTGGGCATCCCAGCTGATCTACACAAGCAGAGGAGAAGTGGCACCAACCTGTGGACCAGAAGGAGCAGTGAGAGGTAAATATCCAACATCAGGAATTTCTCTGCAACAGTAAAATATTTCTAAAATATCAAAAGGATACGATTACCAATATATTTTGAAGACGTTTGATCAGCTTGATGAAGAATAAGAACAGCTAGTGTGTTATATTTAGTGAACTCTAACAACTAAATACCACTTCTCTAGACCTTAAGCTGCTAATATTGTTCGTAATTGCTCTCATACTACCACAATATTTGCAATAATGCCCTTCAGTGTGGGCAGAATAATTAGTTGCATTTGAGTAGAATTATAATTCTTGCTCTTATGCATAAAAATCCCACATGTATGATAATCCATTTATGTCTGGTCTGTGATCAACGCCCTTGTTTGGACATTTATCTGTATATCTAAAAGGGGATTAAAGGTACTGCATCCATCTCTGCTCTGAAACCCTTAGATTGATGGTTCAGGTGGGAGTTTGATACACAAAATCGATAAATGCGGATTCTTAGAGCTGGGACAATTAGATGACATATAGGTCCTCCTGGCCCACACTACAAGTCTTCATGAAAGATGCTTGTGTTCACAGTCCCCTCATGTTTTTCTGAGATAATCCACTCACCCAGCAAGGCGTAGCAAGACACCCACAGCTGTGTCAAAGACGGCTATTCTCTCTGGTTCTGACTGGAATCCACTAAACATGGGCCTCCGAGCGTGTTTGAAAATAATTATGATAAGGACAAGCTTCAGTGGTCGTTCATACTTATTAATGTAGAGCTTCTTTCTGTGAGTGGTAGGGAGTTATAAATGTTTGTATCAGTAAATTTCACTGTACAGAATGTGTGTATTATGACTAAGAAAATAATATATTTTTTCTATTGTCATCTCTGTGTTTAAGGGTACCTGTTCTGGTCAAACCAAGCTGAGCTCAACACCCGCCAAAAGACTGACGATCCCGCAGTGGAGCACTTTTCTTCCAACTCAATAGACTGTCACATTTCTTTGTGGGACAAGAAGTTGGCTTACTTCAACAAACAAAGACTGAAATAAAACAGAAAGAAATTCTAACAGCTGGTTCAGACAACATCTTTAACCATGGCAACCACAGGTATGCAGTTACTGGGCCTCATCATGTCCATTGTGGGCTGGGTGAGTGGGCTGATAGTCTGTGCTCTCCCCTTGTGGCGAGTCACTGCCTTCATCGGTAACAACATAGTGACGGCTCAGATCATCTGGGAAGGCCTGTGGATGAATTGCATAGTGCAGAGCACAGGTCAGATCCAGTGTAAGGTGTATGACAGCTTGCTGGCTCTACCTAGCGACATGCAGGCTGCCCGAGGCCTCACCGTGCTCTCCATAATGATCTGCGGTGTGGCTCTGGCTCTTGGGGTTGTAGGAATCAAGTGCACCAAGTGCATTGGCGTGAACAGCCTCAAGGCCCGTGTTGCTCGCATCTCCGGTGCCCTTTTTGCCATCGCAGGGTTCCTCTACCTTGTCCCCATCTGCTGGACGGCCCACTCCATCATCAGGGATTTCTACGATCCACATGTGGCAGCACCCCACAAGCGTGAGCTCGGCCCTGCTCTTTACATTGGCTGGGGAGCATCGGCTTTGCTCCTCATTGGAGGATCTCTGCTTTATGCTGGGTCGAGTCCCCCTGGCATGCCAGGCTCTCCCACCTTCAGCAGCGGAGAGAGCAGTCCCCGCAGGGCACCTGCAACACAGGTCAAAGGTTATGTTTGAGCTCCCAAAATGTCTGAATGCCAACAAGTCCCCAAACACACCCCTGATATCTCTCTTCCAATTTTGCTTCCTGTAATTATTTTATATTTAATGTTATTCCAGTTTGCTTTTTTTTCTCTGGAAAGCCGCAGGAGGCTGTTTGGTGACAACTGAACTCATTACATGATTTCATACCTGATATCCTTCAGTAACCTTTCTTTCTGTCTGTCAGTGTAAAGTACAATAAATGGCCTCCAAATCCACCCCTGAGGGCAATGTTGTGTGTTCACATCTTTATTATAATAGATAATAAAAAGAAAAAACTAGCCAAAAGGCTCTTGTAAGCCTTGTAGTATTATAAAGATCTTTGTTTTGCTTGTTTATGTAAATACTACCGGGAGTTCAGCTGAGCAGAGAAGAACAATAGAACAATGGGGATGTGTGTACATTTGCTTGTGGTGCCATACTGTCGAGATGTGTGTGTGTGTGTGTGTGCGTGTGTTTGTGTGAGAGAGCAATAGAGATGTAGAGGTCCTCCCTTTCTTTTCTGTCATCTGGTAACTCAACACCAGGGACAAGAAGTACACTATCTGTCTGTAACAACCCAATAAACCTTATATTCCTCCACTTTACTGAGAGCAGGAGACAGGCTCTCCTCAAACAGAGAGCTACTCTGTCAGAATCAGAATTTAAAACTTCAGTCCCATCCCTCTGTCTATGTTGGGTATTATCGAGTAGTAATTAACTATGAAAGTAATGAAAATATCAATAAAACTCCCAGAATGTGTGCTTGCTGCTGTGAGTGTTTAAGCATGTAATGTGGGATGTTACAAGCCACAGCGGAAAAAAGCATCATCTTTATTCATGAGACATTGTTCAAATCCCTCTGAGTTTGCACTCCCTCAATTTTGATCCAGTGATCATCTATGGAGAGATCTGAACACTGCTGAAGTGGACTAAAGCTATAAGAACCTTTCAGTTTGTTCCTGATTCAATTGATTTCAAACTAAATCTTTCAAATAATCAAACCAGACCCTGGCATTTGCTTCAATCTGCCGTTAATGTAACTCAACTGTATGAATCAAATCACAACTGAGAGGAGACGCAGAGCCCTGTCAGTTTTTCTCTCCTTCTGTCCCATACAGAACTGGACAGAGCGATACAATAGCACTTTACAGAGCGTAACAGCACCAAAGCGACAATGGGTACCAGTGTCCCAAGTGCCAGGTAGTGACTCATACATGACCTAAGGAGGCCTGTATCAATGTTGGTGGTGTAATGCTGTGAATACAGTAGGGAAGCCGTGTGCTATTTTACTGTAGTACACTTAGAATGAGACTATCTACGTCTAAGACAATGAGACAATAGGTTTAAAAGGTAGCAAGGCAATTTTAGTGACTATTTATCAAACACATAAGAAGATTATTAATGAGTAATACATCATACAACAATGTTAATCACCTACACGGGGGAGCTAGTGTTGTATCTTGTCTGTCTGCATGTGTAGACGTAGAAAGAAGCTTTGTGACACTGGCTTGCTTGTATGATTTTTTACAATTTATTACAAAGACAACACTAGTATCAAAACAGCACTGCAGCTGCTGGGAGAGGACTGCCAATGATGTCCATCTCTACCAAACCTGAGTTTGTGATGCTGTCATATAGGGTTAGAGTATTAGGTCCTCCTACATCCTTTCTTTGTCTCTAAGTAATATTTCTTTACCATCTGCTTCACATCTAGCTGACCTGTGACCTGTAAACCCCCAACAGCCAGGATGTCTGGACCAAGTACCATGAAAGAGACACATTGCCCTAATTCCATTCTCCGGTTATCTCAGGCTATACCTGAGAAGTATCCCAAGGCATTACACATTGGTGCTGTACTCCAGATACCACACTAGTAACCATTCAAGGACACTTAAGTGAAGTCTTAGATATCCAAACTTTAAAGCCAGCTCACTAAAAAACTCATATAAAGATTAAGACTAAATATGGACCTTGTATTAAGAGGGTGCTGCATCAATAAATCTGATAATATATCATATGTTGTCAGAGATTGTAATTAAAGTCTTACATAGACACATAGTCTGCAGTTTGTGATGATAAAGTCACTTATACCAGAAAAAATAAATGTTTAAATTAAAATACACATAAATATGTAAAAACAAGTTCTGTATTTTCATGATTTATGAATGCTTTTTTTTTTTTTTTTTACATAACTGGCAACATCATTGACATAAAAATGGAAAAAGGTTTGAAAACAAGTGGCTGAATCCTCACTGGGCCTAATACGCCATAAGTGTCCGTTAAAGGTGTCTCCAAACTCTGTGAACTCTGTTCACTGAAACAAAGTTTATCTTGTGTTTTGTCAAAGAATTGAACTTGTATTTGAGTTTCTCGGACGCTAGAGGGACGAAATTCCTGCGCCGCTGTTGTTGTTTGACGGCGGAAGTGGGAAGCAGGAAGAGCTGTACAGCTGTGAGGCTCCGAGGAGGCTAACAGAGAAGCTAACAAGCTAACCTCAGCGGTGGAAATATCAGGACCCTCTGACTTAAAGAAGAAACCCCGTCAACTACTTTGAGACTTTCAATCTGAAATGGGGAAAGGCGGGGGTACATTTGAGAGGCTTCTCGGTAAGTTATCGGCTCGTCGGTTCGGTCAGTAGCTTTTTAAAGAAATATGAGTCAAAGTGCGATGTTTTTCCAGCGTATTGTTTTGGCCGACGCGAACCAGGGCTGTGGCTTCCAGGCCAGCTAGCTCATCTTAGCTAGCGAACAATTGACTGTCATTGAGAACAAGCCTGGATTTAACTACAACAAGCCACTTAAACACACGATATAACATTGCTTGATAGTGTTTCTACAGTTTGATATAAGCTACGCTACCCTCGTGTTTTCTTCATGTTAGCAGCAAAGCTAAGCTGATTCCCCTTTGCTCCATATCAGCCCCACGCATGATCATTTATTAACGTGAAATATGGCACATGTTAACCACAATTATTTCTGTGTTTAACTGACGTTCCGCAAAGTCAGGTGGATAAACTCAGATGCTTTTATAGTTTCCCAAGTTTTCTTTTTTAATCGTGTCAACAACAGGTTGGTCAGTCAGTTGCCAGACAGGTAAAACTAGCTTCTGGTTGATCTTTCGCCTATTAAGTTAAGAGTTACTCAGGAGATATTGTTTAATTTACTTTGGAAAAGTACTGATGTTTGGCCTTGGGTGTGTTTTGCTGACCCCCTTTTGAGGCTTCTCTACTAAATGGCTTTATGCTATTTGTATGAGTCATGCTTGACTATCGTCCCCCATAAATACTGGTAGTGTTAGGGCTGGGCGATACGAGGAAAAGTTTATCAAGATATATATATATTTTTCATATCAGTCAATGTTGATATATATATCAAGACATAAAAAATAAGATTTAACGGTGGTTATTGGTAGCATGTCTTTTGCAATACAATAAGCTACTGCATCTGTGAGGTCTTTGTGTCTCTTTGACGTTTTGTCGTAAGGTGTTGCGCTCATAGACTGTATATACTATGGACAACTCGGTTCCGCCTCCCGCCAGCATACGGATTTGAAGCCAAATAGCTCTCAGTATTTCCTCAATTTTTCTTCATTTCCTGAAACCAGTATTGCGCCGTAGCATTGTACACATTCAGCGGGAGAGTTGCCGAGATGATGCTCAGCTCAAACACCGTATCTCCCGGGTGAGCTACGCAATCCCTGAACGCCAATAGGCTGCATCAGGTGTCAATCATAGAAAACATGAACCCGCTAATAACTTTTAAAAATGAGCTTCACAGAAAAAAGAGGACTTGAGCACAAACCAGTCTTACAGTAACTACATGTCAACATCGCAACCAGGGGGGAGAAAAATTTATGGTCTGTGTGATAAAGTTCTAAAGTTTGTCCACAGCCCCATACGCTTTGCTGGCGGGGGCGGGATTTATGACCTATACTGCAGCCCGTCAACAGAGGGTGCTGTTCTCAGAGTGGCTTCACCAGCAAGGAGGCAGACGCTGTCCACTCTGTATACAGTCTAGTGCTGCGCTAGAGAAAGCGAATGATCAGCTGTTTTGGCTGCACAGGTGCCATGGGCTCCTTGCTCCGCTCTTGGTTCATAACCTTTTGCATTGTGTGTGCTCTGCCATGTGGCACTGCTTCAGGTGGTGAAAAAGATTTGTGGTATTCCTCCACTTTGCGAGAACATGTAATCGACATGATTTACAGGTTCCTCTGCTTCATGTCCGACCTTACAAACCAAAATACCTCCACACCACCAACATTTTCGTGCCAGTGTTGTTGACGATGTTATCATTTGTTGAGCCTTCATCTGCATTTCTGCCGGGGGTAGCACTCATTTTCTTTTTTTCGATATCGTTGCCATTTTATTGCCCAGCCTTAGGTAGTATACTTTCGTTTACAAATGCCTTCTTGGGTAATATTTAGTATTGATTGCTGGATTCACTTCCAGTGAAGGCCTCTCTGCTATAATAGAATAGCTAAGAGCCATACTTATCAGTGTGTAATGGGTGCAGTGTGTTTGCTATTAAGTGATAATTGTAGTTTAGTGATGACACAGAGAAAGCAGAAACTTTGAGATACACCATCTAAGCATGAGACTGGTTTACAACATGAAGTTCCTGAAATGAGGTTATTGTCACATCACGTTAGACTGTGCTGTGAGGCAGAGTCTCTAACTGTGATTAAAAACACTCTGTAGAGTTTGCTGATCTGACTCTCAGAGGGAGACTGTCTCACCACCTGGGACCGAGAATAGCAAATAGCAAACATACAGTCCCCCTTGCAGTCTGTTGGGTGGACCTGAGGGACCAAGCAGTGGTTTACAGCATTATTTGTTCACTGATGTACACAGGAGCGAGACAATTCAAAGCCTTTTTGACAAGAAGGAGGCTCTTGAACTGAAACATAAATAAATCAATAAATAGCTTCTTGGCTCAGGCAGGAAAAAAAGCATTGTAGTTGTCTAAATGGGAGGATGCAGAGGCGCACATGACCATTTCCAACTGCTGCAACCATGACAAAACATGTATTTCAGCATTTTGAAGTGAAAATAGCAAATCGTATGAGTGTCTATTGCTGTGTTTGTCAAATTTCCTCTGACAGTCAAATCTGACCCTGAGATTTTAGGGGAAAGTCTTGTATTCGTGGCTAATCAACCCAGATGTTGGACAATGTTAGTTAAGATATCATATAGAGCAAAAACTAACAGCTCTGTTTGACTGTAGCTAAATGAAACAATGGTAATATTACACACAATCAAGCGACCTTAAGGGAAGCATATATCAACAAAATGAAATTGGTCCAAGGATTGATCCCTGAGGCACCCCACAAGACAATGGGAGCACTGGACACCTTGTCATTACCATGTACAGAAAATTTCGAGCTGACAAACAACTGAACAGAGATCGCTTTTCTATCATTAGTACAATTCTATTTAGAGCTAATTTGACATTAAACCAATTTTTGACCTTATATGGCGTATGAGATATAGACAGACATTGCACAACATGCAGTATGTTTTTAATCATCTATAATCATTGCAGATAAAGCCACCAGTCAGCTGCTGCTGGAGACTGACTGGGAGTCCATTCTTCAGATCTGTGATCTCATTCGACAAGGAGATGCACAGTGAGTCCCCTCTTCCCTCTCTCCTCTCCCTGCCTGTTCAAGATTTAAAAAAAAATAGTGTTTCTTTGCCTTGACCTTCTGTTGAGAAACATTATCAATTGTCCTTGCAGGGCTAAGTATGCTATCGGGGCTATCAAGAAGAAGCTCAATGACAAAAACCCACATGTGGCCCTCTATGCGCTTGAGGTAAGATTTTTATACAGTGAAGAATGAGCTACAGAACTTTTCCTCAGCTAGTATGGAAGAACAAAATCGAGTTTAACTGAATTAATGTTAATATTGTGTTTTCTGTGAAGTACTTTACTGTAAGCTGAGATATGTTTCACACAGTTGGCATGACGAATAGTATGTGGCCTCACTCCTCAGGTCCTGGAGTCAGTGGTGAAGAACTGTGGCCAAACTGTCCATGACGAGGTGGCGAGTAAACAAACCATGGAGGAACTGAAAGACTTACTCAAGGTGACTTAATTCGTTTCTTCAGCCTTGTACTTCTGCTCTGTTTAATCTCATATTTTGTCTTTAGTCAGTATCCTGCCTTTACTGTTGCTACAATGAGATTCCTTTAAAATCCTGTTAGTATGAAAGATACTTACAGCTTCTCTTACTATGGCTTTAAACTCATTTTGAAAATACACTGGCCTGGGTGGGGTCCCCGTCAGAGAGATTGTCACCTCTCATATTCCCTCTCCATGCACTGAACACCTGCTCTTGCACTGTTTCGCTTATGTTGAGCGGTCTATCACCGGTGTAACTCGACATGGCACAGCTTTCTGGCATAAAGCCTTGGAGGCAAACACCTCCTGGTACCGACAAAAAAAGAGAGCGGGACAGAGTAACAGGCCTGTAAATCTTCGACTGGCCTTTAAGTTGTTGAGTTGAGATTAAATTGCAAAATTCCTGCAGCCCAGGGTTACACATTCAGATGACTGTTTTGTTTGATCTCTGTCCAAAACCCAAGGTGATCAAATGAAAACCTTCTGAAATAAAACATCCAAATAGTAGAACCAGTAAATATTTTGCCCCTGAAGTTAAATTAGACTGTCACACATTTTTAGGTTGAATAATATCTGCACATTTACGTAAAACTCTCCTGCCCTTCTTCCACCCTCTTTTGGGTCAAAACCTCTTGCTGTAATGCAGTCAGCTTCCTGGCTGCATTACAGCACCGCAAGTGAGCGACACTTGATTGGAGTCCTGCTGAGTCATGTGACACAAGCTCCTGTAGCGTTCAGCCCATACTGGTTTCAACTTCCTGGTGATGTCATAGCCTTGTGACAGATTTTTTTTTTTTCTCCTCCAGACAAAAGCGAGGGACTTCCCTCCTCCCTTCTTGTTGTCAAACACATTATTTCTCAGATGTTTTTCTAAATGTGAAACCAGAAGTGTAAATTATAAAGACCGGAGAGACTTAGGGAGTAAAGGCCGGTTTTATTTCACTCTCTATTCTTCTTTTACCGGCAGAAACAGACGGAACCAAATGTCAGAAACAAGATTTTGTACTTGATCCAAGCCTGGGCTCATGCTTTCCGCAACGAACCAAAGTACAAAGTGGTCCAGGATACTTACCAGATTATGAAAGTGGAAGGTAAGTGAACAAGTGCTGTACTTGTAAAAATTTTCTTTCAAGGAATTCTCAAATAAAGAGTTAGAGATCTTTTAAGGTTACATTGGTTAAAATAATCTAATTCTGCCGTTGCTGTAGTAGAGAGAAGAAAAACACCATCAGTATGTCTGTGTTTGTGTTTAACAAATCTCTTTTCCTCCTCAAAGGTCATGTGTTCCCTGAGTTCAAGGAAAGTGATGCAATGTTTGCAGCTGAAAGAGTGAGTTTCCTTTTTTCTCAGAATTTAAAATGTAGAATATTTTATCTTCTGAGTTACTGTAACATCATTTGTTCATGAGTCTGAGCTCGTAAGAAGAAAAAAATGCAGATCCCATGATAATGCTGTGTCATCATCGTATCTACTGTAGTAGCTAATACTGTCTGCCTCATCCAGGCTCCAGACTGGGTTGATGCAGAGGAGTGCCACAGGTGCAGAGTCCAGTTTGGGGTTATGACAAGAAAGGTAGGCGGGCTTCTTTGAAACTAGGCCACTTGGAGATTTTATGGTTTCTGTTTTTTCTTTACAGTTAAAGCAGCAGGTTTGTGTGTGAACGATTATAGCTCAGAAGCTGACCTCAATTTGTTTCCCTTTGCTTTTCCAGCACCACTGTCGAGCCTGCGGACAGATTTTCTGTGGAAAGTGTTCTTCTAAGTACTCAACTATTCCCAAGTTTGGCATAGAGAAGGAAGTGCGTGTGTGTGAGCCGTGTTTTGAGCTGCTTAACAAGTGAGTCCGCAGACCTTAACTGCCTGGTTTAGTCTGAATTTTGATGTCCATGTTTGAAACGGTGAAGCTCTGTCAACGCTTGGGACTACCTACGTGGACTCAGTTTGACGCTTTCATTGGAGGTTATTGCTAAAAGTTAAATGTGCGCTTTGTTGTTTAGCCTCACTGTGTTTGTTTATATCTCTGTTTTTGATCACTGTGTCAGCCTTGATCACCTCTTTAAAGGGGGAATAAATGCACATTAATATGCTCACTTTGTTTGCTCTCAGTAGAAACTTGTGTGAAAATTGTACTTTTTCATGTTTGTAACAGCGAGAAAAGAGAGAAAAAAAGTGTTTTGATGAACCAGAATTTAAGAATGCATAATACTTTCCTCCATTTGTTTTGCTCTGAAGTAAAAATGTATCCTTCAAAAACAATGCTGCAAAATTTGATCATACTTGGACTTTATTTGTGCCAATTTGATGCGCTGTAAAATCGGGTATACAGTTATTTATGACACCAAAACAAAAGTTTAACTTTACAAGATGTGTCAACTTCCTCATTTTAGTGCTGGTGTCCTGCTGCTCTACTGATCTTCCCCATTAAAATAACTTACAGGCTAACTATAAACTGTACTTATTAACTTTTTTTCTCATAAATCTGTGGATTTATTTCGTAACACTGTGAATTTTTTTGAAGATTAAAACTTTTTCCGCGTATATTTATGACGTTGTTCTTATAAATCCACAACTTAAGTCTTAAAATCCTGAAGTTTTGCAGCATTGTTAGAGGCAGACATTACATATGCTTTTTTCTTGTCCTGTTCTGTGTTTGGAGAGATCTTGGTGTTTCAAACAGCATGCTCTCCTCTAATTTACAAGATTGTTTGTCCTCCCTGACCCTTTTTCCTCACCAGCCACCCCTCCCTTTCTCCGCCACTTAGGAAAGCCGGGGAAAAACCCGCCACTGCAGGCCCCGCTGAGCTGCCTCCTGAGTACCTGACCAGCCCTCTGTCCCAACAGTCACAGGTTTGCATTGTTAGTCTCTTACTCATTACAGCAAAGCAACTACAAAACAGTAATTTTGTTGTCATCCAAACACTGCTGGATTTTGTAAACTCTTTTAATCTTTGCTAACTCTCCTTTCACTTTTGCACCCCTAAATCAGATGCCCCCAAAGAGAGATGAAGCTGCACTGCAGGAGGAGGAGGAGCTGCAGCTGGCCATCGCGCTCTCTCAAAGTGAGGCTGAGGAGAAGGAGCGGATGGTGAGTTAAAAACAGCTCAAATTAATCATGTGCTCTTAATATCTGTTTGTACAGAAAACCAGATACATCCCTGTATGTGTGTGTGTTCACAGAGGCAGAAGAACTCCTATGGCATGTATCCCAAAACTGATCCCACTCCTGTGACTTCTTCAGCACCACCTGTCAGCACCCTCTACACCTCCCCTGTGGTAAGACCTCCTCTCGTGTGATTATGATTGTCTTCTCACCACTGAGCAAAATTTTGGTTCATCATTTTTCGTCCCTTAAACTCTTATTTCCTTCTCTAGAACTCCTCTGCTCCATCGGCTGAAGATGTCGACCCTGAGGTACTCCAGTTTCCTCATGTTCTTTTAATATCTGCATTAAGTCAAAACAAGAATATCTTATGCTGATTCATACTGTGTCCAATCATTCCAGCTGGCACGTTACCTGAACAGAACATACTGGGAGAAGAAACAGGAAGAGTCTCGCAAGAGTCCGACCCCCTCTGCTCCTGCTCCCGTGCCACTGGCTGAGCCTCTCCCACCGATCAGTCAGCCTGTAGAGACTCATGTCCCTGTCCCTGTCCAGCCAGTCAACATAGTAGAGGTATAATGAAGATTTGTGCTTACTGTTGCTACATTTAGTTAAATGATACCACAAAAAACACTGCAGTGTTTGTTCAGGTAGGAGATAAATATGCAAATATGTCAGGCTAAAGTTACTAAAGTCTTATGCAGACTAATAGTAGGAGTCAAAGTTTGTATTTCACAGCCGAATCCCGTTCAGTTGATACTCTAAGTTGGGTACAGCTATATATTTTTTTTATTTCTTGGTGAAGTCAGACCAAAAGTGACTTGTCTTCCCTCCTCATTTCTGTCCTCCAGCAGCAGTACCAGAACGGGGAGTCAGAGGAGAATCACGAGCAGTTCCTTAAAGCTCTCCAAAACGCTGTCACCACCTTCCTTAACCGCATGAAGAGCAACCACATGCGTGGGCGCAGCATCACCAATGACAGTGCAGTGCTGTCACTCTTCCAGTCCATCAACAACATGCATCCTCAGCTGCTGGACATCCTTAACCAGCTCGACGAGAAGAGATGTAAGTGTCAGCTTTCTCTGAGTTTGCGTTTGCCGTGCGTCCCACCTTTTTTATTCTTCTAACTGTGACATTATTTCCGCACGCCACAGTGTACTACGAGGGTTTGCAGGACAAGCTGGCTCAGGTGCGGGATGCACGGGCCGCTCTCAACGCCCTTCGAGACGAACATAGAGAGAAGCTGCGCCGTGCTGCTGAGGAAGCAGAGAGACAGAGGCAGATTCAGCTGGCACAGAAACTGGAGATCATGAGGCAGAAGAAACAGGTAAAAAAAATAAGGCTCTTTGGGTTAAAGAGAGACAGGTGATACCCTATTTATCATCATGCTGACAAGTGTTTGTCCCTGCAAACCGTAGGAGTACCTGGAAATGCAAAGACAGCTGGCCATCCAGCGCCTCCAGGAGCAGGAGAAGGAGAGACAGATGCGTCTGGAGCAGCAGAAACACACAATCCAGATGAGAGCCCAGATGCCTGCTTTCTCCCTGCCCTACGCCCAGGTATGCACTGCAAACACAACCATCAGCTCTCAGGGGGAATATTTTCCTACAAGAAAGTAGTCAACTGATCAAAACTAAGACCAAAGTTAAAAATCTATCCAATCAGGTGTCTTTATTTGCCGTGGATAGACAATGTTTCATAATTCCGCTGGAGTACATTGGTGTAAATATTTGTATGTGTGTTTCACAGATGCAGTCTTTGCCTCCAAACGTGGCTGGTGGGGTGGTGTACCAGCCGGGTGCTCCACCTAGCTACCCAGGCACCTTTAGTCCGGCTGGATCTGTGGAGGGTTCACCTATGCACAACATCTATATGAACCAGCAAGGTCAGCCTGCACCACCGCAGTACCAAGCCATGCCTGGTCCTGCCACAGGTGAGGGGCCCAGTGAGAGTGATTCACTCTGGATAAAAGTTTGAAATAAGTTTGGTTTTATTGGAGTTACAGAAGTCAGTGTTTGTACTTAGATGTGCTTCTGAGTGTGACCTATTCTTCCCTCGTCTTCTAGATCCCAATATGGTCAACGCGTACATGTACCAGCCTGCAGGCACCAATGGGCAGCCTGCTCCTCCTCCTGGTCAGGCTCCGCCCACTACTAGTCCACCTTACTCCAATTATCAGCCCACACCCACACAAGGCTATCAGGTCTGGTAGACTCCTGTTTTAACTTTCCAACCAAGTGTTGCCACAAATGTTTACAAACCCACTTATCGTCTCCTTGTTTTGTGCAGAACGTGGTCTCCCAGGCCCAGAGTATGCCCCCCATGACCCAGGCTGCTCCCACTAACGGAATGGGCTACATGGGCTACCAGCCGTACGGCATGCAGAACATGATCTCAGCTTTGCCTGGACAGGATCCCAACATGCCGCCACAACAGCCGTATATGCCAGGCCAGCAGCCCATGTACCAACAGGTCAGACACTTTGAAATCTTTTCCAAGCAAACCCACCTGAAATTTACTGAAGTTTAATGTTCATATAAAAACAAACTGTTATGACCACACACCTTGTTTGACTCCCATTTTTCAGTATAACTTAAAATGCGTTCCTGTCTTGTCAGATGGCTCCCCCTGGTGGCCCACAGCCGCCGCAACAGCAGCAGCAGCAGGCACCACACGCCGTGCCCGGCAGTGCAGAAGCGCAGCTCATCTCCTTCGACTGAGACGCCACATGCTGCCGGGGTCCGACACACTACACCCTTTCTCCTCTTCGGGTCTTTCCCCCTCACCCTCTGGACTCTGAGGACGCCCCTTCAGAAACACATACAAACACACACACACGCATACACTCACCTCCCGCCTTCCACTTTACTGTGATGTTGTGGCAATGTAAATATTGTGATGATGTTGCAGAACTGTACCTCTCTCTTTGCCTCTCTCCTCGTATGGGAATGCAGGGGATGAATCTGAGAGAGAGAGAGCACCAAACCCTGACCCCTTACACCCTCTCCCTCTCCTCTTTCCAGCTGATATGTATGTAGTATTTCCTTATTAAATGAGTAACTGAAGATCAGAAATAGTCAGTGGTATTACAGTTAAAATAAATAAGAAAATATGATAATAATTGAGGAGAAAAAAACAAGACATAACCATCCTTGGTCTCATATTTTTCTAAAGCAGAACTTGCATGTTAAATTTTGATTATTTTCTGGAATGGACATTGAGAGACATCTGTATGTGCTGTTACAGAGACTGATGATTGTGACGAAAGAGTGATGTGCACAGCAAAAAAAGGAGGCGACCCACATCTTAAGACAGGTTCACAGCTTGCCATTCCGGTTGTAGCCCATCTCCATTCATGCACACACAAAAACTATGCTCATCTTTAATCGTTTTATAATCGGTTTGTTGTGCACTGCTCGGATTAGCAAGTGTCCTGTCGTAGTTCGATGACAAAATCATGCAGGGATTGTACAGAGTGAAAGGAGTGTCAGAAAATTAGCTGGATGGTTGCTGTATCCTCACCAAGTATACTTTCATAGTTTAATCATCGGGATTACACACTTGTCACCATGAGTATAAATAAACTGGTACGTACAAAGGCAGTTTATCAGTTCTTATAGCATCCTGCATCTGTTGAGTAAACTGATCAATAACATCACAAACTGAAAGAGTCATTTTAACTTATTAATTGCAAATAATATCCTCCAGGCACTCCATCCTGTGTGCATTTGGTTGTTACGGTCATAGAGGACAATATCTAAATGTCGAGTACAGATGGGCAGGCTTTTTAAAAGTGTGTTCGTGAAGTGTGGGCGAAAAAAGTGCTTGCAGAGCGAAGGAGACATGCAGCATGTGTCACACCCATTCAGTGATTTCTGTAACCCGTCATTTTCCATCTGTGAACTTCTTTATTTCATTATACTGATCTGTCTGACTCAAAGTAATTTTGAAATTATATTTAATAAATATTTGGTTCTTATTGTCCACTTGTTGCATTTGTATTTTTTTTCTTAAATAACCACGGTTGAAATAAAGAGGATGTATGGTAACACAAATTTTAAAAGTAGGTTGTGTTTATTCCAACGTCAGGAAATACAAACTCAAATATCACACTTGTGCACATTTCAACATTATTTTTAAACTTTGGTTTTCTAGTGTAAAGACTTCCCATTACATTAAGAAATGACAATAACCTTTTCTGTACAATATGGCTCGTTATTGTGGAGTTTCACCATTAAAAAATCTTCCATCCTTGAGTGGTTTGTCTTCATCAAAGTTTTCTAAATATGAGGCATTTATAGTAATTTTCCATCTCAATCTGCAAAAGAACAACAAACATGAATCAATGCTTTAATGTAGCGCTCATAAAGAAATGCAGCAACACTATAGATTATAACTCACCATCCTCTCCATGCGTAGGCCGTTCCCATAAGCCATCTGTCTCAGCACGTCGGTGTCTGGAAGACCCCACTCTGGATTCCTGCATATAACATTTAAATGCTAGTGTTAACACTAGGCTTGCAGAGCAAAAACCAATGTGTTGTCTTGTTGTTCTTGCTTTATAATAATCCAAAACGAAAATACCAATCCTCTCACATTTTACGCAGCTCTTCATCCAGCTGTTCATTACAACTTGGTGTTATGGTTCCATTAACGGCATACACCTGAGACAATTTTCATGGATAGGAAAGTAAACATTATTTTAAAGAAATTTTGAAACATCTTGACTGGTCTTAGATGTTGGTTCTTACCCCGTATGTTATTAGAAGCCCGTTCTGTTTGAGGATTTGACCTGCTCCACTGAAAACACCCTGGGAAAGATAGATTTAAAAAGATGTAGACCCATATTACACAGAAATTTGCATGTTTTATTCATTATGGATCTGTTTTAACAAATACTTCTTCTAAACATCCTGATTCTTGCTCATAAAGGAGGCCAACCTGTGCTGTTTTAAAGGAGCTGTATTGCAGTAAGTTGATGGCAACTATAACGTCACAGGAGCTGCGAGGTAGGCCTGCCCATTTCTCCCAAGGTTCACTGGCATCCAGGTGGACAGGCTGCAGCACAGTCTTTGCATGGGTTGCATTTATATATGCCTTAATACTGTAGAAAAGTATTTATATTTACTGTATTTTTTTCAGTTTCTTAAAATCTGTGCATAATAATGATGTCTCTGTGTTTGACGTGCAAACATGACTTTCTTGTGAAGACCAACCTGTCTCGAGATTCCTGTTTGATGTCTGATGGCTGCCAGGTAACAAAAGGCATCTTCTGGGCAAAGCGAATGACATGCTGCCCTGTTCCTGAGCCCAGCTCTAAGGCAAACAGCTGCCTGTGCGACTGGTCCTCCAGTACATCCTCAAGCATTGTACACAGATCCTCCCAGTTCCTCTCTGCCTGAGGAGACAGCAGCATGGTCTGGAGGAGATAAAACAGAATAACATGTCACCTCCTCGTACTGTGCTGCCAGCCTGTGTATCGATCCTCCTCTCAGAAAGTTTCTCTTACCTTCGCCTGTGTCAGCCGAGTGAGAAATAACATTAGCAGGGGCTGGATGTGGTGGATGACCTCAACAGCAGATGGGTGCTGAGATTACCTGGTTAAGAGGATTCCCCCCTCGGTGTCCCTCCCCACAGTTCAGCTCTGGTGCAAGTAGGGACAATACACATGTAGCCTACAGCAAACAAGGAGAACAAAGATCAATATGTAGTTAATCAATTACTGTTTAAAAAATAATATTCATATAAACATTGACAAGATGATATCTAACTTAGTCCTAATATCTAATTCAAATAGCTTGACAAGGTATTCATAATACTTGGCATGTTAAAAACTGATAAAAAATCAATAGGTCTACAATTACAATCAAATATATTAAGACAATAGGAAGACTTTCTATTTTTCTACTATTCTATTTTCTACTCTTTCTAAAGTCTTTCTCTATATCTATGGTTTCAGCAGCAGGATCAATATTGTTTATCAGTTTGAACTTCGATTTAAACTTATTCTCATCCGTTTAACGAGCGCTTGTCCTTTTTGTCCCTTCTGCGTTGCCGTAGATTTTCTAACAGTTCACGCAAGGTTTTGTGGGTAGGTCAGAAGCCGAGAGGACGCCATGTGCTTTTGAGGCAGAGGAACTACTATACCAGGACCTGGCTGTCACACATTTGGCTCATATTCAGGGGGGACACCAGGATTCAACGGCTCCAGACAGCATGTACTGCACGACCCACTGCCTCCGGAGCGCGCTGCGGGCCGCAGCCAACACTCACCGGTACGTAACAGCAGCTCGAGCGGGCAACTGACAGTCACGTAACGCCGGAGCAGCGCTAAGTTTACGGGGCATCAGGGGCTGGTGTGGCCGCTTCAAGGACAGACAGGCGACCCAGCATGAATGGGATGTAGTTGTTTTCTCTGCATAAGTATATAAACAGGGTTTAATTTGTACACAGTGAGAGATAAGTATGGTAAATCATCTTAAGGGAACAACCACAGCTAACATTAGTGAGCCAGGTTACTGAAGCCGACTCTTAGCTGGGCATAAACCGGTTGTAAAGTGATCACCATGGCCTTGTGATCGATGGAAACACCCGTATGATACAGTTTCTCCCATTTTGAGTCATTTTCGATCTTAAAACTTAAGAGTAACCATTGACTTTCCTCTGATGCTGTACCATCATCCAAGGTCACACTTCTGCTCAAATAACCAGAGGCTGTCTGCTGAAGCTTTGCTCCACTTAGTGCAAAACTCAAGGCAGTGACATGAAATACAGCTCTGATGTGAAGAAACAGCCTGCAGTCATTCAGAGCTCTTTCAAGCCTCCGTCTTGAGTATCACTGCTTATACAGTATTAGCCCCCAGTCTGGTGAGTGGACGAGCCCTCACTCTCAATGAACCAGAGGTCATGATACCCAAGTTGCATGAAGGTTATAAGTGGATCAGGAATTGCATATTGAGCTAATTTGAGCAGACTTTTTCTCATATGTAGACTCCCTTACAGTTTCTTGTAGTATTTTTCATACTTAATATGATTTCAGCGTAGAGTTTCATTGATTTAATTGTCTTTTAAGTCTGCAAACAGCTTCTTAACTTGCCACCATCCTAAGTTTAAATGTCAAATTTATGATTAAAATGCAGAAGGTGGCAAATTTTCTGTCATTGCATCTGTCCTGAGGGCTTCTGTTGTCTAATTGTAACTTGGTAAACCTTAAAGGGATGTTCCGGCGTAAAATTAATTTAGGGTCAAACACACATAACAACGAGTTAGAGACCCCCTCGAGAGATGAATGTTGCTGACCGCTTGCTTCTCTAGTTATACCAACTTTAGTAACGACCACAGGATAGCAATACACAGCGGTCTGAGGAGCCATAAACAAACCTCAACCAAAACGCCACTCTATAGCCACAAATAATGCTCAGAACAGCACCTAACTTCATCAACAGGACATATAGGGTCCCAGACATAGTACTAGCCACCAAACATCTTTTTAGCTTTAGCAAAGAGACTAAACACAACTCACCTACTCTCTTCCAGCAGCTGCTTGTTTGTAACGCGACCTCAGGCCAGTCCATTACGGACTACAGCGGGGTGTCGCAGCTCAAGGAAGAACATTTATGATCATTTCTTCATGGAAATGCAATCAGACCGAGACACTAAGGCAGAAGAACTACCGCGTCTGCAGAGCAAAATGATTAATATGGTGATTATTACTGAAAGGAAATGATAAAGAAGTGATCATAAATGTTCTTCCTTGAGCTGTGTCACCCCGCTGTAGTCCGTAATGGACTGGCCTGAGGTCTCACTACAAACAAGCGGCTGCTGGAAGAGAGTAGGTGAGTTGTGTTTAGTCTCTTTGCTAAAAAGATGTTTGGTGACTAGTACTACGGCTGGGACCCTGTACTGTTGATGAAGTTAGGTGCTGTCCTGAGCATTATTTGTGGCTATAGAGTGGTGTTTTGGTTGAAGTTTGTGTGTGGCTCCTCAGACCGCTGTGTATTGCTATCGAGCGGTCGTTACTAAAGTTGGTAAAACTAGAGAAGCAAGAGGTCGGCAACATTCATCTCTCGGTTTCGGTGTGTTTGACCCTGAATTGATTTTATGCTGGAATATCCCTTTCAACTTTAAAACTTGGCTTTAGAAGACCATCCAAACATTGGTTGTGGTGAAAATCCCAAGACAAGGGCTCCAAGTCTGTACTCAGAGATGCAAAGAGTGATAACTACCTAAATGAAGCAGCAGAAGCCAAAGTTCAAACACAAACATTTACAGAGTAGAGAGGTGGTGACCGAGAACGATCAGTAAAAGCCCAATAGTAATGTTTTTACTGCCAATCACTGAGCTGATCTATTCTTCTATTCCAGGCAACATCTTCAGCGGCAGGCTCCAGCCTTGTGTGCCCTCAGACACCTGATGACCAGTCCAGTCAGCCACTCCGATGCCATTGCCACACCTCCTCTGGATGGAGCGCCTAAACAGTACTCGCCTAAAATCCAACAGCTTGTCACCGACATAGCCAACCTCACTTTGTTAGAGGTGTCAGACCTCAACGAGCTCCTCAAGGTTCGTGGAAGACTATTTAGTGCAGAATACCTGTTCATTATAGACTGTCGTGACTCATCTGCATGTCCTGTTTTGACTTTTGCAGAAAACTCTGAACATTCAGGATGTTGGGATGATGCCAATGGCAGCAGCTGTGCCTGCAGCAGCCCAGGTGACAAAGTGCAAAGTGCACGTTTCCCATATCAATTTAATGTTAAAACTTTTAACCTTGAGCACCATTTACATGCTTTATCACAGAAAGTCTCAATAATCTCCCATTGACCAACCAATTCTCCTTCTCTCTGTGTGAAACCAGGGCGCAGAGGATGACGAGGCACCTGCCAAGAAAGAGAAGACTCACTTCATAGTCAAACTGACAGAAATGAAAGCAGCAGAGAAAGTCAAGCTTATAAAGGAAGTGAAGAACTGCATCCAAGGCTTGAATCTAGTTCAGGTAAGTCTCATCACAAATGTTTTGCCCTCAGTCCTGCCAATGAGCTCTGTTAGTAAAGGAAGAGGCGTCCCCTTTAAAGGGAAACCGATCATTGAACTAGTAGAAAAGCTAGGGTCACACTTCATTCTGGTGCTATTCTCAGACGGAGCATGTGGCGTTCCTCTGCCTGTTGTACACTGATCAGCAAATTGAGTCTGTTACAATGGGATTTTGATATTTTTATATCTCAGTTTTACACAGATTTAAGATACAAATGTCCTAGATCATAACTGTAGGGTTTATTTTAAGCTTAGTATTCCCCTTCAGTGTGTTTTGACACGAGGTTGTGTCGTGCAATCAAAAAAGTCGGTGAAAAATGAGTATAACTGTTACGTATGGCAGGAAACTGGCTGGTAAGTTATTCAGACTGCAGCTACATGTGATCTGCTGATATCTCCTGATTCAAGAGGATCCTAAAATACTGTGGTTACCAAGTCCCACCCAAGAGAGCGAGTAGTTTTCCCCTTTCTTAGGCATGGGCCTGCCGTTTATACACCTGCACCTTCAGGCGACTTGGAATCGTTTGTATTTTTGTCTCTTTCGAAGCTTCTCAGGCCTCAGTTGGCGTTCATTTAAATGAGCTAAGTGAAGTGTTCAGCTGGTCCCGTCTGTAGCGGTTGATAGCTTTGGGCCATTTTCTCAACAAACTCCTGTTGACAACTCAACTCTTCCCTTTAGGTTGTATGTGATGCATTTATGTTCCAGTCATACCTCCAGTAATACTGTTTTTTCCTTTTGTCTTTCTTAAACCAGGCAAAGAAACTAGTGGAGTCTCTTCCCCAGGAAATCCGAACCAACGTGTCCAAAGAGGAGGCAGAGAAACTGAAAGCAGCTCTGGAAGCGGCAGGCGGCTCTGTGGTGTTGGAGTAGATCTCCACTCATCGGTTCTCCACCGGTTTGCTGCTCCTGCACTTCATTTTTCATTCTATCATTTCTTTTTTTTTTTACATGACAAAGAGGAAGATCCTGGGAAACAAAGAAATGCCTTCTGACATTTATACTGTCTTGTAACAGTGTCATGGGGGGGGCGGCAAAACTCAGACTGAACTTTCCAGGCATACAGCCTGCTTGACAATGGCCACTCCCCCGGTGTTTGCTTGCCCATCTAATGGCTCATGTTTCTGTCTGATACCTGTGTAGCAAAGAAGCTACAGAAGCATTGGCCCAAGTGCCAAGTACCCCAGTTGGTTATTCTGTGAGTGTGTGTGTGTACGTTAAAGTTTCACAGAATGAGAGATTACAGGGAACGGGTACAATTCCCTTTGTTGAAGAACACCACATACTGTAGAGGGTGGCAGATGGCAGGGCTGAGTCCTCTTAATGCTTCTAGACTTGTTAATAATGTGATTAAAGATGACACATCCACATGTTTCCCTTTTCTTAAGTTTCTGTGTTGATGAATCAAAGATCTGTTGAACTAGAGTTTTGTTGCCTCAAAATGTAGAGCAGTAAAGAAAGAAGTGAACGTTTGTATCTGCGGTTTGCTTCCTTCTGTTTTACCACCTTTGACCACTAGAGGTCGTAAGATCTCTACCAGTCCTCAAACTTTCTGAGAGTAGTTTTAAACCCACATTTGTACAAAGAAGCTGCTAATATGCTTGTTAAATTTGGATGAGATGATAATGGTGCGTTAGTTAGAAACGTAATTCTCAAACGTGGGAAATTAATGGATGTAAATATAAATAGTGTTCAAAATTTCATCTATTACATATAAAAAACTATTATGTCAAGTAACTGCAGCAGCCATAAAATGTACTATTTTAATACAAATTGGATTCACATTTTGCATGTAAGTAGGGATCAGATACAGCCAGAATGATCTGAATTCCAGCCTGAAGAGATGAAGCTCTGATTATAAAAACAAGTTAGGCTGGTGAGACATTTCCATTTTTTAAACACAATCAAGATTATTATCCTGTATGAGGTGAAGGTGGCCTGTTATCGTGAAACCTGGATGACCTTTTCACATTCATGGTGAGAATTCTTGTTAGAATAAAAACAGGGTCTCCTGAAGGTTAACTATATATGATCTATCTGCACTCTACACTTAGTAAAACCTATTCTTGGCCTTTTTGTTTCTTTATTAGAGAGGACAGTGGAATGAACAAGACATGGTGAGAGGGATTTACATGCAGGAATCGAACCCAAACTGCTTCATTGTGGCATAACTTCTGTATGTCAATATACACGCTTAAATAGACTAACAGCGCCCTTATAAATCCGCACACTTATGAGTGACACATTGACGCTGTAAAATGAACTTAAATATATGTTCCTCAGAAATTTAGCTATTATATTTGACCTTTAAAGGTATTTTTTAGGACATGGAGCATATGAAGATATTAATGCAAAGCTGAAAAGGTCTTATTACTCAGTATTTGAGATCCCATCTTAAACCACCATCAGTGTAGTTGAAGCAGCTGGAAAGCAGACTGGACTACAGTTGCAGGACGTCAGCAGCGATCCAGAGGAGAGCACAGGGACTCCCATAAAAGACAGTGGTCTGTGACTTTAATGGGACATAGTTGTACTGATCAAATAATGATATAAAACTGTAAAAACTGAACGGCTTCAAAAGTGCAACAGTCAAAAATGTGCTCTTTCCTTTTGCCTATGATTTGTAACTGATGTACAAAGTTTGGCATGAATGGGCATGAATGTTATTCACCAAATGAACAGCAGAGGGAGTCAAAAGTCCTGAGAAGATCATAAAAAAAGTTAAAAAGAACAAAAGTAAATTGTCAAAAAATCTTGACAGTGTCCAGCACCCTGACTGGAGTTAAATTAAACTATCAACTATCATTCATGTTATTATCAACAGCTCAGCTTTAACTGCTGTGGCAGGTCATAATTTCCTGTGACAGAAAAAAAAGTTCTATTCTCTGTCGAGAAGTTGTAAAAAAAGAAAAGCAGAGATATCAGGGAAGAGAAAGAACAGCGACGGATGGAGATGAAGTGGAGGAGGAAGAGAAACACTTATCTGACTGCAAATCTCTGCAAAAGTAAATGTACTTTTAACAACTCACCACACAGTTTTCCATCCAGTGAGCAAACCCCGACAGAGCCAATCCTACAGAGAGACGTGGATAATTCCTGAGGAGCAAAACGTGTCGAAATGGAAACCCTGCCGTGATAGTGATGATGGTAACAGACTGATTTGTAGCGGTGAGACATTGACTTGGATCGCTGCAGGAAGGCAGCACTTGAAATCAAATCCAATCACAAGTTTAAGTGAGATAAAAATAACAGACAAAACCAAAGTGGAAGTAAAGCTAGAACAAACTGTATAGATATAAAGACAGCAGAGAGTAAGGAGAGTAAAAATATGCTGAGAGGACTCTGTATGCTGTGGGAATATAATCGATTCAAGAGTATTCATCGCTTTCCAGTAACAAGAAATTCTTTGTGTTGTATTGTGTTCTTACGATGCAGGACGGACACTTGAGACCTACAACATGTCTGGCAAGTGTCGGATCATGCCCTCACTCTCCTGTCTTGCCGTTGCTCTGACTGCGCGTGGGTGTCCAGTTTCCGTCATCTGTCATGAACCCCCCCTCCAGACTCTCTCTGAGTCAGCACACACAGAGCGCTGCCAGGCTGCCCATTCATACCACCGCTCATTAAAAATCATGTCATGCTCAAGACACAAAAAGACGTCTTGGCTTTTAAAAGTTAAAGAAAACAATGAGATAGCTTGTGAGGAATAAAATAAACTTCATATCTGTTCCTAAATAAAACAGATTAGAGTCATGAGGAGTGACTTTGACCTCGTGACCTTTCGCAACACAAAGGATCGTCAGAGTCTATTCCTGACAAATGCTTGTTTGAACCTTGTGATTTTTGACCTCTGCAGGTGGAAAACCCTGGATTCTCCATAGAGCGTTTACAAAACTACAGCAGCAGTCAAGCTGTCTTACTATTTTTATATTAGTCACGTACACTTCTTCCCTCAAACCAGCTGCACCCCTGCTCTTGGCACAGAAAGATGGAGTTAGTGCAAGGGCTCTGCATCTAGTCCGGCCACATGTGAAGCCAAAACATTCAGCTCTACACCAGGATTTACACAAACGGACATGTATAATAAGTTTATCTACTGTATATTTAATATGAGAAGCTTCAAACAATCCCTAGAGTTGAACAGGAAGAAATGAAGACAACACACTTGGACAAAGCTGCTCCAGCAATCTTTGAGAAGGCGACACTTTCCCTTTTTCATTTGGACTTTGTTTCACCGACAACATGCCGGAGGAGCGCATATCCCGCTGGTATTTTGGAGGGATCTCCTCGAGTGCAGCGGCCTGTTTAACACACCCTTTGGATTTAATTAAGGTAAATAATGAAGTCGATTGTTTTTTCATTTAAAGACCACTGAAGCATATTTCCCTTTTAAGAATATAGAGAAATCCACAGTTGTAGACCTCATTAATCTGTCTCACAGTGGAAAATGTTAATGGAATTTTATTCTATAAAGGTTCATTGAGCTCTCTTTTCCTGTTGACACAGACTTTTGAATATCTCGCTCTTTTATAGCCTTGATTAGGGCTTTCAATGGGCTTGCCTTGATGCTTTAAGTGCGTGTAATGATGACAGAAACATCCTTAGCAGAGCTCCACTTTTGTATTTTCAATACCTGTTTACCAGCTTTTCATTTCCCGCCATCTATTAGCACTTTAATTGAATGTTTGGGGTGATTTCTATAAAGGCAGCTAACATTACCGCCCAAGTTGAATACAACCTGAATAGTGATGTCAAACAAATACATACTGATTGTAATAGTAGCCTGATTGTAGTATAAAACCTCAAATTGCTTTCTTGCCCTAAAACAACCTCTTTTATATGACACCAGAGGTTCTTCCAAACACAAGAGTGGATCTGTTGTCACCAAGTTTGAACTAAATTCTACCTTCTGCACCTCTAAGTGTTTTTCCTTGAATTTTGCTCGATGCAAGATAAAAAAAAAAAAAGTACTCAAAAAGGACAAGAGATGTTTTTCCTTGACATCCCTCTCCGCTCCATGTAAGTGCAGGCAGTCTTCACACTCATTTAAAGTGTGGCTGACCTTCCACGCTGCTTTCATGTGGTCCTTTACAGGTGCACTTACAAACTCAGCAGGAGGTGAGGGCGAGGATGATTGGGATGACGGTGAACGTGGTGAGGAGGGAGGGTGTTCTGGCTCTCTACAGCGGCCTCAGCGCATCAGTCTGTCGACAGGTGGAATACTTTATCCCCTTTTTTTTCAACTCATACACTCAGTGTTGATCAGTCTTGCATAATTTTCTTTTTCTTTCTTTCTGTAGATGACATACTCTATGACACGATTTGCCATTTATGAGACAGTCAGAGACAAGATGTACAGAGAGAACAAGAGCCTCATGCCTTTCTATCAGAAAGTCCTGCTGGGTGCCTTTGGCGGTATGTATGTTGTTTGATAACTTTCGTTTTTTTGCACAAGCATTATCGCAATTAATTTCTGATAATTATGCAATGTGTGTTTTCTACCAGGGTTTGCAGGTGGTTTTGTTGGGACTCCAGCTGACTTGGTAAATGTGCGGTGAGTTAAGCGGACAGATGATTTGTATAGTTTTAAAGTTTTATTTTACATAAATATCAATAATGTCAAACTAGTAAAAGCCACAAACAAGGTTATTCTCATTTTGGCTTTATCTTAAGTTGAACAAGCAAGTTTGCTGTTATGCTTCAACCTTTCAAGCTCATGATTCAAGTTTAATGGACTGTTTTTACTCAATAGCCAGATAATCACTCTGAGGGCCTCTCATCCTGACAGCTAATTGGCTTAAATCTACTTTAATCTCTCACATGTGCAGAATGCAGAATGATGTCAAGTTGCCAGCAGAACTCAGGCGAAAGTGAGTCAATGGAGATAAATCCTCCGCACATCGTTTTTGTTGGTTTATTCTGCTTGTGTGCAAATCTCCACATGGTGAATTTTTCTCATCCTAACAGTTATGTTCATGCGCTTGATGGATTGCTGCGCGTTTGGAGAGAAGGTAAGAGCAGATTTATTTAAAATTGAGAACAGACCGAAACTCATATTGATGTCCTTCGATGTACAAGAGCAAACAAGACTTATGGTTTTTACAGTCTAGTTTTTTGGGCATAAATTTGACGATTAAAAGTCAGAATGAGGATTTTTTTTTGCCCGAAGACACTACTTAAGTATAAGCAAACACAGCTTTGTCCACAGGAGGCGCCAAAGTCAACACAAACAGAGAGTTTCACACAGGAGCTTTAATGAATATACTGTTTTAACCAAATGGTCTGGACATATTCACACTAACAATGATGATGAGCTGTACGTATGAGTTAACCTCATGAGTTAACCTTACTAAGTCTTTCTGGTGGTCTTTGGATTTATTCATGGCTACTGAATGGACCGAAATTCATATTGATGCCCTTCTATATATAAAAGCAAACAAAACTGATGATCTTTAAATTCTAGTTTTGTGGGCATAATTTTGAACAAATTTGACGATTAAAAGTCAGAATACGTTTTTTTTGTCTAAAGACACTACTTTAGCATAAGCAAGTATAGCTTTGTCCACAGGAGGCGCCAAAATCGACACAAACAGAAAGTTTTTTACAGGAGCTTTTATGAAAACACTGTTTTATCCAAATATAGGTTTTAAATGATTTACAAACCATCAAGTTCTTATTTTAAATCAACATTTACTTCACAGCGTCACAACCTTTTTTAGAATAAGAGTTGCACATGAGTGTTAAACTTCCTTTCCTTCGTTTGTTGAAATACTAAAGGAGTAATGTAACCAGAAAAGATGCCAATTTATAACATGTATGAAAGATAAAGTTTGAAAGAGAATTTTGTGAGCCTGTCTTCAGTGTTTTTTTACTCCTATTATCTGTTATTATTTTACCTCTAATGTTTTCTTACGTCCTTGTAGAAGGACTGAGGAAGCTGTTCTCTGGTGCTACGCTGGCCTCTACCAGAGGTGCGCTGGTCTCTGTTGGACAGGTAAAGACATCTACAATAATTAAGTATATAAAAAAAAAAAAGAAGTGCTGCACTATCTATTTCACTGTCTGTGCACATGTTGCTTTCTGCAGCTGTCTTGCTATGACCAGTCCAAGCAGTTGGTTCTGGCGACAGGTTACCTGCCTGACAACATCCTAACACACTTCCTGGCGAGTGTGATTGCAGTAAGTGAATCACCTCTCACTCCTGTCATACAGTTATTACATTTTACACACTAAGACAGTTTCTATCGCTCTGTGCAGGGCGGATGTGCGACTATCCTCTGCCAACCTCTGGATGTGGTTAAAACCAGACTGATGAACTCCACACAGGAATACAGGGTGAGCTTGTGTACACATGCTGTCTCTGTGTGCTCTGTGTGTTGTGGTTAAGTGGAGAATTTCTCTGACATGTATGTTTTATTCATTTGCCGCTCAGCTTGATGTGTCTTTTTGTTTGTGTCTGCTCTTTTACAGGGTGTACTTCACTGTCTGACAGATACAGCAAGGCTCGGCCCCAAGGCATTTTACAAGGTGGATGCTCAGGAGACGTTCAGTTTCACGCTGATCCCTCGAGTTAAATTGTTTATACGTTTATTATCCAAAATAAATATTTGGACCTGCTGAGATGTTAATTTGTTGTACTTTCAGGGTCTTGTTCCTGCTGGAATCCGTCTCGTCCCTCATACAGTCTTCACCTTCTTATTCCTCGAACAGCTGAGGCAGCGTTTCGGTGTTGTGGTCGTCAACTGAGAGAGTTGCAGTAATTCCTGAGGGCTCCAGTGGACGTATTCATACTAACAATAATGACAAGCTGTACAAGTATGAGTTAACCCATGAGTTAACCTTAGTAATTCTCTCTGTCATTTGTTTTTACTTGATGAACAAATAATCATTCTTTAATTGTGTGTGTTTTTTTTTTTTTTACTTTTAAGCTGTGATTTAAAAGAACTTTGTGCATCTACTGTGAAACATGCCGTGAAATAAAATTGTTCAAAGATGACTAAAGAGGTTCATTTGGCTTACGTATGAATATTGATCTCAGTTTTTTCCTTTTTAAAAGCCTGTAAGGTTAAGTGTTGTAGGCTACCTGACAAGTTTCGGCTTCTGTGCCTCTGCGGCCTTCATCAGATGTGTCACGTGACGGTAGTGTGACGTCTTCAGTGGTGCGTTAAATGTGTTTTTTCCATCCCACCTGGAGTGGTGGGATGGCGGTGTCCAGAGGTGGGGCGCCCCGCGCTGTCTGGTGGCTTGTTGGAAAAAACACATTTAACGCACCACTGACGACGTCACACTACCGTCACGTGACACCTCTGATGAACGCTGCAGAAGCAAAGTAGCCGAAACTTGTCAGGTACAACCATGCAACACTTCACCTTACAGGCTTTTAAAAAGGAAAAAAACTGAGATCAATGACTACAGGTGGCGCCATGGTCTTTGGATCCATTTAAGGTGTCTGAATGGACCAGCTAGGCATTTTCATGTGTGCATGTGGGTTTGTAATCCGGATTTTTTCTTCATAGACATGGATGTAGTCTCAGAGATGCCATCACTTGGATTTGAAAGCAGAGTTTTTGCTGGTGGTCGCTGTATTGGTAAAGCTGACCGATTGTTACCTTTTGTCAAATAACTAAGAGGGAAAGAGTCCGAGTTAAAGTGAGCTTTTTGGCTTTTCACGAATCGCTACTGTCAGTTTGTCCACATGCTGTTCAAAAAATTTACTTATTGCATCAATTTAACCTAAACTCAACTTTGACGAAAGATGTCAACACAGAAATGACCTTAGCTCGACTTAACTGTCTATGTAAACAAACAGAATTTGCACATTTGTCAGTCTAGTCCACCATAACCCTAAACTTGCATAATATGTAGAAGCCCCCCAATGCAAGGTACGGGCACAGAAACAGGCTATTCTGACTAAAATCAAGTTTTTTTGTACCGGACTCTTGACATGTTTGATTCTGCTGTAAGAAACATAAATTTAAACTCGGGTTCTGAGGAGGTCTCCTGGGCTTCTGGAGCCCGACTGGATGTTTGAGGAACTGAGATTGTAGAAATTCTTCATTGGCTTCATATTTAGATATCAGAGGTTGTCACTTGTTCAAACAGGAGAGCTGGGGGATCTAAATCTCCCACTGGTGTGTCTAGACACATATCTCTATATGTAACCTGCAACCTGTCCAGGGTGTACCTTCTGTCTCCCAGTGATAAAGGGAATTGGCTCCAACCCCCAACAGGAAAAGCTGTGGATGGATGGATGACTAAAGGACAAATGGACATGTTTTAGTGTCATCTAGGGGTGAAAAAGCAGATTGCAACCAACTGACAGCAGTCCTCCCCACCCACACATGATCAAAACCTTTAGTGGCAGCACAGTTCTCGAAAACAGGCCCTCCTCAAATTTTGTGGTTGGTAGACAGAGATGAGTCAGAGGATTTATCAACTAATGAAAAAGTGCCTATAAATACCACGTTCCAATTTCAGCTATAATTCCCCAAACATCTTTCACTTCTCTGAAAAGTTGAAGAGGAAAGTTATGTTCATCTTTTTTTCGTAGAAAGTGAATCTTAACGTTTGTTGTATGGAGCTGACAGATGGTTTTTAAAGACCGGATGCTAGTTAGAAGTTCACTTCTGCAGTAAATGGACTAATTTGAATATTAAAATCTCTCATGTTATACTTTTTGGCTCACAGCCGCGGTAATAATTAACTTCCTCCTGCTGCATATACTGTATCCAGCTGCCTTCTGTCAGGTCTTGTCTCTATCGAACAGGACTTGCAGGTCCAGCATGTGCTCCACTGAACAAAAGCTCACAAATTCTAACACTTAATTACTCTATGACGATGCTTTTATAACTACAATCAGAAGCTTTTACATCTGAGGATACATCTATTCTCCTTTGAGATTCTTGGAAAAGAGGAGTGAGTCTTGGCTGTGTCACACTCTGTGGATTTGCAGCTTCTTTTCATTCCAGAAACTAGTTTCCGAGTAAAACTGACACACGTAATCCATCATCTTTAAGTCTGAAGGACACCTGATTCCTTTTCATTTCATATGGTTTACTAAAAGTGAGTTTTGACGTTAGTGTTTGAGCGATGAAGGTTTACTTTTAGGTCAAGGTCTCTCTGCTTTCCATGTTCTTCTCAGATGTGAAAATATTGACAGAAGACTTTCTTCCTGTTGCATACAGAGAACAAAATGTCCTTATGTGTTGTTATGTGTGTGTGTGACTGTAAAATTGAAATGATGGCTCCTTTAGATCTGTGCTGTAAGTCGTAAAATGATGGAGATGTGTCATCTGCGGTGGGGGAGCTGAGTGTAAGGGCAGTATGATGACATTATGAGATTATATATAATGAAATGTAATGTAGCCTTACATCTGTATTACTGTGTAGGTCTGTGCTTTACATCTTTGCAGGCAGTAGCACACAGACAGAGCAAAGAAAGGCATCCATTGAGCTCACTGTTAATCATGTTAATAGTTAATGTTGTATGTTAATGTTATATAGCGCCAATTTACAATTATTACCTCAAGAAGCTGAATTAAAAAATGCTGATCTACTCTTTCTCTATCTAAGACCAAATGTAAAGATGGGGTTAGATTGAGCCCCATCTAAGAAGATCAGACCCACTCTCAACCAAATTTCAACTGCATGACTAATGCGCTTTGCAGCATTTATGAAGTTACAGTGGAAGAGGAAGAACTTTCTTTAGCAGGCAGAAACCTCGAGCAGAACCAGACTCATGTTTGACAGTCATCTGCCACTGCTGCATTAGGTTTGGAGAGAGGATAGAGGGAGATGAAGGAAGAGAGATGGACAGAGGAGAGAAACAAACTATGAGCTTTATCAAAAAGGAGCGATGAAAACGCTCGCTCTGTGGCAGAAAAATGTGATAATCTAAGGTTGTGTCCTTACGTTTAATTATTTTGTTTAATGAGCAGTCTTATCTCAAACTTTGCTTTAAACAGATTTGGAAAAGATCTGCTCCAAACTATAAACGACCTACAAGGTTATCCACCAGGGTTATTGTTGCCTCATTAATTTATTTATGAACTTTGTCCTGAGGTGGATTAAAAACTCTAAATTCTAATAACCGCCTTTATTAAATGTGCGGCGCCTAACTTGATCAAACTAAGTAACTGCAGGCTTTGAGTAAATCTGTGCAATATGCAACCAAACATTTTTATTTTTAATGGTAACCTTACTTACATCGAAAGAAAATTTTTCAATTTCAGAGAAGACCGTATCACCGTGTATTAAAACTACATTTCACAAACAAAAACTTTATTAAAAACAGGCTAAAGGGCCGAGGTAGAGTGGGATGAGAGAAGAGGATGGGGGGCAAATGAGCCACATTGGGGGTGGGGGTGGGTGTGTGTGTAACTTTGTGAAAACTGCTACACTACAACATCATAGTCTGAATACTGGAGTTGTTTTCATTATGAGTCCTGCCTCTGTTAAAGGAAACAGCCAATCATAGTGTAGCATTTGGGGTGGCCAAAGAAGATTTCAAGGGGGGCCTGTGCCACCCCTGGCCATGTCTCTAGGCACACCCCTGGTTGTTGGCACCATAGGTACAGTTTCTGGTGATATTTGTCTCTAAAAGCAAAGTTAACAATGAAAACACATTGATGTCTCTACAGGGTAAGTTAGGGCAGAACCTTTTGAGATTACTCAGTACAGTTTCTATGAGATGTTAAGTTTTCTTTTGACCTTGACTAGCAAGAATCAAAGACTTTTTTTTAATCCAGTGTCTGTTCGTCATGTTGTTTTGTTGTTGTCTTCTCTGGGCCTTCTAAATTCCTTGCCAGACAATGCTGTGTGTTGTCATGAAGGCGTTGTTCTGAACATCGTGTCCTCAAAGTCAAACAGGCACGACAGGCATGAAAGGTAACACAACAGAGAGGAATAACAAAGGTGTCCTTCGGGGGAGAGGTGATTTTAACGATGTTTTGCTGTCTCTGCTGTATGGCTGTTGAATTCGTCCACTCTTTGGGGGTAAGCAGCCCCTGAACCTTATGTGCCCAATTCTGAGGCAGTTCAGGGTTTATTGGATTGGGTCTGCTATTTTTTTTTTTTTGTTAGATTTCACATTTACACTTTGTCTACTGAATTGAGAAGTTTGTGGCTTTTGTTTACCGAGGGCATTTTTTGTGTCTGGCGGTGACACAACTTCAATTTTTCAGCACTTTTTTACTTGTGCTTCGACTTTCCTGCTTAAAGATTATGTTCAGTTGCTTTTTTTTATTGACATCTTAGAAAAACAATATAAAAATTTCTGCGTACCTGCCTTAGGCGTGGTTGAAAAAGACGATAATAAAAGTCCTGCCTCAATCTGACTGTTATGGTCGAGGGTAGGTGATATTGTCAGGTTCAGAGAGTTAAATATTTCAACTGAGAGTGCTTTGGGACACAACCAATGTCAGGACGATTTTTAACTGAGGACGCTAAGTACCTTAAATGTTGAACTGCATTAGTTTTGTTTGTGCTGCCAGCGCAAAACACACCATTAGTAGACACAGGTCCTTAGAAATGCATCTAGCTGTGAAAGTGCTATCCTTAGGGGCCCAGACTGGTCAAGTTCCCTACTTTAAAACCCTGCTGAACCAAACCACTAAACTTTTTATTTGTTTGCTTGTGTTGATTTTAGTTGTATTGAAGTCAAGTGGTGCAAGACTCTATGACACCACCTGCTTGCAGGGAAGATAAATGTGTCCTAAGAAGGAGCCACAAGGAAAATAATCCAAGCTGCGTTGCTCATGTTCCCAACATCTGTATCCTTCTCTCCCGCTGGAAGCTAACAGTGCTGACTCTTGCTTTTAAAAAGAGAAAACGAGCGATGGCTTCACACTATGGAAAAGTTTGTGGGATGGGAAGTGGGAGCTTGGCTTTCCTCCTGAGGCTCGACTGTCGATCTCAGCCTACATGCCTCCTCGCTCTGAGTTCTGAAGCCAGAGGATCTGAAGCTGAGTGGGTGGGTGTCACAGGGACAGCACAAAA